GGCCAGCACACCACGCTGATCCGAAGGCAGGTGCTTCTCCTGGTCTCCCATGGGGTGCAGGGCCCAAGCACTTGGGCCATCCTTCACTGCCTTCCCAGGCCACAGCAGAGAGCTGGCCTGGAAGAGGGGCAACCGGGAAAGAATCCAGCACCCCGACCAGGACTAGAACCCAGTGTGCCAGTGCCGCAGGGTGGAGGATTAGCCTATTGAGCCACGGTGCCAGCCCATTAGAACTCTTAAAAAAAAAGATTTACTTATTTATTTGAAAGGCAGAGTTACAGAAAGAAAAAGAGAGACAGAAATAAAAGTCGTCCATCTGTTGGTTCACTCCCCAAATGGCCGCCGAAGCCAGGAGCCATGAGCTTCTTCCAGGTCTCCCACATGAGTGCAGGGATCCAAGAACTTGGGCTATCTTATACTGCTTTCCCAGGCGCATTAGCAGGGGGTGGATCAGAAATGGAGCAGCCAGGATTCAAACCAGCACCCATATGGGATGCCACTACACCACAGAGCCAGCCTCCATTAGAACCCTTTAAGTCTTCACACAATTTATACCTCTAGTACTAGAAACGGTGCAAAGACAAACTATATAGCATAGTGAATTGTAGAAAATAATGTCAGCAGTTTAAAATAGTGGGGGAAGGAGGAACTACAGGATGAAAAAAAGAAAATTTGAAAAAGCCAAATAGAAAAATGTGGTTCCCTACAAATGTGTATTCGAGGGTCAGAGCTGACTCCGCCATCACTAACTGTTTTGAGATCTTGCATCTCGATGAACAGCTGCTCTGCTCTCTCTCTTAGGGCATGATGCTCCTTGTTTGCGACTGACACTGCTCTTGTTGAAATTCTTCCATGATTTGATATATCTGGACATGAGTACTCCCTATTAAAATGTCATGTTTTCTGTGCCATGCTCCCAGGCTGCTTTGGGTACTCAGAAATCCATTCTCTACACACTCACGTCCAGAGCACGGATTTGGGGGCGACGACGCTGGTGATCAAACAGCGACATCATTGTATGCCTTTGAATCCTCCCATAAGTATAATGATTTTCAAATCAGTCAGCAACTTTGCTGACTCCTTTAGGCAAAGGTGGCCTCAAGTCGTTAAAACCTTCTGGAAATTCATCAGCTGGAAGGAGAGCCAATGCAGACAAATGACGCATTTTAAATGGAAATGTTCATGGTTGCCGTATCACATGGCCAATTATTTCCCAGACTCTGGCTGCCTGCTCTCTGATGGAGCCTCCCCAGCCCCCAGGGGAATTGTGGTGGTCAGGATTTGGGTTTTCAAGATTTCAACATCCAGGATTTTACTCTTTCAGGTCTGTGATTTGGGGGATTTCAGAGTTTAGAGTTTTTGATCTTTCAGGATTATGATGTTTGGGATTGTGTCTTGCAGGTTTGAAGAATGAATGAGTTTGTTAGGCAGAGATGCAAGAAAAGAATGTATTTCAGGGGCTGGTGTCGTGGTGCAGTAGGTTAATCCTCTGCCTGTGGCACCAGCATCCCATATGGGCACCAGCTCGAGTCCTGGCAGCTCCTCTTCCAGTCTAGCTCTCTGCTATGGCCCAGGGAAAGCAGTAGAAGATGGCCCAAGTGCTTGGGCCCCTGCACCCACGTGGGAGACCCAGAAGAAGCTCCTGGCTCCTGGCTTTGGATCGGCTCTGCTTGGCTGTTGTGGCCATTTGGGGAGTGAGCCAGCAGATGGAAGACCTCTCTCTCTGTCTTGCCCTCTCATTCTCTGTAACTCTACTTCTCAAATAAATAAATAAATAAAATCTTAAAAAAAAAAAAAAGAACAGATTTCAGGTAGGAGAGAGAGACAGAGCGAAAGTGAAAGAGAAAGACAGAGAGAGAGAGGAGGCATGGAGTAAAAACAGGGATGGGAATGATGGGTAGTAACGCAGGGCTACTAGAGTAGAGAGTAGTGGTACATCAGATGACAAGAGGGGAGCTGGAGAGGCCAGTAGGGAACCTGGACACCTTAGAGTCGCTCCCACTGAGCCTGGCACTGTGGCGTAAAAGATTAAGCCTCTGCCTGAAGTGCCAGCACCCCATAAGGACATATGAGTCCCAGCTGCTCCACTTCCATTCCAGCTCCCTGCTGGTGCACCTGGGAAAGCAGCCCTGCACCCATGTGGGAGACCTGGAAGAAGATCCTGGCTCCTGGCTTCTGCTTGGCCCAGCCCTGGCCATTGCAGCCATTTGGGGAATGAATCAGCGGGTGGAAGGCCTCTCTCTCTCCTTCTCTCTCTGCAACTCTTTCAATTAAATAAAAATTTGTTTTTTAAAAATTGCTCCTACTGACCATGCATTCACAGAAGGCTTTCAAGCCCCTCTGCTAGGTATTAGATTGGGTGGGCACTCGCCCTCGGCCCTCGCTCTAGAGTTGAGCCACTGCTCTTCTACTGGGCCCACCCTTGTCCCTGGGCCTCATCTCTCAGGCCCTGCACCCCTGATATTTGCCTCAGGTCTCAGGGCTCTGAAAACGGCCAGCATTTGGAGCTGATTGAGTTTTCTCAAAGGACTTTAATTTTTATTTATTGATTTCTGAGTCAGAGGGACAGAGATCTCCACGCACTGGTTCACTTCCCAAATGCCCACAATGGGGTGGAAGCTAAGAGTCAGTCCGGGTGTCCAACATGCATGGCAGGGACCCAGCTACCTGAGCCATCACCTGCTGCCTCCCAGGGTGCACATGAGCATGAAGCTGGAATTGGGGGTGGAGTCAGGGCTTGAATCCAGGAACTCCAAAATGATATGCAGGAATCTTAACTGCTAGGCCAAATGCCTGCCCCTCAGGAAGAATTTTAAAGTCTCCCCTGGCCCTACACACTAAAGGAAAATGGCATGAACCTTGTGGACTTGGGTTAAGATAGGGTTTTTCCTCCTGTCACTGGAGAAGGAATTGACATTCAGCATTGTTGAGTTTCACACTTGGTTCCTGGCATGGGTCATCACCATTAAATGCATGTGAGAGCTGATAATGTGTTCCTGTTTACCCAGAGGCCATCTAACTAGATAAGGACACACCCAGATGAGATCTAGGTCTCCTTGGGCCAGGTGTTTGGCTCACCCAGTTAAGGAGACAGTGTCATGGCATAATGGGTTAAGCCACCGCCTGCAGTGCCAGCATCCCATATTGGTGCCAGTTCACATACCAGCTGCTCCACTTCTGATCCAGCTCCCTGCTAATATGCATGAGAAAGCAGCCCAGATACTGCACCTGCGCCCATGTGGGAGACCTGGATGGAATTCTGGGCTCATAGCTTCATCCTGTTGCAGCCACTTGGGGAGTGAATCAGCAGACGGAGACCTCTCTCTCTCTGTAACTTTGCCTTTCAAACAAATAAATAAAATCTCAAAGAAAATAAAAAGACTTGGTTAAGATGATTGTGTCCTCTCTCAGAGTACCTGGGTTCTGTTCCCAGCTCTGGTTCCTGACCCCAGCATTCCCACTACTGTGATCCTTAAGAAGTAGCAGTGACGGCTCAAGTAATTGTGTTCCTGCCACCTAGGCAGCAGGCCTGGATTGGTGTTTTTTTTTTTTTTTTTTTTTCAGGCAGAGTGGACAGTGAGAGAGAGAGAGAGAGACAGAGAGAAAGGTCTTCCTTTTGCCGTTGGTTCACCCTCCAATGGCCGCCATGGTCGGCACGCTGCGGCAGGCACACAGCGCTGATCCGATGGCAGGAGCCAGGTGCTTCTCCTGGTCTCCCATGAGGTGCAGGGCCTAAACACTTGGGCCATCCTCCACTGCCTTCCCGGGCCACAGCAGAAAGCTGGCCTGGAAGAGGGGTAACTGGGAAAGAATCTGGTGCCCCGACCGGGACTAGAACCTGGTGTGCCGGCGCCACTAGGTGGAGGATTAGCCCATTGAGCCGCGGCGCCAGCCTTGGATTGGGTTCTTAGCTCCTGATTTTGGTGTGGCCCCGTCAGAGCTTTTGGGAGCATTTGGAGAGTAAACCATTGGAAAGGAGTTCTGTTTGTCTTTCAAAAAAAAAAATCCATATTTTCTGACCCTCACCCCAGTGCTGTTTTTGGTGAACTGCTCCAGCGTGGAACACAAAGTATTTGGGTGCCTTAAACCCCCAGGGTCTTGCTACCGCGCTGGGGCTAAGCGGAGGCGGTGGCCCGAGAATGGGATTCTGGGAGGCATGGGGTACGTCTTTGACACCTCCATTTCCTGTTCTATGAGATGGGAACACCGCCCACCTAACCCTTCAGCTGCAGCTGAGCCGCGGTAGGAGTTCTTGTCGCCCTCCCGCGACACGATGAATCTAGGTTCGGGTCGTGGAATGGCAGCATGGGAGCTGGAAGGAGTCGTGGGCCACGCGCGGTGGCAGGCAGCTTCCTGCGGAGCAGGCGGCCTGGGAGGGACCCCAGGGCCAGGGGGAGAAGGGTTTCCTCTGAGTAACGAGCTTCCCGTCCCAGCAAGCGTTCAGCTATGAGGGCGTTCGAGCAGGGGGGATCTGGCTCCAAACGGAGCGACACCGTGGTTCCCAGCTCCCGCACATCTTCGCTGCTGTCGCTGCCCTCGGCTGAGAGGGCAGGGCGGATCATTGCAGTCCGAGACGCTGCGAGCAGCGAACGTCTCCGTTCACTGTTACCTTAGGCATAGCAGAGCAAGCCTCACAAACGATCCCGATCTCTAGAAAGTGTCATGGTCTCAGAGGATGGAGGTCTCTGTCCCTCAGTCTCGGAAATAATTAAATAAAAATTAAAGTTCCTTCTGAGAAGGCGCAATCAGCTCCAAATGCTGGCAGTTTTCAGAGCCCTGAAACCTGAGGCAAATGCCATGGTCTCGCAGGTTTATCAGATTGCCCCAGAAACCCAGAGCCCAGCGACCTTGACGGAGAGACTCCGGACGCGCGGCCTCTTCCCGCCGGCAGGGGCGGGGCCTGGTGGTGGGCGTGCCTGCGGAGAGGGGCAGGGGGTGGGGCCTTCCGTGGGCGGGGCCAGGCTGGGGGCCGGCTCCCGGGGGTGGGGCCTTCCGTGGGCGGGCCCCGGGGGACGGAAGTGGCCTCTGGAGCGGAGACGCGCGGGGCGCCGAGTGGCGGACAGGGTGTCCGCTGGCGAGGCGGGCGGTCGTCCTGTCTTTGTACACCCGAATCCCTCCTTTGCCGCCTTCTCGCTGCCACAGCTTCCCGGGACGATGGTGCCCCGCCTGCTGCTGCTGCGCGCCTGGCCCCGGGGCCCTGCGGCTGGCCCGGGAGCCCCCTGCCGGCCCCTCAGCGCCGGCCCCGGGCCGGGCTCTTACCTGCAGCGCAGCATCGTGCCCACCATGCACTACCAGGACAGCCTGCCCAGGTGAGCCCGGCCCCCTCAGCGGACTCCAGTCACTCAGGATTTCTAGCTAACCCGCTTCTGCTCCAAATCCCTACCTCAGACTGCGTCCTCCCCCACGCTGGAAGGCCTGTGACTTGCAGAATGTCCTGGCGCAGGAATCGGGACCCTCAAGTCCGCCTCCAGAGCTGCCCCTTCCCTGTCGGTCTCGCAGTTTCTCCGTCTTGAACCCTCTCACGTTTCCTCTCCATTAACCTAATTCCCAGCGGCAGACCCTGAGCCCCTTCCACTTCACCACTACCCTAACCCCTGCAAGCAGGTGACCCCGGGAGTGCTTAGTTCCTGCCCAAAGTGGGAGCCGGCCAGTTCCTGGCACCTGAGTAGATGCCCACCCACAACGTCAGGTACCCCATCTCCCCTCAGCCCCTTCCTGGAGTCCTATATTCCTGTAGCACCTCAGCCTCCCCTCCCCTCCCCTGGCCTTAACCAGCTAGGTCCAGTGCTCACCTGGGAACGTCACCCTCGCCTAACCCTACTCCCTACCTCTCCCTCCAGATTCCTTGCTTTAGAATGGCCTACTTCCTCTGCAATCCCCCCAACTTAAGCCCACTCTCTCCCACTCTCACAGAAGCCAAACACCTCGTACCCTGCTCCCCCTCCCCCAGATCATCTCCCCAACTCCATCTTTCAGATTCGACCCAGGGCTCGCTCACCCAGATGCCGACCTCCATACCACTATAGGCACACCCCACCTTCGGAAACACTTCACCCCAAAACGCCTTTCTTCCCCTCTGAAAACAGCCCCAGTGAACCTTTCTCTCCCCTGTCCTCACTCAGTACTTCCCTAAATCTGGCTCCAGTTCTCCCAGTCTTTGAACCTCCAGCCTCATCTGAGCTGCCAGGTCTCCTCCAATGTTAGAAGCCTCCCTTCACCCTGAAACCAAGCCTAACCCAACTCCTCTGTTCACTTACCACTCAGTTCTGGCGTCAAGGTGCACCTGCATCGCTAAGGCCCTTCTCTCTTTCCCACCAGAATGCCATCAAGGATCCTCCAGGCCTTGGACTGCTCCCTCTCCTTGAAAAGAGCAAACTCTATCACAGCGTGGCCCCTAACTACTGGGATTTGTTGTTGTTGTTGTTCACATTCAACAACCACTTACACCAGCATCATGCCTGCCCACCGCCACCCTCCCAGGAAATGCAGTGTACAAAAATGGAGACAGAATGAGATTGTCTCAATGTGGCAGGAAGGAGAGCGTGCAAAAGAGTCCTTGTGCTTGTGGGATAAGGCAGGGACCGCCTGCTGGCTGCAGCCTGTGACGAGCAGAGCCAGTATGTAGGGGAAAGGTGAGGACTGACAGAGCCTGTCTTCTCGTGCCAAGCCCGGAGTCAGATGGTCACTCACTGTCGGGCAGCCCTGGGCCCCACCCAGCATAAAGATCAGAGGAGTTGTTTGCACTTCAGAATTGGAAAACCGGAAGAATATTCAGCATTATGGACTCCTGCTTCTTCCACAGCATAAAAATCTGTAGGAATCTGGAGGTCCAAACCATTTCACTCAGGACTCAGTCTTAGGCAACCACGGCCCCAGGCAGCCATTACCACATCTCTAGTGGGAGTTAGATGAGAGGTGAAATTGCTTCTGTCACTGAGAGCTGGGCTAGTAAACACTCCTGACGTCTCGCTTGGAGAAAGGTCCTGCCTTTGAAACCGGGCAGAGCTTAGTTTCAGATTCTTCTTCTGTAACTTGGGGCAGTTCAGTTTACCTGGAGGCCAGGTGTTTACCTGTGCCGTAGGAGCGACAACACAGCTTTTAGTGCTATGGTAAGCTTAGTCTGAGATAAGGCCCTGCCCTTTGCCTGGTCCTCTTATCACTGCTGCCTTTTAACCAAGTAACCTTGGACTTGTTCCTTTAGGAACCTTTATACTATCATTTGCTTATTTTTTTAATGATTGATTTATTTATTTGAAAGGCAGAAATACAGAGAGGGAGGGAGAGAGACAGAGATATCTTCCATTCGTTGGTTCACTCCCCTAATGGCCCCAATGGCCAGGGCTGAGCCAGGCTGAAGCTAAAAGCCAGGAGCTTCTTCTGGGTATCTCAAGTGGGTGCAGGGGCCCAAGCACCTGGGCCATCTTCTGCTGCTTATCCAGGAGCATTAGCAAGGAGCTGGATCAGAAGTGGAGCATCTGGGACTTGAACCAGTGTCCGTATGGGATGCCGGCACTGCAGATAGGTGACTTAACCTGCTATGCCACAGCGCCAGCTCCTATTTGCTTATTTTTTAAGTGTCATTTTGTTCTTGATTTTTTTTGTTAGTGTGATAAAATAGGCATAATAAAATTAGCCATTTTGGCACTTAGGTGTATGATGAAGGTGGATGTTGGGGTCAGCGCCATGGCATAGTAGGTTAATCCTCCACCTTTGGTGCCAGCATCCCATAGGGCACTTGTTCTAGTCCTGGCTGCCCCTTTTCCAATCCAACTCTCTGCTATGGCCTGGGAAAGCAGCAGAAGTGGCCCAAGTGTTTGGGCGCTGCACCTGCATGGGAGACAGGAAGAAGCACCTGGCTTCTGGCTTTGGATCGGCGCGGTTCCAGCTATTTTGGTCATCTGGAGAGTGAACCAATGGAAGGAAGACCTTTCTCTCCCTCTCACTGTCTGATTCTACCTCTCAAATAAATAAAATCTTAAAAGGTGGATGTTATTTAAAAAAAAAATTTTTTTTTTGACAGGCAGAGTGGACAGTGAGAGAGACAGAGAGAAAGGTCTTCCTTTTTGCCGTTGGTTCACCCTCCAATGGCCGCCGTGGCTGGTGCGCTGCGGCCGGCGCACCACGCTGATCCAATGGCAGGAGCCAGGTGCTTCTCCTGGTCTCCCATGGGGTGCAGGGCCCAAGCACTTGGGCCATCCTCCACTGCACTCCCGGATGTTATTTTTAAGGGCTGTGTTTGCATAAGCTGAGAGTATAAGACTGCCTGGCTTGATCACGTTAATTCACATTATTAATGGCGAAGCACGCGTTGCTGTGGATTTGGAGACCAGCCAGTCATGGCAAGGTGCTTGCTTACAGCAGGGGGCGGAGTTTGGCAAGGAAAGAGGCCTCTATGATGTGATGTGGTGAGTGGGAAGCAGCATCTGCGGTCATTAAGATCATGTGACAGGGATCAGGCCTGCTTTTTTTTTTTTTTTTTATTTGAAAGGCAGAGAGAGTCAGATCTGCTGGTTCACTCCCCAGATGCCTGCAGTAACTGCAGCTAGGCCATGCTGAAACCTGGAGTCAGGAGTTTTATCCAGGTCTCACATGTGATGGCAGGAGCCCAAGTACCTGGGCCGTCATCCTGCTGCCTCGCAGGCACATTTGCAGGAAGCTGGGTCAGAAGCAGGCACTCCAGTACCGTATGCAGGCCTCCCCAGCCTTACCCCCTGTGCCACAACACCCAGCCCTCAGACCTACTTTTTAATCCCTGCTCCACCTCTTACTGTCATCACAGCCATGAGCAAGTCATCTAACCTTAAAAAGGGAATGATAATTCCATTGTAATTAGAATTAGAATAGTACTCTGATATAAAGCAGTTAGTGCGGGATCTGGCACATAGTCAGTATTCAGTAGATACTCACAAGTACTGACATTGCTTTAAACAGACCTTTTTTACATGTCTGGAACGTACCAGAAGTGACCCATTGTGTCAGTGTGGAGGTTCGAGTGACTTAGTGCCTGGGAGAGAGAAGAAGGCTTCACAGTGGAGCTGACACTAGCGGCGGAATCTGAGAGGAGTGAGGGAGGGGAGTGCAGCAGGTGCCTGGGAGCAGAGGCTTGAAACATAACAAGTTCAGAGAGTTTGAGAAGTTTATGGTAGGCCCAGCCTAAAGAATCACCATTTAGGCCTTAAGATACTGCAGTTGGCCTGGGGGTATGTATGGGGAGGAGGAGCCTATGGTATCATTAAAAAGGCAATTATCAGATTCCATGCTGGGTCTGTAATTGATCCCCAGTAAATGTCTGTTATCTGGGTTTTTGTTTTGTTTTGTTGTTTTGTTTGAGACACAGAGCTCCATCCTTTGCCTCACTCTGCAAATGCCACAGTGGCCTGGGTCAGGCCAAAGCCAGGAGCTGCGAACTCAATCCAGGTGTCCCATGTGGATGGCAGAAGCCCAGTTGTCCTCCTGTCACCTGCCTCTCAGGGTCTGCATCAGTAGGAAGCTGAAGTCAGGAGGCAAAGCTAAATGCCCAGCCCTGTTGTTGTTCTTTTAATCCCTGTTCATTGTAGGAGGTGACTGGAATTCTCTGGAATTCATGTGGGAGGCGTGCGAGCAGAGTTCCAGATGTGGAGAATAATGGAGGTAGCAACCAAAATGTTCTGGGCCCAAAGGGTCTGTCTTTTAGACAGACTGTCTTAACACCAGAGTTACTGTATTCCCAAGCAGCCCTGTGAAAGCCCTCTGAACTACCAATGGATTGTATGTGTTTAGAGAAGGCTTTCTAGCCCTGTCCTTGCAGGAAGGATAAAGTGCCTGCCTGGGCTGGTTGGATTCTGAGAGTCATTTACACAGCACTTACTTTTCTTCCATCTTTGTTTCTTTTTAAAGATTTATTTTATTTTATTTCAAAGGTAGATTTACAGAAAGAGTGAGAGATCTTCCATCTGCTGGTTCACTCCCCAAATGACCACAACAGCTGGGGCTGGGCCAGGCTGAAGCCAGGAGTTGTCTGGGTTTCCCACGTGGGTGCAGGGGCTCAAGTACTTCAACCATCTTACACTTCTTTCCTTGATGGAGGGAGCTGTATGGGAAGTGGACTAGAATTGGCGCCCATATGGGATACTGACGTCACAGGCGGTATCTTAACCCGCTGCCCCACAATGCAGGCCCTTCCGTCTTTGCTGTGGCAGGTGCCGGGGGTTGGGGTGGGGAGGATGGAACTGCCAAGACCCAGGCTCTGCCTTTTTCAAGGCCTGGTGAATTACATCGCTGAGAGCTCAAGGACCCCTGGTGTGCACAAGAAAGCTCTGATGTTCTTCAAGGAACAGTGGAGGAAGCAGGTGTGCACAGAGGCAGGAGGTGATCTCACATCTTGCTTTTTCGAGAGAATAAATGTCAACTCGAAGAATAGTATGTGAGCATTTATTGAAAAGGAAATTGTTAGAATCAAGGCTTTCGTAGTAGCAAGTTATAGAGACTCCAGTTCAATGTGGCTTGAGCAAATAAGACCATGTAAACAGACAGAACTGAGCATTCGGGTTGGATCTGGGGGCTCAAAAGGTATCAGCAGGATTCTCTTTGGTCTTCCTGTGTAACTCCATTCTCAAGCAGGCCGTCCTCATGGTGACAGAGTGGCAGCCAGCATGTAAGATATAGTTTACATCTCATCTCCTGGTGACTTTTGTGGTAGAGATTCCCCCTTGCTACAAGTTTTGGAAAAAAAAGTCCTGTAATCAAGTCTTTCTAGGTCTGGACCAGTAAGTTGTAAACCTGACCTAGAGTTGGGCTGGAGTCAGTTTTGCCTAGATCAAAGGGATTGAGCAAGAAGAGTTGGTTCTTCCAGGAAAACAGGATGCTCTTACTGGAAGAAGGGAGAATGGATGTGGGCCCAGCCACACAACAGGAATGGTGAAATAAAAAAATAATTTCCATGTAAATTACTTAGTCTCTGGGATTCTGTTATAGCAGCACAAAACAGACTAAGATACGGGGTAAAAGAAGGTGTAATTAGCTAACCCATTCAACAGGAGAGGTGCATTTCACATCTCTCTGTGGGACTGTTCTCCAGTGCCTAGACTGCAAATGGAGTCTGAGACATTGCGTAACTTGTCACCTACAATCATGTTACTGGAGATGAAGTGACAGACTGGATTCACACCTATTTCCACTTTGTTGGTAATTCTTAGGCTTTGGGATAAAATAGATTAGTAAAATTATGGCGGAAATACCATCAACATTCTCTGGAGGAGGGCAGGATATATGTATATATATATATATATATAGAGAGAGAGAGAGAGAGAGAGAGAAGGAACTAAATCATCACTGTGAAAACTTGTTTTACCCCTGTAAAGTAAAAATCAAGCTAGAGTGAACACTCCAGAAGTGTGTAAGGGACTGGTTTGTTGTTTGAAACACAGTGAATCAGAGACAGATGCTTCCCATCTAAATGCTCACACCTGCCAGGGCTGGGCTGGGCCTAAGCCAGGAACCAGGAGGTCAACCCAGTTCTCCCATGTGGGTGGCAGGGACCCAAGTTTTTGAGCCATCATCTGCTGTCTCCCAGGTGCACATTAGCAGTAAGCTAGAACAGGAGCAGAGATGGGACTTGAACCCAGGCTCTCCAATATGGGATGCTGGCATCCCAAGCAGTGTCTTTATTTATTTAAAGATTTATTTATTTGAGAGCTAGAGTTACAGACGGATAGAGGGAGAGACAGAAAAGGTCTTCCACCCGCTAGTTCACTCCTCAAATGACCACAGTGGCCAGAGTTGAGCCTATCCAAAGTCAGGAGCCAGAAGCTTCTCTGGGTCTCCCATGTGGGTGCGGGGCCCAAGCACTTGGGCCATCTTCTGCTGCTTTCCCAGGAGCATTAGCAGGGAGCAGGATCAGAAGTAGAGCAGCCAGGACTCTACTGGGGCCCTTATGGGATGCTGGCATCACAGGTGGCAGCTTTACCCACTTTGCCACAACACCAGTCCCCACACAGTATATCTTATAGTACACTTTTAAACTGTACTTTGTGGATAATGTTTCAGTTTTCCTAAATGACTGATACATATTAATATTTTGCACAAGATCAGTGTTAAATTTGAGTTGGCATAGGTTGCCTAACAAATTACAGTTGTTTTAATACTAGGTGACCTATATTCCAATAAAACTATTTAAATGAAAGAAAAAATACACTTCATCACCCTAATTTAATTTCACCATGGACCAGTAACTTCATCACTGGAAATCTACTAGTAGAGAATAAGTAGGCCAACTCTAGTTCCTGTTATTAAACACTTGGAAGTATCTGGTTCTGCCCAGTAGGATTCCTGGTGGCCAGGCATGGCCTGACAGTTCTCAATTCCTGTCTTTCTGTGAACGCAGCTCTCATGTTTGGCTGGCCCTTGGACAGATCTTTATTTAAGTATTAGGTGATTCTCTGTTATAGAATGCACAAGAAAGAAATTTTAAAAAAGAACCTTTTCTATTTATCCTGGAGGGAAAAATGCAGTGGTTCAAATGGACAGAATTAATTCAGTGCCAATACAGTCTTAGCTCAGGTACAGCAATTGTGACAAGGAAACAGGAATACTTGGCACAGCTTCTCGGTGCCCATTTTGAATCTATTATTGTTACTAAAAATATGTAACTTAAAAAGTTATCATTGTGCTTGAAAACAGAGTTGTCAGTTATGCTTACATCAATAAATCCACGGATTCTGTTTTGCCAGTGGCTTCCCATCATTGGCTTTTTGGAATGAAACTAATTACCCAATAACCGATGTATTAGTTTGGCATGTGAAGCTAATTAGCGTCTTCTGGGTGTTGTCAGCCTTACACTGTCCTCGCTTTGTCCCCAGGCTGCCTATTCCCAAACTTGAAGACACCATTAGGAGATACCTGAGTGCCCAGAAACCTCTCCTGGATGACAGCCAGTTCAGGTAAACACTGTGAACCCTGAGTGACCACGGTTGGGTGGTTCAAGAGAGGCCGGCAAGTAGTGGTGGACTAAGCTCTGGAGAACGTCTATGGTTTGATGGGATCTCCAGGAACGTGGAACCCAGTTTATACATCTGCAGGTTCAGGAAGTCGATTTTTCATTCATGAGGGACTGACCAAACCCTCAGCCTAGAGTCCCTCCAGTCAGACTCAGAAGGAAGTGGTTTGTAAGCCAAAATGCCAGATTTGTTCTTTTGGATGCTGGCAGGGGCACTTGGGTCGTTTGCAGAGGGCATGTGCTCTTGCTAGGGAGGTCCATTGAGAAGACAGTATGGCAGACCGGAAGTTGGCTTGCTGAGTGTTTCCTGGGTTGGATAGGGTGCCTCTCAGACTTAGGCCTCCCAGAACCTCACTGTATGACCTTGCTTGGAACTAGGGTGTTGCAGGCATAATGAGTTCACGTGAGGAGTCGGGGAGTCCTTACTCCAGTATGACTGATGGCCTTGTAAGAAAATGAGCAGAGACACAGAGACTCCCACGTGAGGACGGAGGCAGAGGCTGGAGTGATGTGTCAGCAAGCCAAGGAGAACCAGGGATTGCCAGCAACACCAGAAGCCAAGAGAAGCACTTGGAGCAGTGGTCAGAGTGCATGTGCTCCTGTTGACTCCCTCATTTGTGTGTTTCCTGCCCCCAGAACTGTGAGAGAATGCACTTCTGTTGTTAAGCTACCACGTGTGTGATGCTTTGTTATGACAGTCCTAAGAAACAAAGCAGCAAGGAATTAGAAAGTAGTATTGGATATTGTCAAAAAGTAGATTGCGTTAAGCTCTCGTAGCCTAGTGTGGTACTCTTTCCATGGTGAGAATTTTCTTGTTCAGGTAACTAGCATTGTCGTTGGAATCCCAGAGCCCTTCACTGGACGATGAAGAGAAAACAGATGTGTTGTTCATCTTGTAATCCTCTGCTTTTAGGTGTTCTTTGTTAGTCACTGGAAGTTTCTCTTGGAATGTTAATGGACTAGTAATTAAATGAGGGTTATGATTTAGACTGTCCTAAATCCTTAGCTTTATGAATTTTTTAATCTTATATTATCTCTGTTTTACACATCAAGAAACTGAGACTTAGACTGAGTAATCTATATCCAAAGTTACGCAATTTGAGAGTGACAGAGCCAGGATTTAAACTTGGCTCTTTTTGACTCTAAAGTTTATGTCCTTTTCTTCATGTCTAACTACCGCCTAGAGGACAGATTATTTTATGAGCTGTTGATTGTTCTTTCTGTTCAGTCATCCTAGAGATAGTGTAGATTAATCCATTTTGGGTAAGTTCCTGTCCTGATGAGAGGTACTTTCTGATCTCATTCCCAGGTCTTGGGATATGCCACTGGGGATCCAGAACTCTTTGTATGAGTTTTTGGCTTTGAATCTAAACATCTTGTACTGTGTACCATGGTTTGGATCTGTCTTTCCTTGAACATTTCAGGAAAACAGAACAATTCTGTAAGAGTTTTGAAAACGGAATTGGAAAAGAACTGCACAAGCAGCTGGTCGCCCAGGACAAGCGGAATAAACACACGAGCTACATCTCAGGTGGGAAGCCTCGACTGTGGGCGTCGTTTTGGTCAGAGACCTCCATATTGGAAAGTCAGGCCTCTTCTCTCCTGTTGTGGTGAGACCAGCATTGAAGTAATGGCTCAGGCTTCTTCTGACTGCGGTACTTAGTCCAGAGCAGTGGCTTACTTCCTCCGAAAGGTGGCGCTGAGACAGAACCTCTCAGTTGTCCTGTCAGAGTGCCACGCAGGATTAAGTCCTCCATCCCGTGCCACTCTGGGTCAGTCCTCTCTAGCCTCGGCTTTCATCACTTTATGCTCCCACAAAACCAAACCTGTTAGTCTTCCATTCTTCTGTGTCACTATCCATGTTGTTCCTGGCAAATTCTTTTAAGATTCGATGTGAGGCCGGCACTGTAGCCCAGAGGATTAAGCCACCACCTGTGATGCCGGCATCCCATATGGGCACCAGTTCAAGTCCCAGTTGCTTAACTTCTCATCCAGCTCCTTGCTTATGATGCCTGGGAAAGCAGCGGAAGATGAGACAAGTCCTTGGGCCCCTGTACCTGTGTGGGAGACCTAGAAGAAGCTCCTGGCCCCTGACTTTGGCCGTACTGAACCCTAGCAGTTGTGGGTATTTGCAGAGTGAACCAGTGGAGGGAAGATCTCTCTCCCTCTCTCTCTGTGACTCTGACGTTCAAATAAAATAAATAAACTTAAAGAAAGATCAGGGCTGGAGGGCAGGCATTTAGCCCAGGGGTTAAGATACCAGTTAAGACACCTGTGTCCCAGGTAGCAGAGTACCTGGGTTTGATCCCTGTCTCTGGCTCTTCACTCCAGCTTCCTGCTGATGCAGATCCTTTGAGGCAGTGGTGATGGATCCAGTAATTGGATCCTTGCCACTCATGTGGGAAATGTGGATTCCATTCCCAGCTCTTGGCTTCAGCCCAGCCCGGCTCTGGCCATTGTGGGCATTTGGGGGAGTAACCAGCTTACGGTCCATCTCTCTCTCTCATCTCTCTGCCTGTCAAATAAATAAATTAATTAAAACAGAAAAAAGAAACACACACACACAACTGGCCGAGTTTGAGGTGAGCATTTAGCCTAGTGGGTAAGACCCTGGTTAGGTTGCCTGTGCCCGAGTTCACTGCCTGGCTCCTGCTCCTGCTGCTGCCTCTAGCTTCTTGCTGGTGCAGACCCCCGGAAGCAACAGTAGTGCCTCATGTGATTGGGTTCCTACCACCTGTGTGGGGTCCCTGGATTGAATTCCTGGCTGCTGGCTTTGGGCCAGCCCAGCCCAGCCCAGGGAGTCCCAACCATTTTAGGCATTTTGGAGTGAACAATTGTATGAGAGCTCTCTGTGTATGTCTGTCTCTGTCTCTCAAATTAATTAATTTTTAAAAAAGATCCAGGGGTTGGCAGGTTAAATTGTCTCTTGGGACACCCACATCCCAAATTGGAGAGGCTGGTCTGAGTCCTAATGCAGGCACTTCCTATCCAGCGTCCTGCTCATGCTTCTGGGAAGGCAGCAGGGGATGGCCCAGGTGCCTGGGTCCCTGCCACCCATGTGGGAGACTAGCTGGAGTTCCTGGCTCCTGACTTTGGCCTAGCCCTGTTGCTGTAAGCATTTGGGGAGTAGACCAGCAGGTGGAAAATCTCTCACTCTTTCTGTCTCTCCCTCTTTCTCTTTCACTTTGCCTTTTAAATCAATCAATCAATCAATCTTGAGGGGAAAAAAAAAACAGGGTAGACTTTCTGTGTAAACTTCTCAGTTCTTTTCTCTCTCCATTCAGTTGTGGTTTCCAAAAGCCTCTGTTTCTAAACTTCTTTTAATTTAGTATAGATTTTTGTCATAATTATACAAGGTATTTTTAAAAGTTTATGGGAAATGTAAAATATGAAAAAACTATGCATGGATTTCAATTTTTTTTTCACCAAAAACAAACTCACCTTTTGATTCCATTTTTCACAAATTTTTTAAAGTGCCCTTATACATGCATGTAGTCTAAAAAATCAGAGAGTCCGGGGACCAGTGCTGTGGCATAGCAGGTTGGACTACTGCTTGCAACACCGGCATCCCATATGGGCCCCAGTTCGAGCCTTGCCTACTCCACTTCCAATCCAGCTCCCTACTAGTGCACGTGGGAGAGCAGTGGACAGTGGCCCAAGTACTTGTTCCTCTTTATCTGTCCCTTTTTATGTTCCTCTTTATCTGTTTTTCTCTTTAAACTGGTAGCAGTCACTTCCTGGGGAAACTTGAGAGTCCTTTTTTTAGTTACATTTCTCCCTAAACCCCAGATGAAATCAAATGTTGCCAGTTTTATCTCTTACACACTTCTCCAGCCTGTCCCTCCTCTTCATCCCCCTGGCCTCTGCCACAGTACAGGCTGCATCATGTCCCCCTTGTGCTGTGAGTAGTAGGCCCTAAATGAGATCGCCTCCAGCTCTCCCGGCCAACACGTCCTCTGCACTGCTGCCCACATGCTGCTCCTACAATCCCATCTGGCTTTCATCCTGTCTTCCCCGTGGGAGACCCCGATGGAGTTCCAGGCTCCCGATTTTGGCCTGGCCCAGCCCTGGATGTTGTGGCTGTTTGGGGGAATGAGCCAACAGATGGAGGATCTTTCTCTCTGTCTCTCCCTCTCTCTCTCTAGCTCTGCCTTTCAGATAGATAAATAAATGCTTTTAAAAAAAATCAGATAATTCTGTAAGACTTTTTGGGAAAAACAGCAATTTCCTACCCTCCCCTAATTTCTTCCCTTTTTGCCTTCTTTCAGCTCCTAATTGTCATGTAGCATATTGGGATTAGTTTTCTATTCCTGTACAAACTTCTTGTTTTCTCTGAAGTTAGTAATTATACCATCTTTTCTTTTCTTTTTTTTTTTTTTTAAGATTTATTTTATTTATTTGAAAGAGTTACAGAGAGAGGTGGGACAGAGAGAGAGAGAGGTCTTCCATCCGCTGGTTCACTCCCCAACTGCCTGCAACGGCCGGAGCTACGCCAATTGAAGACAGGATCCAGGAGCTTCCTCTGGGTCTCCCACATGGGTGCAGGGGCCCTAAGACTTGGGCCACCTTCTATTGCTATCCCAGGCCACAGCAGAGAGCTGGATAGGAAGTGGAGCAGCCAGAACTAGAACTGGCGCCCATATGGGAGTTGGCGCTTCAGGCCAGGGCGTTAACCCGCTGCGCCACAGCACCGCTCCCCATCTTTTCTTTAGTTTAGCTTTCTCTGTGCTTAACAGTTTACTCCCAGACTCTTGCTAAGCTGTCTGAGTCTCCTCCCAGGACAGGCGACCACGTAACATCTTCTGCCAGTTTTGGCCGCGATGAAGTCTTTTCTAGAACTCCTGGCTTGCTCCAGTCTGGATCTGGGGAGCTCTTGGCCTGTGGTGAGGCTGCTCCCTTGGGCTCTTGCCCCATCAGCTGTTTGTCCCCCATCTGTCTTACCTCTGTTCCTTCTTCAGGTGCTTCTCATCCTCTCTGTTGTCTGAGAGAGACAGGCAGACAGACAGACATCAGAAAGCTGTTGAAGCTCTGTGGGTGAGGGTGGGGCTTGTCAGTTACAGACTTCCCACTACACTGTTTGTGATCGGGCTACACTCTTTGCTTGGCGTGCCCCTAATAGCAGTGTCTTTGGATTCGGGTGGGTAGGAGCCCCAGGGAGTGGGGAGGATTGCTAGTGTTGCGGAAGTGTGGTGGGGAGGAAGGTTCAGGATCTCAGCTGTGACTCACAGTCCCCCATTTTACTTTGTCCAGAGTGGGAGGGAATCTTAGGGCAGCGGTGGTGAGCTAATTAAACAGTCTTTCAGCCAGGTGTATCCAGCCCGCCCATTCCCCAGCCCCCTGCAGGTCTGCTGGGTAAATCCGATTTTCCCTGCGCTGTCTCCTGCGAGGTTAGGACTGGCTTTCTTGAATTTGTTGTGGGCGTTACCAGTTGTCCGCTTGTTTTCCAGCTTCCAATATTTGCTCTCTTCTTCCACTCTCTTAGCCTTATTGATTTATGTCTCTTTACAGTCATTTTACTATAGGAGGGTTCTTGCATTTTTTAAAGGTTTAGTTGAGAGTCAGAGTTACCTACAGAGAGAAGAGATAGATAGATAGATAGATAGATAGATAGATAGATAGAGGTCTTCCATCCACTGGGTCACTCCGCAAATGGCTGCAATGTCTGGATGTGGGCCAATCCGAAGCCAGGAGCCAGGAGCTTCTTCCAGGTCTCCCACGCGGGTGCAGGGGTCCAAGCACTTGGGTCATCCTCTGCTGCCTTCCCAGGCCAAAGCAGAGAGCTGGATTGGAAGTGGAGCAGCCAGGACTCGAACCAGCACCCACAGGGGATACCAGCATCAGAGGTGGAGGCTTACCCTACTATACCTTGGCACCTGCACTGGGTTCTTGCATTCAGGTCTTCTTTCATCAACTGTATCTTACCCACCAGGACTTGTTTGCACTTAGTACACTGCACTTCACCAGAGTTCTTTCCAAATCACAGACCTTACCCTATTCCTCTCAATCCCCTGGACCAGGCCCTGGCATAGCACTGATTCTTCAGGAATGGAATAGAATGAATGGATCAACAAATGTGCAACAGATAGATTTACATCTTCTGATCATTTCCCAGGCTTTTCCATGTGGAAATAATTTCATTCAATGGAATATGGTCCAGTGGAAGATGTAGAGTTTGTTCTTGCTAATCCCCCCAGGAACTTCTCTTAAAGACACATTTTATCTTTTCTTTTCTTTTTTTTTTTTTTAAGATTTATTTATTTATTTGAAAGGCAGAGGTATAGAGAGGCAGAGGCAGAGAGAAAGAGATAATCTTCCATCTGCTGGTTCACTCCCTAAATGGCCGTAAGAGAGCTGGGTCCATCTGAAGCCAGGAACCAGGAGCTTCCTCCAGGTCTCCCATGAAGGTGCAGGGTCCCACGCACTTGGGCCATCTTCTACTGCTTTCTCAGGCCGTAGCAGAGAGCTGGTTCAGAAGTGGAGCACTGCTTGCTTCAGCACATATACTAAAATCGGAATGATACAGAGATTAGCGTGGCCCTGTGCAAGGATGACATGCAGATTCATGAAGTGTTCTATAGTTTTGTGTGGCGTAGCGGGTAAAGCCAATGTTGGCAGTGCTGGCATACCATATGGGTGCTAGTTCAAGTCCCGGCTGCTCCACTTCCAATCCAACTCTGCTGTGGCCTGGGAAAGCAGTGAAAGATGGCCCAAGTCCTTAGGCCCCTGCACCTGCGTCCGAGACCCAGAAAAAGTCGCTGGCTCCTAGCTTCGGATTGTGCAGGTCCAGCTGTTGTGGCCATCTGGGGAGTGAACTAGTGGATGAAAGACCTCACTCTCTCTCTCTCTCTGCCTCTGCCTCTCTCTGTAACTCTGCTTTTCAAATAAGTAAATAAATCTTAACAAAAAAGAAGAAGAAGAAGAAGAAGAAGTGGAGCAGCCAGGACTCGAACCAGCGCCCATATGGGATGCTGGCACTGTAGGCGGCTGCTTTACCTGATATGCCACAATGCCGGCCCTGACACATTTTTCTGATAAAATATCACAGCTGGAGTTTTTACAGGCAGAGCGTGCCCAGAATGTCCACATACGAAAGGTCTTCAAAAAGTTCATGTGGGGCCAGGTGTTTGGCCTAGGTGTTGAGATGCCACTTCAGACACTCCTGTCCCACACTGGAGCACCTAGCTTCTATCCTGGCGCTGGCTCCGGATCCCAGTTCCAGCCTCCTGCCAGTGCAGACCCTGGGAGGCAGCAGGTGGTGGCTCGGGGACTTGGGTCCTTCCACTCACGTGGAAGACCTGAGTTGAGTTCCTGGTTCTTGGATGGTCAGCAGATGGGAGCTCTCCCTTTCTGTTTCTGTTTCTCTGCCTCTCAAATTAAGAAGAAAAAAAGTTCTTGGAAAATGCACATTGTGAAAACATTGCATGGACTGTGGAATATTTTTCACCAAAATCTTTTAATTCCTGTGAATTTTTTGTGTCTCATAGACACAAAAGCTTGTCTATTAATATTCATGGCATTATTTGGCAATATGAAGAACTGATACATGCAACAACATGGATGACCCTCAAAAGCATTCTCCTAAGTGATAGATGCTAGATGCAAAAAGCCATCTTTTGTATGATCCTGTTCACAAATCATGGATTGTCGCAGAAGCTCCACCTTCTGGAGGCTGAAGGCATTTCCTCTGCCTGTGCCTAAAGTTTTTTTCTTATATTTTATTTTTGAAGACATTACCTTTCTGTGTTTTTTATTTTGTAGGCCCCTGGTTTGATATGTACTTAACTGCTCGAGACTCTGTTGTTCTGAACTTTAATCCATTTATGGCCTTCAATCCCGACCCCAAACCCGAGTATAACGACCAGCTCACCCGGGCGACCAACATGACCGTTTCTGCCATCCGCTTTCTGAAGACGCTCCGGGCTGGCCTACTGGAGCCGGAAGTGTTCCACCTGAACCCTGCCAGAAGCGACACCAACACCTTCAAGAAACTCATACGCTTTGTGCCTTCCTCTCTGTCCTGGTACGGGGCCTACTTGGTCAACGCATATCCCCTGGATATGTCCCAGTATTTCCGGCTTTTCAACTCCACGCGTTTACCCAAACCCGGTCGGGATGAACTCTTTACAGATGAAAAGGCTAGACACCTCTTGGTTCTCAGAAAGGGAAATTTCTATGTCTTCGATGTCCTGGATGAAAATGGGGACATGGTGAGCCCCTCAGAAATCCAGGCACATCTGAAGTACATTCTCTCGGACAGCAGCCCGGTCCCCGACTTCCCCCTGGCGTATCTGACCAGCGAGAACCGGGACGTCTGGGCAGAGCTCCGGCAGAAGCTGGCGACTGGCGGCAATGAGGAGGCCCTGAGCAAAGTGGACTCTGCCGTGTTCTGCCTCTGCCTCGATGACTTCGCCATCAGGGACCTTGTCCACCTGTCCCACAGCATGCTGCATGGCGACGGCACAAACCGCTGGTTTGATAAGTCCTTCAACCTCATCCTGGCCAAGGACGGCACCGCCGCCGTCCACTTTGAGCACGCCTGGGGAGATGGTGTGGCGGTGCTCAGGTTTTTTAACGAGGTCTTTAAAGACAGCACGCAGACTCCTGCCGTCACTCCGCAGAGCCAGCCGGCCACCCTCGACTCCGCGGTGGCCGTGCAGAAACTCAGCTTCGAGCTGAGTGATGCCCTGAAGGCCGGCATCAGCGCTGCCAGAGAGAAGTTTGACGCCACCGTGAGAACCCTCACTGTCGACTGCTTGCAGTTTCAGAGGGGAGGCAAGGAGTTCTTGAAGAAGCAGAAGCTGAGCCCGGACGCGGTGGCCCAGCTGGCCTTCCAGATGGCCTTCCTCCGGCAGTACGGGCGGACGGTGGCCACCTACGAGTCGTGCAGCACCGCGGCGTTCAAGCACGGCCGCACCGAGACCATTCGGCCCGCGTCCGTCTTCACCAAGAGGTGCTCCGAGGCCTTTGTCAGGGAGCCCTCGAAGCACAGCGCCGGCGAGCTGCAGCAGATGATGGCCGCCTGCTCCAAGTACCACGGCCAGCTGACCAGAGAAGCGGCGATGGGTGAGGCAGGGGTGGGAGCGGGCCTCTGGCTCTGCGTTTGGGTAGGCTCCGTTATATTCAACCCCTGTTAACCATGGTTTAACCCATCTGCCAGCTCCCAAAGGGATTTTTTTAATACTGTCGTGGTCTGAACAGCCAGGCAGCCCCTGGGGATCAGCATGGCCTCACCTCCTAAGCAGGGATGGGGAACCGCATCCAACTTCACCCTCATTTAAGGCACGTGCAGCCATGATGCCTAGTTCTCCCCTCTCTGTAGTTTTCTGGTTATCAGACTCACTTTTTACAAAAAAGTACAAAAAAGACTTCCCGGCCCGCAGCCCCTCTCATTTCACGTTGCTCCCTGTCGTCTCGGAAGCTGGCCCCAGATTACTCAGTGTCATCCTCCTTCACCTCTTTAGGGCCGCATTCGAGACCTGCACAGGTCCCGGGGCCCCTGCAGTCTGGTCCTGGTGCCGCAGGGCCTCCAAGACCCTCTGGTCTTCTCCTTGTCCGTTTGGTGGGGTGGAACCTGAGGCCACTGGCCCAGTGGTACTCAGCAAGTTAGTGGTAAGAGTGGGATCAGGACCCTGGCCAAACACCCTCTCCCCTTTGCGACACTGATGCAGTCTGGTGTGTTACGTTGGGTTTTGGGTCCACAGCTCTCTTCACATACTGTCTTGACTATTTGACTAAACAGATTCAGAATTTTGAAAATTTCAGGCTCTTGTTTAGCTCAGCTGTTGATAACTTTATTAAAAAATGTATAATGGAGCATTTTTAAATAGAACTAAAAATCTAGAATGAGCTGCCCTGAAGGCTAGTGAGCAGGAGGTAGGCGTGCAGAGACAGAGGGACCCTCTTTCCCCTCTCCCGTGGGTGGAGCTTTCTCTCCTGGGCGGGGCTTTCTCCCTGTGGGCGGGAGGTTTTCCCAGGGCCCTCTGCAGCTCTGGGGTGCTGAGCTCTGCTTTTCCTTTTCGTCGCTCACAGGCCAGGGCTTTGACCGACACCTGTTTGCTCTGCGGTGCCTGGCAGCAGCCAAGGGGATCGTCTTGCCTGAGCTCTACCTGGACCCTGCGTACGGGCAGATAAACCACAACATCCTGTCCACCAGCACGCTGAGCAGCCCGGCCGTGAGCCTGGGGGGCTTTGCCCCCGTGGTCCCTGATGGCTTTGGCGTTGGGTACGCTGTCCATGACAACTGGATAGGCTGCAATGTCTCCTCCTACCCCCGCCGCAATGCCCGCGAGTTCCTCCAGTGCGTTGAGAAGTCTTTAGAAGACATGTTTGATGCCTTGGAAGGCAAATCCCTCAGAACCTAGCCGGTGGGCGGGTGGAGCGCCTCGGTTGCTTCCTCATGCTGGAAATCGGGACCTGTGCACCCAGTGGGTGCTGTCCTGGGCCTAATGAAGGTGATCGCGAGGGGCCTGGGCTGCCAGAGCCGCAGGCCTGAGCTCCAAAATCATGGATTTAAAGCGAGCATGTGATTTCCAAGTGGGACTCGATGAGGAGAGGGTTCAGTTTGAAGAGCGTTTGATCAGGAGCTAGGGTTTGGGACGATAACTCAGGTGCTTTTATATTTAAGCAGAAATAAATGTGGCTGCTGCTCGGAGAGGAGTCCTCGTCATTGCCTCCCTCTCGTGGCCTCGTGTCCACGGAGGACCCGCCCACAGAAGGCTCAGGAGGCTCAGGCAGCCGCGCCGTCTTCAGGTGCCGTCCTGTCCGCGGCCCGGCCCCGCCCCTGCTGCCAGCGATGCGCTGCTGCTCCGTCCGCCTGGAGGCCGTGCCCCTGGCTTAGGGAAGTGCCACTGTCCCGCCGCCTGGCAGTGGGCGCGTGTTTGCGGTCCCCAGCTATGGCTGAGGGTGGGAGGCGTGGCTCCTCACACCTTGCACTGAGGAGCCCATGTCACCGAGTGGACCGCACACAGATGGTTCCTCACCAGTTCACCGTCAAAACCCCGCCGTAACGTGAAAGAGTGCTTTTATCACTCTGCTAAAAAGGAAGGGGTCTCATTGGTGTCTAATTTGCCATTAGTTTGCATTCGCAGTGGCTTCCCAGCCAGTTGTCGGTACAGCTGGGATTTTTCAAATGTGTATTTATTATTTACTTGAACAGTAATTACGGAAGGTGGGTAGAGTTAGGGGGTGGGAGGGAGATCATCCATCTGCTGGTTCACTCCCGACAGCTGCTGGGGCTGAGCCAAGCTGAAGCCAGGAACCAGGAACTCCATCTGGGTCTCCCACATGGGTGCAGGGGCCGAAGTAATAGGGCCATCCTCCACTGCTTCCCCAGGTGTACTAGCAGGGAGCTGGATTGGAAGTAGAGCCGCCAGGACTAGAACTGGTGCTCAGATGGGATGCCGGTGTTACAGACCTGCTGTGCCACCATGCCGGCCCCAACAGCTGGGGTTTGAATTCTGGAATGACTAGGTGACAGAGTACTTTCAATGCTTTACTTCATTTACTCTTCCTGATAGGGGCCGGCACCATGGTGCACTAGGTTGATCCTACGCCTGCGGTGCCAGCATCTCATATGGGCGCTGGGTTCTAGTCCTGGTTGCCCCTCTTCCAGGCCAGCTCTCTGTTGTGGCCAGGGAGTGCAGTGGAGGATGGCCCAAGTGCTTGGGCCCTGCACCCCATGGGAGACCAGGAGGAGGCACCTGGCTGCTGGCTTCAGATTGGTGCAGCTCTGGCCATAGTGGCCACTTGGGGAATGAACCAACGGAAGGAAGACCTTTCTCTCTGTCTCTCTCTCTCACACTGTCTGTAACTCTGCCTGTCAAATAAATAAAAATAAAATCTTTAAAAAAAGAAAGAAAAGAAAAATCTTACAGTTCGTATGAACCGACCTTCAAGCTTTCTTCACTCACGCTTCATGAGGGCGGGGCAGCCGCTCTGTGAATGCCCGGCAGGCACCAGGGCCCTGTATTCTGTAGGTTGCGCAGAGAGGCGCTTGATGGCTGCCAGTGCACGTAAACCTGGTGCTGCTCTCAGTCATGGACTGCGATCAGAACATCGACTGCCATCCTGAGTCCCCGGTTCCCTCTCACTTTCTGACCATAGGCGGTTATTGTGCCTCTCTGGTCTACGAGTTCCTTTTCGTAAAATGGGGATAATTCCCACAGCATGGGCAGCGCATAAGCATTACCTGTAACGATTAGGTGAGGCGCCTGCCACACGGTTGAGGCTGAATCTGTCTTCTCTCTGTGATGCCTGCTGCTCTCCCTCACTCCTCACTGAAGTGCTGGCTGCACTTGCACAGCGCGGCCCCCACGGCACAGCTCCTGACACTGTGGCCTCGCTGAATCTTGGACGGCTGAAGAATTACTTAGTGCTCTGTTCAGAGTAATACACATTGGGTGCACACTGGCCTGGCTCAGTGCTGAGCATTCCCATTTATAACTCCCGACCCTTCCTTCTTGTCTTGGATTCATGTTATGAAGGATTCCAGGATCGCAGCTAGGATGGCAAAGACACTTAACTGGTTTTTTTTATTTATGTATTTGAGAGGTAGAGTTATAGACAGTGAGGGGGGGAGACAGAGAGAAAGGTCTTCCATCCGCTGGTTCACTCCCCAAATGGCCACAACGGCCAGAGCTGTGCCGATCTGAAGCCAGGAGCCAGGTGCTTCCTCTCGGTCTCCCATATGGGTGCAGGGGCCCAAAGACTTGGGCCATCTTCTGCTGCTTTCTCAGGCCACAGCAGAGAGCTGGATTGGAAGTGGAGCAGCTGGGACTAGAACCGGCACCCATATGGGATGCTGGCGCTGCAGGCAGAGGATTAACCTACTGTGCCAAGGTGCCGGCCCCGACGCTTAACTATTAAGCCTCAACGCAGTGGGGGCTCGAACACAGAGCTTGCTCATTTGCAACAACCATTTGCAAAGCTCTTCCTGTGCATCAGCTTGTTGTAGCTCCTCAACTCGGGAACAGGCAATTACCCCATTAACACGGAGAAGGTGGGTAGTGGGGGCAAGAGGGGTGGTGCTTAACTGAGGTCAGTTTGTGAGTGACAGGACCAGAGCCAGCTGAGTCCTCGGTCAGTGCGCTTCCCATTGTTTGTCTTTGTCTAGCCTTCCAGTGATTGTTTTGTTTTAGTTATTTGAAAGGCAGAAGGACAGAAAGGGAAAGAGGAAGAGGGGGAGGAAGAGGGAGGGAGGGAGGGAGGGAGGAAGAGAGAGAGAGCGCAAGCTTCCATCCCCTGCTTCACTCCTCAAGTGGCCTTAAAACCTGGGGCTGAGCCAGGCTGAAGCCAGGAGTCAGGACCTCCACCCGGCTCTCCCACATGGATGGTAGGAACCCAAGTAGTTGAGCCATCATTTGCTGCTTCCCAGGGGCATTAGCAGGGAGCTGGTTTGGAAGCGGAGTGTCTGAGACACGAACCAACACTTCATACCGGAAGCGGTGTCCCAAGTGGCAGCTTAATGCACGTTAAGGCCTCCACGGCTGCCCCTCCAGTAATTGTATTTCAAACCAGCTGCTTCCCGAGTCAGGAGAATGAAGGTTCCTAAGTTAACCCCTGCCGCTCCTCATCCTGAAGCGCTCACACGAGGAGCTGCTCTCTGGGAAGTCCGAGGCTTCCTCCAGGGGCTGTTGAGCAGGTCAGGCCGGCTACAATCCTAGCACAGACTGAAGTTCCTGCTTTCCACTCGAAGTCATAACACCAAGTGTGGCTTGCCTATTCCTCAGCCCCGTCCCCTTCGGTTATTGTGGTCTCATGCTGCTGGACTTGGAAAGTGTGCCCCGTGATTCGAACGTCCGACCCCTCCAAAACTCTTACTGCAGATTCCTGCTTCTCTCTGAGTACTGCCAGGACCCCCAGGCTGAGGCCTGTAAATGCCACGTGGAAAGCAAAACCCCACTTTCGTGATGTCTGTTTCACATGCTGTATATTGAAAGTGCATCATCCAGCTGTTAGCATACTGACATTTATACAACCATCAGCAGGATCCAGTCTGGTACATTTTCATTCCAAACAGAAACCTTGTCCCATTAACAGTCACCCCTTCCTCCCACCCTGCCCCACAACTCTCCCTGCCTTAGTAATCACTGATCTCTCTCTAGAGTCTCCAATTCCAGACCTTTCGTATCAATGGAATCATACAGTGGTGGTCTCTGAGACTATTTCTTTCCCTGGACAGAGTGTTTCAAGGTTTATTTGTGTTCTAGCCTGCGTCAGTATCTCAGTCCTCTTCATAGCCAAGTCGTGTTCTATACGGATTACCGTTCATCAGATGATGGCCAGCTGGGTCGCTAATAGCCTCTGGCTTGCATGAGCGTTTGTGAGTGAGTTTTTGTGCAGGCATATGTTTTCCCTTTCTTGAGTACACACTGAGGAGCGGAATGGCTGGGCCAGGTGGTAACTGTTTAATTATGTCAGTACCTTGGCTGTTGTACCATTTTACGCTGCCACGAGCAAGGCATGCAGGTTCCAGTTTTCCCACATGCCCACCAGCACTGTGATCTGTCATTCTTGGGATGCTATTTTGATGGGTGTGAAATGGTGTGTTCCTGTGGCTTTGATTAGCCTGTTTTAAGTTAGGCCATCTCAAGATCCTGTCTTAGTCTGTTTCGTGTGACAGTCTAACAGAATGCCTGGGGTTGGGTAATTTATAATGAGAAACCCGAGTTATTCACGGTGATGCCGGCAACCCTAGGTCTTGTGCGTTCACCTGGCAGAAGATGGGAGGGGGAGTGGCTGATCTCCCCCTTAGGGCACCAGTCCCACCCAGGAGGGTGGAGCCCTCATCCCCTCCTAAGAGTCCCACCTCTTAATGCTTTTACAAGAGATTAAATTTCAGTATGAGTTTTGGAGGGGTCGGACGTTCGAATCACGGGGCACACTTTCCAAGTCCAGCAGCACCCGTGCAGCTGTCTTCATGAGACCACAATAACCGAAGAGGACGGGGCTGAGGAATAGGCAAGCCACACTTGGTGTTAGGACTTCGAGTGGAAAGCAGGAACTTCAGTCTGTGCTAGGATTGTAGCCGGCCTGACGCAGGAGTCAGTACTTCTAGCTGTTGAGGTTCCCGTCCTGCGGTTGTGACCTGCGGCTGTGAAGAGTAAGGCGCATGGACAAAGAAACGCGATCAGAGAAGCCAGTGTCACTGAAGCAAAGGAAAGCTCCGCAGTGGGAGGGCTCCCCGAGCAGGGCCGCTCTGCGGGGACGGTGTCCAAGGGTTCCTGTGCTTTGGCAATGAGGAGGTCTATGTTTAAACATGTTGTTTAGTCACCGATAACCTCATTGCTGGGGCATCACTACCTGGAGGTAGACAGGTCCGGCTGTGACCGCCTCCTGGTCTGTTTTGTTTCTCTATCTTGTTTGTGAGTGCTGGGGCAGTTTGTTCCGGGCATATCCCTCAAACACCAGGTTTGAGGCCCCTGAGCCTGTGTCCCTGTCTGTCTGCCTAGGGTTACATCATAGCTGGCTCCTGTCTCTAGCAGCATGAAAACATGGTGGTGTGTAAAGCAGGCCTGAAAAGGAATGGGAGAAGGGACGGCACTGTGGTGTAGTGGGTAAAGCTGCCACCTGCAGTGCTGTCATCCCATATGGGTGCCGGTTGGAGTCCCGGCTGCTCCACTTCCGATCCAGCCTGGGAAAGCAGAGGAAGATGGCCCAAGTCCTTGGGCTCCTGTACCTGCGTGGGAAACCCAGAAGCTCCTGGCTCCTGTCTTTGGATCAGTACAGCTCCAGCCGTTGTGGCCATCTGGGGAGTCAACCAGCCGATGGAAACCACCACCCACCTCTGCCTCTCTGTAACTTTGCCTTTCAAATAAAATAAATATTTTTTAAAAAAGACAGACATGGCAGCGGGGTGGGGGGAGACACATCTGTGTTAAGAACCTGTGGTACTAGAGCTTATAACAATTTCTTTTTGTTTTATTAATATAATGCTGTTTGTTCCATACCCAGTCAAGAGGCAAAAAAGAAAGAGGAAAGAATTCACGTTGGCAGCCCCTCACCCGCATAGCCTGCCCTCGTTCCTGGCTCTAAGCCTGGCATACACCGTCCCCTGTACTCGGAATGCCCTCGGCCCTGGCACAAACTCTGACAAATTCCTCCTTCCTTGTTCCTTTGTGTGTTGCTCAAATATGCCCGCCCTTGGAGCCACTCCTGTGGGGTCTCCCCCATGGGAAGAGTGGGTCACACAGGCCTCCCTCCTCCTGCGTGGACTTCTGCTGTAGCCAGCAAGGGCCCTGACATGTGGCGGGGGGTCCTGGGGACTGTGTGGTTCCCTCGGTGTCCACATCTTCCCAAGGTGACTTTGTGGGGCCTCCCGTGAGAGCTCCTCCACCCCCAACTGGCCACCTGCCTCTAGTGACCCCTTGCTCCAGTCCTCTCCTCCATGTTCAAGTCCAGCCCCAGCCCCACTTAGAATCCTTCAGTGGTATCCCTCCCTCCCTCCCTCCCTTCCTTCCCTCTTCCCTCCTTCAGTGGTTCCCTCCCTCCCTCCCTTACTTCTTAAACATTTATTTATTTGAAAGATAGAATTGCAGAGAGAGGGAGAGACAGAGAGATCGTCCATCTGCTGGTTTACTTCCCAAATGGCCAAGACAGCCAGGGCTGGGCCAGGCCAAATTCAGGAACCAGGAATTGTATCCCAGCCTCCCATGTGGGTGCAGGGGCCCAAGCGCTTGGGCCATCTCCCGCTGCTTTCCCGGGGTTGGGAGGCAGTAGCAGGGAGCTGGATGGGAAGTGGAGCAGCTGGGACTGGAACTGGCGCTCATTTGGGATGAGTTGGAGGCAGTAGCTTTCCATCAGCCTGGAAAAAAGTCAGTACTCCTTGTTGTGACGGTTAAGGCCTTGAGGGAGCTGCCCTGCTGTCTGCTTTTTTCAGCCTCTTCACCCCTTCCACTTCCTCTGGAGCTTTGGAGCTTGGCTCAGCCACCTGGCGCAGGGGGACTCCCTGCTAATTGCAGGGTCCCTGCCCCTCCTGGGGATGCCCAGGGCGATGTGACCCGACCCTTGGCAAGCCCTTGTCGGTTTCTACAGCTGTCTCCATTGCTAGTCTGTGGGGAGCACACAGCGGAGCTCCTGAGAGCGAATGACCTTGTGATCCTCGATCCGCCTGAGCAAGCATCGGGTAGGCAGAAGCATTTCTCATGCAGTGCTGTGTCCCTCGCAGCGTGGTACCCTGAAGCGCAGCGTGGTGACCACTGGCCGGCGGCAGGGGACGCCCCGGGCTTCTGCAGCGTGTGCCTCTTCGAGCTGACACCCGCCAAGCCGGCCAGGCAGACAGGAGCCAGCGGCAGCCGCGCATCCTCCGGGAGCAGCTGATTCCAGGTTCACCGTCCCTTGCAGTTCTATTAGAACATTGAGCAGGAGAATCCAAGAGAAAATGAACTCTGGCTTTTGTGTTGACTAGCCTTGGCCAGTTCAGCTTCCAGTATCTGTCTACAGGAGTGATTCATTCATTCATTCATTTGAAAGTCAAGAGTTACACATCGAAGAGTTGATCTGTGGTTCCATCAGTCTATTTGTATTTCAAAATGCCTACCCAATGCTGGCTTAACTGTGGTATCTGGTAGGGAAAGTCTTGCATCCATGTCTTATATAGATTTCACAATCTACCTAATTCCTACTAAACAAAGAACAAAAAAGTGAAGTTCCAATCAGATCTAAGTACATTTTTCGAACCTCCTGGGACCTGCATTGTGACTTAGCAGATTAAACAGCTGCCTGCAACGCTGGAATCCCATACGGTGTCAGTTTGAGTCCTGGCTGCTCCACTTCTGACCCAGCTCCCTGCTAGTGTGCCTGGGAAAGCAGCAGAAGATGGCTGGAACTCTGCCTTTCAAATAAATACAAAATTTTTTTTTTAACTTATTTAAAAGGCAGAGTTACACTGAGGCAGAAGCAGAGGCAGAGAGAGGTCTTCCACTGCTAGTTCACTCCCCAAATGCTACAATGGCCAGTGCTGGGCTGACTGGAAACCAGGAACCAGGAGCTTCTTCCAGGTTTCCCACGTGGGTGCAGGGGCTTCTACTGCCTTCCTGGGCCATGGCAGACAGCTGGATGGGAAGTGGGTGGAGCAGCTGGGTCTTGAACCGTTGCCCATATGGGATGCCAGTACTGCAGGCAGCAGCTATGCCACAGCACCAGCCTCATAAAATAAATCTAAAAAAAAAAAAAAAAAAAAAAAAAACACCACCTTTAAATCATCTTTCTATGCACCAGTATGTAGGTCTTTGGTTTATTTAAACTTTTCAATTTTACTAGTTTTCTCCATGAAGGTCATGAATCTCTTTGACCCACTAATTCCTAATGATTTGGGAGAGGGAGGGGGGGGTGTTGCTGATGCCTTACCCTGTTAGGTCAGAAAAGAGCTCTGGGGGCTAAAAACACATGGGACCTCAAGGAAACACAACATGGTTGCCAGACTTGAAAGTGAACAAGATAAGGATCTCTTTACCATCCCAGACCCAGGCAGCTTTGTCAGAGATTGGAGGATCTCTTTGACTGGGAGGGGTGGATCCTTTCCTACTCCCCAAAAGTGGGAAATAAAGACACTAATTTGTACTTCGAAAGAATTTCCAGGCTGTAGCAGAATACTGGAGAAATAACATCTCTGCTTACAGGTTTTCCAAATGGGTTCACCTATGTTGAAGGCAAGAGTGTCCCCTTATGACCTGGCTAGGCAATGAACAACTGTTCACAGGGTGGGACTGCCAGACTCAGGGAACCAGACCACTAAGACTTAAAATGGCCACGACTGGCCGGTGCCGCGGCTCACTAAGCTCCTCTGCCTGCGGCGCCGGCACACCGGGTTCTAGTCCCGGTTGGGGCACCAGATTCTGTCCCGGTTGCTCCTCTTCCAGGCCAGCTCTCTGCTGTGGCCCGGGAAGGCAGTGGAGGATGGCCCAAGTGCTTGGGTCCCTGCACCCGCATGGGAGACCAGGAGGATGCTCCTGGCTCCTGGCTCCTGGCCGGATTGGCGTAGTGCACCAGCCATAGCGGCCATTTGGGGGGTGAACTAACGGAAGGAAGACCTTTCTCTCTAATTCTGCCTGTCCCCCCCCCCCCCCAAAAAAAAAAAAGAGTGGCCATGACTGCTGTCCTCCCAGCTCCAAGTGGCTGTCAGGGGCAGAACACAAGAGGACAAACCAGGACAGCAGGAGGAGCTACAGGAGCTACAGGGAGCTCGATGAGCAGCCAGTGCCTGATCACATTGTGAGCAGACACCTGGCGACCAAGCAGGAATTCTGCAGAGCAGATGCATGCCCGGGGCAGGCTGGTGCCTCTAAACTCCCCTCTACCTCTGGAATGTGCAATGACCTGAGACAACAGAGATGCCTGGCTTTATTTGAGGGCCAACCTGGTCAATGCGGTGTTTGACTGCTGGGCACATTCTGCAAGCTGCCCACCCTTTGGGCCGTTGGCTTTGATACCTTTGATCATCTGGGTTGACAGGCTGCTCCCCAACAGCTGGAGTCCTTAGTAGTTGTGTGCTCCTTCATATTTTGCAAATTGGAACAAGCATAGGATTTTCAACGGTGGGGAGCAAAGACTTCCAGTATGAATTCAAATTTGAGGAGGGAGTGGTCGCACCTAACTCGCCCTTCATGTGCCAGGATGGCATGAACAGCAGCTTTATTGGTGAGCCGTGGGAAGCTCCGACAGAGCCGAGCATGCAGACTGTGAGGGCCTGGGACAGCTGCCAGGATATGAGGGGACAGGGGACCAGCTTCAGTGGGCTCTGCTGCTTGGGGCACTTTGTCTCTTCCTAGCTCTGAAGGTAAGGATGCAGGGAGAGGGCTCAGCACTTCAGAAACTGATGGGTGACCTCGTAGATTCCCACACTCTCCTGAGCTTTTTCATCATAGTCGGTCCAGTCCTGTGAAAGAAAATGGCAGTGTTAGCCTCAGAGGGCAGAACAGGACAGCTCGGAGAACTGGGACACAGAAGATCCAGCTCAGGAGGACTCAGTCATGAACATGTAGGACCTCTTCTATGCTTTAACATGCTCTGGCGCCAGAACTCACGCAGGACTTTCAACCCCACAGTCCTAAGTTAATGGTGCTAAGAGGGTGGCAACTTAACCCAATGATAGTGTTCAGGAGGTGGGCCTAGTGGGAGGCCCTTAGGTCAATGGGATGTGCCCTTGGAAGGTGGTCCTCGCAAGCGGTGTGGCTCTCAAGGCTGAGTCAGGGCCAGCTTCTCTCTCTGCTTCCAAGCTTACCACGTGCCCTGCTTCTGCATCTCTTCCACTACTGCCACCCATCACCCACATCAAAGGCCAAACCAATACGGCTGCCCGATCATGGACTTGAGCCTCTAAAACTGTGAGCTAAGTAAACCCTTTCCCTGTATAAAATTTACTTCTCTCAGGTATTTTGTTGTAGTAATGAAGAGTAATAGAATCCTGGACAGAGCTGGATGGCTCAGGACAGAATCCCAGCTCCCTCAGCTACATCACGGTGAGTAAGTCACTTCACATACTGAATGCTCAAAGAATCAATGAAGTAACACTTGTAAGGAGCCCGGAGCACAGTGCCTGGTACACACAGGAGCTCAGTGAACGCCAGCCACTGGGGAATTGGGTGCTGTGCTGTGCATTCACTGAAGTTGTGTCCTTCCCTTCAAGGCCCGGACACAGTCCTGTCTCCCTGAGGGTAGCAGACACGCTCAGGAGTACAGGTGACGGATTCTGAGTCAGTGAATGAGGCACGGGTGCCCCCAGGGGAAACACGCAGTTAGTTTTCTGTAGTCTCTGGCCACATTTTCATCAGCCAATCAATAAATAACCTTGATTTATGTGTGCTTTTCTATTTAAACACACTTATAAAAAAACCTACTGTTGACCCATTAACACTGAACTCATGGCCAAAAGCACAGTAACCCATGCCCGAATGAAATTTACCTAACACAGATCTCTGTAAGGCACATCACATCCTTTCTACAGGTAAGAACATGAGACAGCACTTTCGACACTACGTTTGTAGCCATTTAAATGGCAGTCACCAACACAAAGCACAAAACTACAGTTTTTCCTTGATGAGGCCTGTTCACCAAAGGTGCCCCACAGCACCTTGCAAGGTTCCCGAGTCTCGCACCTTCTCCTGCAGATTAATGTCACTGAAGACTGTCCCCGACTCCACACCTTCCGCAGCAAACCCGGCCTGCAGGGCACAGGAAGGCAGCAGTCAGTCTAGGGAAAGGAGGCCCTGTGCTGGCCTGTGAGGCTGACCAGGAAGCTGGCTCTCCTAACACCTTTGCAACAGAGAACGGAAACGCAGTGTGGGCGGCTGCTCTGGACTAACTGCTGAGCTTCCAGGACCTGGCAGCTGCCTCGGGACTGAGTGGTTCCTCCAAATCAGGCGTGGCCCACAGGCAGGTGGCGCGCAGTAAACCTTTCCATTACCCTTGGCATGTCACTGCCCTCTGGACCTGGGGCTGATAATACTGTCTCTTCTGTCTACCTCGCAGATCCATGGAAGCGAAAATACGGTACAAATACAGGGAGGTGAGCACTAGCTCCAGGGTCAGAGACCTGGGTTCAAATTGCAGTTCCACGGCTCACTCACTGTGTGACCCTGGGCAAGTCTGAGAACCTCCGAAGTTCCTTCCTTACCCTCAGCCCGGGATAACGTGACAGGCTGCCTGCGAGGATTAAATGAAGCAGACTAAAGGGGTGGGCATGGTGCCCAGCTCACAACAGGCCCTGAAGGAGTGATGATTGCTGTTTTTAGAAAGGAGGCTTCCTAGTCCATGGTCTTTGTAGGAAGCAAAGTTCTGCTGCCACTTCACACGGCCACCCTCCAAAGACAGGTTCCTCAGAAAGACGCACACACCTGGGGCTGGAAATCAACTGGTTCGAGGCCCCGGCATTCAAATTCTACTATTGTCTTGAACTTTTCATTGTCTTCAGCCTAGAAAAGAAGTACGTTGAGGAATCAGGCCCAGCTGACTCTCAGAGCCCGTCCTTCTGTCTTCTGCCACACGGCCGCCTTGTGCCCAAGGTGGGACCCAGGAACAACTCACTGCCTTCTAAAAGAAGTCTGCCTGGGGCACTGCTCCCCACGAGACCTTCTGAATGCCGGGGTAGGACTCTGTGTTGCAGGGATTAAAGCCACCACTTGGGATGCTGACATCCCATCAGAGCGCCTGGGTTTGAGTCCTGACTCTCCTTCTGATCTGGCTTCCTGCAAATGTACACCTTAGAAGGCAGCAGATGATGGCTCAAGTACGTGAATTCCTGCCGCCCCTATGAGAAACTCAGATGGAGTTCCAGCCTCCTGGCATCAGCCTTACCCAGCCCTGCCTGTTCCAAGTATCTGGGGAATGAACCAGTAGATGGAAGATCTCTCTTTCTCTTTCAAATATATAAAAGCAACTAGAAAAGTGCTTTTAAAGATTATTTATTTTTTTGAAAAGTAGAATTGCAGAGAGGCAAAGGCAGAGAGAGAGAGGTCTTCCATCCGCTGTTTCACTCCCCAGATGGCTGCAACAGCTGGAGCTGTGCCAATCTGAAGCGAGGAGCCAAGAGCTTCCTCTGGGCCTCCCAAGTGGGTGCAGGGGCCCAAGGATTTGGGCCATCTTTTGCTACTTTCCCAAGCCATAGCAGAGAGCTGGATTGGAAATGGAGCAGCCGGGACTTGAACTGGTGCCCATATGGGATGCTCGCATTGCAGGTAGCAGTTTTACCCACAGTGCCGGCCCCAGTAAAATTTGTAACAGTGCAGATTCCTAGGTCCTGCCCCAGAACCTAGGAACCAGCTGCATTATTTAAATTAAAAAAAAAAAAAAATAGATTCTGGGGTCAGCTTGCTTGAATGCAATGCTAGGTTCTGCCTCTCTTCCTCTGTGCCTAAGATTCCTAAGTTGTTTTTTTCCCTACCAAGCGCTCAGTATGTGCTGATTTAGTGACCAATTAAGTGGCTGAGATAAGCACATGAGTGAATGTTCTACGATGGGTCACTCTGATGCAGCCATAACTAGAACCCAGGCCTCCTAGCTCCAGCTGAAACTGAATCCCCCCACGCCTGCCACCGCAGCAGCAAACTTACATTGTAAGACTTGATGGTGCTGCTCAAAATCTCTGAAACAAAAAGGAGACAAAGGTGACTCGGGACACACTCAGCCCCACACAGGTGTCCAGCCGTGGCGTTAGGAGAGACCGCTGCCTAGGTGGGTGGTGAGTAACATGAGCCCGCCTTCAGTCTGGTACCAGGAGCCAGGGCCAGCCTGGCAGACAGCATTCATGGTTTGACCTACCGATGGAGTTTTCCCGCGCGCACAGCTTGCACTTCTGGACCATAGAGGCGCTGCCACGGCCTCCCTTTAGGGCCACAGTGTCCTGGTGAGGAACAAACAGAAATTCTACTCACAAATCAGATGCAAGGATCCTGATGCGATCCCGTCCCACCGCTTATTACCCAGTTGAGGAGACTAAGACTCGGACACGGAGTGACTGGCCGGGACAAGCATCCTGAGGAGGCTCTGGGGAGCGAGCCAAGGGCTTCCCCTTCATCTGGAGCTCATGCCCCAGGGATGCTGTGTGTCCCCAGGACTGCTCACATGGGTGCCTGCCCTCCCGAACCACACGGCGAGGGACACAGACTGGGGCCAGTTTCCCCATATCCCTGCCCATGGGTGTGTGTTTATAGATGGCTGGAGGCTGGGGGAGGGGGAGTTACCATCTGCCGGATGTACTGCCACTTCTCTGAAATCTCACCACAGTTGCCACATTTCATCTTGGAGGGAGAGAAAGGATTAGTAAAACAGCTGGCTCAGGTGGGCAGACACTGAGGGAAGGGTAAGGACAGTGAGAAGCAGGTGGGCTCACAACCTACCTTGCTGGCCACCTCACTAAATTCTCACAGTCAATCCCCACAAAGACATAAACAGACCTGGCTCTGGGCAAAGAACAGCTCAGGCTGTTTCTCATGCTGATATGCCCACCCTCTCACTGGCCATGGGTTCCAAGCTTGGGAATAGGTCTAACAGGTCACCACCCACTCTGCCTGGTTAGGAGCTTCCTGTCAATTCTGATAGGCCCTGTAGATCCCTAGTTTAAGTATTTATGGCTGGCACTGCGGCTCACTTGGCTAATCCTCTGCCTGCGGCACCAGCACCCTGGGTTCTAGTCCCGGTTGAGGAGCCGGATTCTGTCCCGGTTGCTCCTCTTCCAGTCCAGCTCTCTGCTGTGGCCCGGGAAGGCACTGGAGGATTGCCCAAGTGCTTGGGTCCCTGCACCCACATGGGAGACCAGGAGGAAGCACCTGGCTCCTGGCTTCGGATCAGCGCGGCGCTGGCCATGGTGGCCATTAGGGGAGTAAACCAACGGAAGGAAGACTTTTCTGTCTCTCTCTCACTGTCTAGCTCTGCCTGTCAAAAACAAAAACAACTTAAAAAAAAGTATTTATTACTGTTTTTTTTTTTTTAATTTTTAAAATTTATTTGACAGGTAGAGTCATAGAAAGAGAGAAAGGTCTTCCCTCCATTGGTTCACTCCCCAAGTGGCCACTATGGCCGGAGCTGCTCTGATCCGGAGCCAGGACCCAGGTGCTTCTACCTGGTCTCCCATGTGGGTGCAGGGCCAAAGCACTTGGGCCATCCTCCACTGCCTTCCCGGGCCACAGCAGTGAGCTGGACTGGAAGAGGAGCAACCAGAACTAGAACCCAGTGCCCACATGGGATGCCAGCGCCGCAGGCAGAGGATAAACCAAGTGAGCCACGGCGCTGGCCACTATTACTGTTTTTACTATATCAGTTTTTAAAAAAGATTTATTTACTTATTTGAAAGGCAGAGAGACAGAAAGGGGTAAAGACAGAATGAGAAAGAGATCTTCTAATCACTGGTTTATCCCTCAAATGGCTGCAACAGCCAGGTCTGGGTCGGGCGGAGCCAGAAGCCAGGAACTCCATCCGAGTCTCCCACATGGGTGGCAGGGCCCACGCACTTGGGTCATCCTCTGGCACATGAACAGGAAGCTGAATTGGAAGTGAAGCAGCAGGACTTGCACTGGCATTCCTGCATGGGATGCCAGCATCACAGGTAGTGCCTTAACCCACTGTGCCACAAGGCCAGCGCCCTTGTTACCTATCTGTCACTAGACTCTCTGCTTCTTGAAGTCAAAGATCGCTGATGCCCCGAGAAGCCCTGGAATGAATATCTGGAGACGCGGTGAGAAGTGACTCCCGGGAAGGCACAGAAGGCTGCTGGGGTTTAGACGGGGAGGAAGACAGAGCAGACGCTCTGGGAACTGGGATGGCGACAGCCTTCAGACCGGGTCAGAAAACGATCTCTGTAGCCCATGCCACGAGGGAACCAGACAGTGATGCGGCGAAATAAGGGTGCATCACGCATAAAATCCGACTAGGAGAAATTATTCACCCTACTCATCAATCAATCACAAGGTCCCTTCAAGGCCCATTTTGTTTAGCGTCTGATTATGGACGATAAAATACTTAACAGACGAAAACGTCACAGAGGAGTTAACGAGCAGCCAGTAGGGAGTCTTGGGCACACGGTAAGCTTCAGCTCCTGATGCCTGAGTTCCAGGCTCAGCTCCACTTCCGAGCCCGCTGCTCGCCAATGCACACCCTGGGAGGCTCAACGACTTGGGTCCCCGGGACACTCGGACGGAGCTCCCGGCTTAGTCTGGCCCAGCCCTGGCGCCAACTAACGGGTAGAAGATCTGTGTCTCTGTCTTTTAAATAAAAACAATTAAAATTTAAAAAATAAAGATTAGCAAACTTTAAAGAGCAAATACAGAATCCTGACCACAATGAAACCCAAACTTCAAGTCTGTGAATACTCATATTCTTCCTGCTGCCGGAAGGCCGCTTGGCCCCGCCGCACCTTGAGGTACCACCGGAAGTCCTCGCCCACGGGCCGGAGGTTGGTGACATTCTCCAGCGTGGCTTTGAGCTGCAGCGCGATTTTCTGAGAAGAGGCCACAGCGGTGCGTCAGCCGCGCCTGCGCAGCCCACGCGGTCCGGTCCGGCCCCGCCCCCGCCGGCTCGAGCTCGGCCGCCCGCTCCTTCCGCGCGAGCCCCCTACTCCCCCTCCCTTAGCGCGAGCCCCGGCCTCCCAGGCGCTCGTCACCTCCCGCTCCGGGTCCCTACGGCGGGTCGCCGCCTCCTCACCCCCATGGTGGCCCGCCTCAGCCCGGCGCAGGTTGCGGCCGCTGCTTTCCGACCCGTCGTAAAGACGGGCGCCGCCTGCGCACCCTCGGGGCGGGGCTTCTGAGTGGGCGGGCCCTGCGGGCGGCGGGCGCAGGGGGCCCCGGGGTGCAGGTGAAGTGAAATCTAAGGCGCTCAGCAGCCCGTGCTCGGACCCTCTGAAGCCCGGCTCCAGAGAGCGTACTGAACGCCGATTTTGAGCCAGAACTAGGTGATGAGACGGTCCCTGTCTGAAATCTCTGAAACAGAACAAATAACTCTGAGAGGCTCAAACTACTTCCACATTTTTTTCCTGATCCAGCTCCTTTGTTTTCTTTTAGGTTTATTTATCTGAAAGTTACAGAGGGAGAGACAGAGACAAAACATACATTGATATCTTCCATCTGCTGCTTCACGCCCCTAGATGGCCGCAATGGTCAGGGCTGGGCCTCCAGGGTCTTCTTCCGGGTCTGCCAAGCCGGTGAAAGGATCACCCTCCGCTGCCTTTCCCAGGCGCATTAGCAGTGGGGATCTGGATCGGAAGTGGAGCAGCCGGGGAAATGGCGCCCATATGGGATGGGGGCACCGCCTGTGGAGGCTTTACCTGCTAGGTCACAGCCCCCGCCCACTTCTCAGACACTATTGATTGCCTTTGCTTACTGCAGCCTCCCAGATTTGGCGATAGTTTATTTCTGAAATTGTTTGGAAGGCAGAGAAAAACAGATCTTCCATCCACTGGTTCATTCCCCAAATGCCTATAACAGCTGAGGCTGGTCCCGGCCACCGCTGGGAACCATGAACCCAATCCCAGTCTCCCACATGGGTGGTAGGAACCCAAGTACTTGAGCTGTCACTGGCCGCCTCCCGGAGCGTGTTTTACCAGGAAGCCGGAATTGGGAGCCTGGCAGGACAGGAACCCAGGCGCTTGGATATGGGATGCAGGCATTCCAAGAATCCTCTTAGCCCCATGCTGAATGCCCTTGCCCATGGTGTCCTTTTAAAAAACGGCTCCTTCCTGTTTTTCCCAGGAGACTTTCCAGGCCTCTCTCGCAGAGTTGCTTGTGTTCACCCTAAAACTGGACACTCACTCCCCTTCTGCTGGCTTTTCTAGGTTCTCACCTGGCTTATCCTATGCTAAATTTACTGAGTCCTTTTTCCACCTGTCTTCTAGCCCAGAGAACATGGGAGACCCTGCAGGAGCTGTGGGCAATAGAACTCATCTGAAGCTCTTATAATCTGAGGGACTGTCATTGCTTTTAAATTTGTGATTCATTCCCCACATGGCCACAATGGCTGGAGCTGTGCTGATCTGAAAGCAGGAGCCAGGTGCCTCTTCCTGGTCTCCCATGTGGGTGCAGGGGCCCAAGCACTTGGGCCATTTTCTACTGCTTTCCCAGGCCATAGCAGAGACCTAGATCAGAAGAAGGGCAGCTGGGACTAGAACTGGCACCCATATGGATGCCGGCGCCGCAGGCAGAGGATTAACCTGTGCCACGGCTGGAGTGTTTTTGATATTTACCACCAACTGGCCTGAGTCCGGAACCCTTGATCTCTCAAATCCCATGGCAGACCCTTAGTTGCCCCATAATTTTTGAAAGAGGCAGAGTTTGGTAGAAAAGGCACTGGTCTAGGAGTCACAACCATTCAGACCTTGTCCCAAGCTGTCCTGTCTTCAAGAGTGTGAGTTGAGGCTAATAACCTTCCCTTGGTCAAAGCAGGTTTATCAAGGCCCAGTTCCTGTGAGTGCAATGTGCAGTTTAGCAGCAAAAAGTTCATGCAGCGGGGCCTGTGTAGTGGCATAGCAGATTAAGCTGCTGTCTGCAGTGCCAGCATCCCATGAGTGCCAGTTTTGAGTCTCGGCTGCGCATTCTATCTAGCTCCCTGCTAATGCGCCTGGAAAGGCAGCAGAAGATGGCAAGGGCTTGGGTCCCTGCACCCACATGGGAGACCAGGATGGAGTTCCAGGCCCAATCCTGGCTGTTGTGGCCATTTTGAGAGCAAACCAGTGGATGGAAGATCTCTTTTTGTATCTCCCTCTCTTTGTAACTCTTCCTTTCAAATAAATAAATCTTGGAAAAAAAAAAAAAAGCCACTGGAGAGCAACCTGTTGAACAAATTCTCACAAGTTCCCACACTATCTGTAGTAACTTGCTCTTATTCCTTAATGCTTCAACTACTATTTTACCATGGATATTGGAAACCTTTCCTGGGACCAGGAATTTTTTTTTTAAGATTTATTTAAAGTCAGAGTTACACAGAGGCTGGCGCCGCAGCTCAATAGGCTAATCCTCCACCTTGTGGCGCCGGCACACCAGGTTCTAGTCCAGGTCGGGGCGCCAGATTCTGTCCCGGTTGCCCCTCTTCCAGGCCAGCTCTCTGCTGTGGCCAGGGAGTGCAGTGGAGGATGGCCCAGGTGCTTGGGCCCTGCACCCCATGGGAGACCAGGAGAAGCACCTGGCTCCTGCCATCGGATCAGTGCGGTGCGCCGGCTGCAGCACGCCAGCCGCGGCGGTCATTGGAGGGTGAACCAATGGCAAAAGGAAGACCTTTCTCTCTGTCTCTCTCACTGTCCACTCTGTCAAAAAAAATAAATGAATAAAAAATAAAGTCAGAGTTACACAGAGATAGGAGAGACAGAGACAGAGAGAGAGAGAGAGAGACAAAGAGGTCTTCCATCCAATGGTTCACTCCCCAAATGGCCGAAACGGCCGGAGCTCCACCCATCTGAAGCCAGGAGCCAGGAGCTTCCTCTGGGTCTCCCACACAGGTGCAGGGGCCCAAGGACTTGGGCCATCTTCCACTGCTTTCCCAGGCCATAGCAGAGAGCTGGATCAGAAGTGGAGCAGCTGGGTCTCGAACTGGCGCCCATATGGGATGCCGCTGCTTCAGGCCAGGGTATTAACCTGCTGTGCCACAGCACTGGCCCCTGGGACCAGGCATTTTATCCCTTACAATTGTTGAATTATTTCCTCCCCATACTGAAATACAGATGTATGTACAGAAGGATAAAAGAACTCCAAACACAATTCTATGTCACATGTACAAAATCAACTGTACTCCATTAAAATGATCAAATATCCAGTATTCAATTTCCTTAATGGTGATTTTACATTTTTTGAATCATGATTCAAATGGGGTTCAAACCTTGTATTGATTAATGTGTCTCCTAAATCTTCATAGGTTCCTGCTTCATCTCTGTTTCTCTTGGAGTTTATATTGACGAAACCAGACTACTGGTCCTGGAATTTTCTTCGAATGTATTAACTATTTTTTCTTTTAAAAACACGTTTCTATATTCTCTTATTTTCTGTAAAATATAGTTATATCTACAGTTGATTAGGTATTTTTGCAATACTCCACACAGGATGTTAGCGTTTTACAAAGTAATTGAGAATTCACATGTTCAGGTTTTTATAAAATAACAAAAATTATATTTTATCACAGTTGTTAAAGACAATAATTTGTCATTTACTTAAAAAATTGCCCTGATATACACAAAAATTTCTTGATAATGGTCATTAAAAACTACTCCCAACCCCCCCATGTCCACAGCAATATTCCATCTAGATTGGTTTAATCTTGAAGTGTAATCCAATAAGACTGAAGACCAAACACTTCAGGTCCTGGACAAGATAATAAAATACTCGTAAGCCTTCTGGGTCCCTAAAATACAAGAAGAAAAAATGTTTTAAGAACTAAGCAAAGACTTATCAAATATCCCCAAGTATTTATCAACCAAGATGTTCCTTGTAAAGATATTTATATTACAACTTTGAACACTCAAGTGTGTATAAAGAAAAAGGTTATATTAAAGTGAAATATGAGGTTATTTAAGTATGCTGATTTTTTTAAATGTAGAAATATTTATATCATATTAAGTGAAAAAAGCCATTAACAGATGGTTGATTTCAATTATATTTTCTGTGATTAAATAAAAGTATATTAATACACTAAAAAGAAATACTTCAAGATATGAACAATGGTTGTCTAAGTGATAAGATTATGGGGAATCTTCATTTTTGCATTTCTACTGTCCGGTATTTTCTACAGTGAGCATATATTACACTTCTACAATTAGGAAAACTGGTTTTATAAAAAAAGATTTATATATTTGAAAGGCAGAGTAATAGAGGGGAGGGAGAAAGAGCAAGTGAGCTACCATCTGCTGATTCCCCAAATGCCAGAATCAGCTGGGGCTGTGCCAGGCCTAAGCTAGGAGCCAGGAACTCCATCCAGGTCTCCCACGTGGGTGTTAGGGATTCAAGTACTTGAGCCATCACCTGCTGCCTCCCCAGGTGCATTAGTTGGAAGCTGGATCAGCAGCAGTGGATCGGCCAGACTTGAATCAGGCATTCTGATAGGGTGTCCCAAGCAATGGCTTAACCTGCTGCACCACCACATCCACCCAAGGAAATGTTTTTGTTTTTTTTCTTTTAAAGCAGTACCAGGACCATGAGGCTGAAGATTACTACAGCATTACTGGCTAAGAAGGAGACTACTCAAAGGAAGATGATTGTTCCTAACATTTACTCAAAGTGAGCCAGAATTAAACACAAACCCTCAAAACACAAAGCCAGAGACTGCCAAATTCTAAGGGCAATTTGTATCATACAGATTCATGTTTCAATTGTAATTTGCCTCACAGACAACATGAATTTTAATTTTCAGATCCTAAAATATTCTAAATTTCACCAGCCAATATGCCAGTCTGAATAGTGAACACCAAGAAAGCTGCTCAGACTCAGAGGCTCTGTGTTTTATCCCGAGCACCTGTCTTGGCACACTTTACTTTCTTTTCTGGCTGTTCTTATGTATTATTCAATATGTGTCACTGAGAAGCACTTAGTAGCAATGATCAAATGGAAAATCAAAAGTAATAGAGCAAGCCTTTAAATATAGTCAGTCTTCCAAATCTGAGTTATGCATCCTTGGGTCAACCAACTAAGGATTCAAAAAGGTTGTTAGGCCTATGATGGTTGTGCCTGTAATGAACATGTATTGATATTTTGGGGGTCATTATTCCCTAAACAAATGGCATGACAACTCTTTATATAGCATTTACATCATATTAGGTATTATTAGTAATCTAGGAATGATTTCAAGGATACAGTGGGATATACATAGGCTATATGAAAATACTATGCCATCATATTGAGGGATGTGAGCCCCTGCAGATTTGGTATCAGTCTGGAACCAGTCTCCCATGGATACTGAGGAATGACTTTGGTTTGGAATCCTTTCCTAATGAGGGGGACAAAGCTGCCCACTTCTGTCTTGCATGTACAACAGATCTTCCCATAATGGTCTTTATTTGGTTAAGGGTTTCTTACCGGTCTGCAAAGAACAGACATGACTGAGTGTAAGCATCATGCACACTTACTTGGACTGATTGACATCAATAAGGGAACCAATTTTCGATGTTGTGAAAGAAATGTGTTCATCACCAATAACGATTTCAAGCTCCTAGAAATATTTAAACAAAAAAATCTAAGTTAAGCAGAATTGGATTATTCATCAAGTATCAAGTACGCGGGGAGAAGGGTACATTATTTGGCAAATCACACAAACTCTACTACACATGGCCATTTAAACTGGGTCAGTTAACTCTGAGCACTAACCTGTGCTGGATACTAGAAACAGATAAATCCTGGACTAACCCTTGAGAAACTCATATTCTTACAGGAAGTCATGCCATCAAGGCTCATTTCTGAGATTTGGAAGAACTTTGAAGCATTCTGTATATGAGTTTTTATTGTTAATGATGTAGAGTAACGTGGCTATTTGTTTTAAAAATACTTAAGGTACTCACTGCTTTGGGCAACAAGGGATGAAGAAAAATATTCTACACCTTGGATTTGATCCCACTTGTGCAGAAGAAGGGTACATTATATGGCAAATCACATAAACTCTACTACATACTAGCTGAATGAGCTCAGGTCTCAAATTTCTAAAGTCATACAAGTTTCACAAACCTAAAGATATCTATGGGGGTACTTACTGTGTGCCAGGCATTGTTCTTATTCCTTGGGACAGATCAGTAACACCAAAGATCTTTGCCCTTGCAGAACTTAAATTTTACTAAGCCCTACTTATTTCTTCTTCTTTTTTAAAAGAAATATTACAAAGTTAGGTTCACTCCTCACTCTTTAAAAAAAAAAAAGATTTTATTTATTTGAGAGGTAGAATTACAGAGAGACAGAAAGGTCTTCCATCTGCTGGTTCACTCCCCAAATGGCCACAACACCTGGAGCTAGGATGACCCAAAGCTAGGAGCCAGGAGCTTCTTCTGGGTCTCCCAGATGGGTGCAGGGACCCGAACACTTGGGCCACCTTCCACTGCTTTCCCAGGCCATAGCAGAGAGCTGGATCGGAAGTGGAGCACTTGGGACTAGAATTGGTGCTCATGTGGGATGCTGGCGCTGCAGGTGGAAGCTTAGCTCATTATGCCACAGTGTCAGACCCCTACTCTATTCTTTCTGTATCCCCCAAAGCTGGGGTGTATTCTTTCCCCTTATGTTTTTAAGATTTGGCAGTATGTTTTTTTTTTTTTTTTTTTTTAAATATGGAACGCTTCACGAATTTGCGTGTCATCCTTGCACAGGGGCCATGCTAATCTTCTCTGTATCGTTCCAATTTTAGTATATGTGCTGCCGAAGCGAGCACAAGATTTGGCAGTATGTTTTTACACATATGTTATCTTCATGCCGTTTCCATTCAGTATCATTTTTTGAGATCTATCCATGTTGAATTACATAACTCTAGCTCAATCTGCATGGTCGTAGGGCTCTCAGTAACACACACATGTGCACATGAGTGGGCTCAATGTCACATGCAGAACAGCTAACTTCACCTTATTTCTAAGACTTCTGCATTAAAAGTAGTCATTAAAATATTCACCTGCCGGCCCACTCGGTCAGGAGGAGGCCACAAAGCATCATCTTCTTTGGTAATTTCACTGTCATCAATTATTCTCTTCAGTTCCTCCATCACACTTTTATGTACATAAGCCTAAAAACAAGTTAAATGCAGAATTTAGATTGTATTCCTAAGCAGTACTCTGACTCAGATAGTTACTGAAGATAAAAATGACTACTCCTGACGCATGGGAAGACATCTGTGCGACTCTGGCATGAACGGGTCAGAAATACCCAATGCCCACACCTCAGTTCCCCATCTGGTTGTTACTGGCTCTCGGCACATCTGCCTGCCCATAAACCTGCTCACATCTGAACCTAAAACAGAAGACTGACCTGTGACTGTCCCCTGCTATGGTCTGAATGTTGATTCCCCTCCAAATTTCATGCTGAAACTTAACCCTCAGTGCAACAGGATTAAGCAGCAGGGCCTTTAGGAGGTGACTAGGCCATAATGGCAGAGCTTCATGGTTGAGTGCCATATAAAAGGACTCAAGGGAACCAGTTGGCCCCCTTTTTGGTCTTCTGTCATATGAGGACACAGTATCTGTCCCCTCTGGAAGGCACAGCACGAGGGGACAGTGTGGAAGCACAGACTAGTCCCTCAGCAGCTACTGAACCTACCAGCGCCTTGGTCTTGGATCTCACCCTCCAAAACTATGTGAAAGAAATTTCTATTGTTTATAAATTATCAATCTTATGTTTTATTACAGAAGCACAACACAGACTAAGATACCAGATACTCTGATACTGTAAGTGAGGCAACATGCTTCCAAGGAGCAGAGACATGTCTTTTAGAGTGCATTTTGCATATGAGCCTGGGTAAAAAAAAAAATTTGAGGATGCCGAGTGCAGATGATCATAAAGTCAATTAGTAATTACCTAGAATGAAAACACCCTGACTGCTAAGACATTTCCAAATGAGACAAAGTAGAGTACCTTTCATTTCATAAAGCCTTACTGGTGTGGTAGAAATCACAGCAGAAGGAAGCAGATGGATTTTACTAAGACAGCTAAGGTTTCAATTCCTGCTGTATCTCTTACTAGCAAAGGTGACTTTGAACAAGCTCCCAAATTAATGTCTGGGTCTCCATTTTCTTATTTGTAAAGGGGATAAAATACTTCCTATCACATGGGTTTATAATCAAGGTTCAATAAAATTATGTATGTAAATAAAATACCTAGTGTTATGCATGGCATCTAATATGTATTTGATGGTAACTAATTTCTCACACTCCGTTTCCCTTTCAAATGCAACTTAAACGCTCCCTATTGAGTACTTCGTGCCAAGGAATATACCAAGCCCTTTAAGCATAACATATTTAGCTCTATGACAGCACTTGGGAGTGGGAGGTCGGTTTTATTATCCCCATTTTTTCAGCTGTAAAAAACAAGACTTAGCAAATTCAGCCAGGGAACTTGCTCAAGGTCATGGTTAGAAAGCACCTTCAGGTTTCAAACCAAGGTATGCCAGACCTTGAATAGTTATCTGTTACTGATTCAGCATCGTAACAGAAAATACAAACTACAAGATTTTTGAAGTAATCTAGAAGTTGTCTACAGACATGTGTCTACTTTCCTACTCTTTATGTTTCAATACTACTTCTAGAAAGAATAAAAACAATATAAGGAAAAAGCTGGACTGTAGCTAATGAAGGCTCTCACAAGGGTCATACCTCTTTTCTGATCATGACATCATTTTTGTAATTACTGTTGTTGGCGTATCTCAATTTCCCTGTGGGGGGCAAAAAACAAATTCAATTCAGAATAAAAACATACAAAACATCCTTAGCCTTCCAACACTATCAGTTATTGCCCAAAATGCATCCAATTTTCTATGTAGTGTCTAACAGATTTACTATTTATACCTCTGGCATTTTAATAATATTCTTTTCAGTTCTTCACTTTAGCGTATTAAACAGCCTCAAAACCAACAGTACAGCTGACACTGAACTACAGTTCTTGCATAAGGTAGCTCAGGTGTGGTAAAACACAGACAGGCTCTTTTATGAGTCTGGGAAATCGCAATTCTGCAGGTCAATGTCCGCAGCTGAAAACAGAGATGGTAATCAATAACGACCCTACTGAGTGGGCAAACACGTTGTGGAAATATTCTGAAAACTGTAGGGTGCCATTTACATAGAATTTCATGTGACTGCAACACTTCCATCTGATTCTGTGACGTAAAAGTTGTGCCTTAATCACTGAGCACATCTGGCACACAAAGCCCCACGTGCATGTGCGTACCCAGCAGGCTAGTTTGGGTACAAGGATGGGTCAAAGTCGGGAAGATAACAGGAAACAGAAGACATGATTTTTCTCTTGTAGAAGATACACACACATGTAAAAAGAGAAAATGCATTCCAACAGCCCCTACACTGCTTCTCTGCCTCAAGACTCTTCCTTTTCTGTCCATTCCCCATCTAACAGACAAGGTGATGTTGTAACAGATCTGTCTGAGGAGGTGACGCTAATGCTTCAGTACTGTCCACAGCTTCCTGCGCTTCACTGGTAAAATCCACACTCCTCAACATGACCTACAGCGAAGTGAGCCCTAGCCTGCCCTTCCAGCCTCGCTCCGGCAATGATCCTCTCTCACACAGCTAGACTCAAACGACTTGGCTTCTGCTTGAAACACCCAAGCACTTCATGGTTTGCTGCCTCTGTGCTGTTAATGCCAACCAAAAATGCCTTCTGGATCTTGCTGGCCTCCTAACCAACCCCTCTGCATTACCAGACATTCTCCCGCCCCAAGTCACTGCGTGCTGGAGCCTTCTCTGACGCTCGGGTGGGGTTAAATGCCTCCTCTCTGCTCCCAATCGCTACCACAAAACTTTTTTTTTTTTTTAACTTTTTGAAATATTTATTTGAAAGACAGAGTTACAGAGAGGAACAGGCACAAAGAGGTCTTTCACCTACAGGTTCACTCTCCAAATGACTACAATGGTCAATGCTAGGCCAGGCTGCAGCCAGCAGTCCAGAGCTGCTTCTAGGTGTTCCACATGAGCGCAGGGGTCCAGGTGCTTGAAACAACTTCCTCTGGTTTCCCAGATGCATTAGCAGGTTCGCTACCACAAAACTTAACAGTTTTGTCACTGTTTACAGCCTACCTCCCTCATACCTGAGGCCTGTCTGAGTCACCTTCGTGCGCCCACTTAATGGAAGTTTTCTGTCGTCTTTGTTTCCTCTTTGCTTCAACAGTGCCCTCTGCCCAGATCCTGTAAGTAGCAAAGCCCAGGTGGTTCTGCCCCCAACACCACCCTACATCCTGCTATCCCCCAGGCCCAACTAACATCTCTCTTGTCCTGACAACTGTAACCATCTCCTCATTCACTGCCCTGTTTCCAGTCTTGCCCACTCTGCACCCAACCGCTAGAGTACTTTGTCAGGGGCACATCACATCTCTTCCCGGCTTAAACCTTGCCAAGTGCTTCCTGCTGCACGTAAAAGCCAAACTCTTTGCTGTGGCCTATGAAGACCTACACAGAGTGGCCCCCACCTACTTACTTGACATGAGCTACTACTCTCCCAAAGCGCGCCCCCCTGCAGCTTCACCGGAAGCATGCCAAGCTAATTCCCGCCCAGTGGCCTTGACACCTGTTGCTTCCCGAGTGTAGAACGCTCTTCCCGAGCGCGGGCTCGGCTCAGCCATCGCCTCCTCAGAGCCCTCTAACGGCTGTCCTATCCTAAAGCAGCCCATCCAGCTACGACTCCAACACTTTATTTTCTAACCACTCACCACTGTGTTTATGACCTCTCTCCCAGCACCAAAACACAAGTTCCAGGAGGGGAAACTTGTCTATCCTGGCTGCTGTTTCCCCAGAAAGTGGGATACAGCCTGGCACAGGCGGGCGCTCAACAAACATCTGTTGAATTGAAGCACTCTGGTCAAAGACGTCACTAAATAGAAGCTCTTACGCATGGACAGAAAGCACCTGGGCGGCGGATACAGGAACGTCCTTTCCTAACTCCCCGCCCATTCCGGACCCCCGGGCTCCGGTCCTGCCCCCGCGCCTAGGCCCCGCTCTTACCGTCAGGTCGGAACTCAAACTCCAGGAACTCGTGGCCGAACTTGCCCTTGTGACCCACGTAGTAGCGCAGGTAAAAGTCACTCTCCATGGCTCGCAAATACCAACCAAGAACGAACTTTGAGAACAAACCTCACCACCACGGTCGGCATCCGGCACTGACGTTTATGCCGGCGCGCGGAAGTGACGCAAAGGCTGCGCCGTCGCTCCCGACTTCGGGCTCCGGACTCCGCTCAGAGGCGGGACACAGATGCCACGCCCCTTTCCCGGAGGCGGGTTGGGCGGCCCCTTAGTGGGAGGGGCCAGGGGTGCCACGCTCCTCCTTCTGGACCGGGGAGAGACCGAGGTTTGCTCGCGGGGTGTGAGGGCGTTCCTTGCTGAGGCGCGAGGCGGTCCGCGGGTGTCTGGGCTTAGCCCGCCTTTAAAGACCTCGGGCGGAAAACTCCGCGCCCTGCGTCCCGCCTGGGTCAGCCTCAAAGTAAGGGACACCGGCCTTGGGCGACTCGGACCAGGCTCTGGCCGTCTGTACTGAGCGCCGCCGCGAAGGTGTCTGGCGTGGGCCGCGACAGAACCTCCCTGTCCGTTCTCAGGACACTTCCCCGGAAGCTGTAACGGAGACGGCCTTTCCCCTGGGCAGCCCGGCCCGCACTCTGTGCTTCTCATTTCTCCCGCTCCCTGCGCTCCCCAGGCCCCGCACTCACCCGGTCATCTTTCCTGACCCCGGCTGGAATCACGTGACTGTAGCCTCTAAAAAATGCTCATGCCTGGGCCCCTCTCCAAACCAAGGGAAATCTAAGGTGTACCTGGCGTTGGTATTTTTTTTGGTGAAGCTCCTCAGGTGAGTCAGGCTGGCTGGGGACCGCTGCTCTTTTCAGGCCAAAGCGGCGCGCCTCTGTGAAGCCTTTCTGGCTACGGTGGAAACTTGAGTTGAGTGTGCCATGGGCAGTCAGAACCCTCATGGAAGCCTGTTTGACTCCCTAAGTTGTAGCCAGGGAGAGGATGGTTCTAGACTGCTGAGATGGCCTGACCCTTGGATCACTGTACTGTTTTGTGAATCAGGCGGGAGTCTCTGATTCCCATTCTCACCCTTAACATTTTATTATTTTCTCTCTGAAAAAGCAACTGGAAGAACAGTATTGAGTTGAGGGGAGGGGGACCCCTGGATATGTAGGGGGTTAAAATAGTCCCTTGTGTGATAGAGGTTTGCTGTGACTACGTGAACTGATTCTTTTCTTTAAATCGAGCACAATAATGTGGAAACAGAAGTGTTGTAGGATAACAAACAAGGTCTTGGAAAATAATTTGCAAAGTGCAAATTGCTATAAAACCATAAGGCATTTTTATTACAAAACATTGGATATGGATAATAACAGGGAATGTATTTTTGAAAGAGAGAAGGGAACCAACCACCAGATAGGAAGCATCTAGTGAATGTCAGTTCATAGGCTGAGACATTGATGCCTGCTTGTTCTTTGAATTCTAACAATAATGCTGAGGTAATTGGAGTTCAATCCTGTGTAGAGAGGCATTTGGCAATGCTGAGAAAGTTAGGGGACCTTGGCTCTAATCCAGCTGGAAAGTCATCCAGGTTTGAGTATATGAGAAACATAGTATAGTTGAGTGTGGTCTATTTCTGCGGTGCTTGAATTCAGCAAAATTTATGCATCTACCAAATTAGTCACCTGTTACTATAATGAAATACCTGAGGTCACTTACTTTATAGAGAACAGGCTTAGTTTTCAAAGTTCACAGCCCAATATCAGGTGGCTCTTTGGGTATGGCCTCTGGTAAGGGGGCAGATGGCAATGGTAGGAGCATTTGTTGGAAGACACAGTCACAGCTTGAGTCAGGAAGCAGAGAGGGGCTGGGACCAGACTCATATAAAAACCCTCTCAGGAGAACCCAAGAGGTTGCACATGAACTTCCTTCTGAGGGCATGCCCCCAGGGACTTAAGGATTCCTTACTAGGCCAAATGTGTTAAAGGTTCTACCACCTCCCAGTCGTGCCACTCTGGGAACAAAGGCTTTAACATATGGACTTTTGGGAGGCATTTGATATCCAAGCTAATATCCAACCATAGCATTTACTATGTGTCATGTGATAGGAATACATTGATGAACAGGACAGATATTAAATAGTTTACAGAGGAGGCAACTCAAGAGTATCTAACAATTGCAAAGTAAATACAGGTTATCAACAGTGGAAGGGGAGAAAAGAAATTGCATGGGTGGTTCCTAATCAAGGCTAAGGCCTAAAGGAAGTCTTCCTGAGGAAGCATTTCAGATTGAGGGCCTGGAATGGTGTAATTATAAAACAGTGACAACAATGGAGAAGGGGCATATGAGTGGTCAAAGCCAAGAATATATATATATTTTAAATACTTCACTACTCCAACATGGGAAGCAATCCACATAACAGACTCATAGAATAACAATTGCTTTAAGTAGCACTCTGACTTCAGAATCAGCCCTTAAGGCATTCTGGTCTGACTGAAAAGCCTACAGGAGCATTTCAGGCATGGAAAGCCAAGACACTGTGACAAAAAATGTCCTACATGAAAGATCTCTGTGAGTGAGATCCCAGTGGATCAAAGAAGGAGGTACTTTTCTCTGAAGGAGAAAACTTCTACTTTGTTTTATGGCCATGTCTAAATGCCGAGTTTGTTGATTCAAAAGGCTTCCATAGCCTAGGCAGCTCATGTCAAGAGCCTTGGGTGACCACTGATGTCATACATAAGAGTGTTGTTAAAAAAGGGGCCAGTGCCATGGCGCACTAGGTTCATCCTCTGCCTGGGGCACGGGCATACCACATGGGTGCTGGTTCTAGTCCCGGTTGCTCCTTTTCCAGTCCAGCTCTCTGCTGTGGCCCGGGAAGGCAGTGGAAGATGGCCCAAGTGCTTGGGCCGCTGCACTCACATGGGAGCCCAGGAAGAAGCACCTGGCTCCTGGTTTTGGATCGGCACAGTTCTGGCCGTTGCAGCCATTTGGAGTGAACCAACAGAAGGAAGATCTTTCTGTGTCTCTCTCTCTGTAACTCTGTCAGATAAATAAATAAACTCTTAAAAAAAAAAAAAGAGTGTTGTTAAATTAACAACAGGAGTCACTGTGCACTAATTTCCCATGCAGGACCTCTGTCCCAGAGTTGTTTTATAATTATGTCTAAGTGCTTGCAAAAGATGTATCATTCTTGGGTGCTTTAAGAGAAATTAAATCCAAGATGGATGACTTTGAACAGCCCTTGTATTGACTGCTAAGGAAGTTGAGGAAGTTTTTTTTTCTTTCATGCAAATTGTTGAACTCTTTAGTTAGTATAGAGTTGGTCTTCTGTGTATAAAGTTAATCGAAAATGGATCTTAGTGGAGAATGGGACTGGGAAGAGGAGGAGGGGTGGGAGGAGGGTATGATGGGAAGAATCACTATATCCCCAAAGCTGTACTTAGGAAATGCATGAAGTTTGTATTCCTTACATAAAAGATTTTGGCCAGCGCCGCAGCTCACTTGGCTAATCCTCTGCCTGCGGCGCCGGCACCCCGGGTTCTGTCCCGGTTGGGGTGCCGGATTCTGTCCTGGTTGCTCCTCTTCCAGGCCAGCTCTCTGCTGTGGCCCGGGAGGGCAGTGGAGGATGGCCCAGGTGCTTGGGCCCTGCACCTGCATGGGAAACCAGGAGGAAGCACCTGGCTCCTGGCTTCGGATCGGCGCACTGCGCCGGCCCTAGCGGCCATTTGGGGGGGTGAACCAATGGAAGGAAGACCTTTCTCTCTGTCTCTCTCTCTCACTGTCTAACTCTGCCTGTCAAAAATAAAAAAAAATTAAAAAAATGATTTCTTTGGAAAAAATAATTTACTTATTCAAAAGGCAGAGTGACACAGAGAGAAGTATCTTCCATCTGCTGGTTCACTCCCTAAATGCTTGCAACAACTGGGTCACTCCCCAAATGCTTGCAACAACTGAAGCCAGAACCAGGAAGTCCAACTGGATTTCCCATGTGGATTGCAGTGGCCCAAGGACTTGGCCCATCTTCCTCTGCTTTCCCAGGAGCTTTAGCAGGGAGCTGGATCTGAAGTGGAGCGGCCAGGACTCACACCAGCACTCTGACATGAAATGCCAGCATCATAGCATCATAATCTGCCCACAACACTGGGCCCAGAATATTCAATTTTAATGTAAGAGAAACAATTGGTGGAAAGATTGTGGCAAAATGGCCTACTGCATTATAAAAAGATCACATTAGGGAGGCCGGCGCTGTGGTGTCTGCCTGCAGAGCCGGCATCCCATATGGGTGCTGGTTCAACTCCCGGCTGCTCCACTTCCAGTCCAGCTCCCTGCTAATGGCCTGGGAAAGCAGTGGAAGATGGCCCAAGTGCTTGGGCCCCTGCACTCATGTGGGAGATCTGGAAGAAGCTCCTGGCTCCTGTTTGGCCAGTTCTGGCCATTGCAGTCATTTGGGGAATGAACCAGTGGATGAAAGAGCTCTCTCTCTGTTTCTCCCTCTCTGTGTCTGGTGCCTCTCAAATAAATGAACAAACCTTTAGAAAAAAGGAAGATCACTTTGGCAGAAATACTGTAGGTGGAATAAGACTAGATGTATGAAGGAGTCTTCAAAAGGTTCATGGGAAATGTGTATCATGACAAAACTATGCATGGATTTCACAGATTTTTTTGCACCAAAATAAATATTTTAATTCCATTTTCCACAAACTCCTTGAAAGAAATCACATAAGAAATTCAGATAAATATTAAGGTAACCATGATGGCAATCTGTACTCAGATAGTGCAAGACATAGAAAAATGGATGAATTTGAGATAGAATACCATAATTTAAGGAATGGGCAAAGGATACCAAGATGTGGCCAGACAGGTAGGAGGAAAACCAGGGGTATTGCTTCAGGGAAGCCAAAATAAGAGTGTTACAAGAAAGGAGTGACCAACAATTAAATGCCTGTTCCAGGTAGAGGAAGGTAAAGATTGGAAGTGTTTACAAGATTGAGAATCAAGGAGGCCCTGCCTGAGCTTGGTAAAAGCCGCCTGAGTAGCGGGGGTGGGGTGGGATGGGGTATATTTGGCAGGGCAGAAGTATCAGGTTGCAAACAGGTAGAAAATAATGTGAAGGAAACAGAGCTGAGTTGGCTAATTCAATCTAAAAGAATAGCAAAGACTGCCTGGAGGAGGCATTATCTAAGTGGAGCATTCAAAAACAAATCAGAGCTAGCTAGACAGACGCAGAGGACAACATAAGCAGAGAATGAAACATGTACAGTTGCTCTTTGGGGGCATGAAAATTAACTGTGTGACTTTGGGTGGTTACTTCATCCATTTTCTCATCAATAAAATGAGGGTGGATAATAGTGATAGTATTTGTTTCTCAAGATTATTGACAAAATATGAGATAATGTATGTAAATACCTGGCACATATTAGACTCAATTAGTGAGAGTTCATCTTCCCCTCCTAGAAGTATCACGATGAAACAAAACTTGCAATTTAAAAAAAATGAATTTAATCTCTCTCTCTAGAAACAGTACACTGATTTTACAAATGTCCACATTTGGTTTTCAGTCTACCAAGATGACATCAGAACAGCCAGTGGGATGCAGTATCCCCACTGCCAGACCCTTTGTTTCTGGAAGAGAAGCCAGACTGCAAAGGGCACCGAGTACAGAAGCTAACGGAATTGGGAATGATGAGACAAAAAGCTGAAACGGTTAGTGTGACCCAACATCCTAACATGCCTGACTGTTATATCACACATGGTAATTTGGGGGCTGGGAGGCGACAAACAGGGAAAACCCCTTTGGATACAATGTGTAATGGAATTTACAAAGCAGTACTGTACCCCTCAAATTAACAACAGCTGTGTGGAACAAGTCTTTTTAAAAGTACATGGTTTGTACAGGTATTTGTGTCTCTTGTAGTTTTTGTAAAAAAAGTATCAAAACCTTGTCTTTAAATATATATATATATATATGTATGTATACAGGTGACTTTGTTAAAATTACTTTTTACAGCACAAAATGTTTGCGAATGCAGAGGGTGTCTGCTGATTCTTGACTGTGCACATAGTGCACAGCCTGAATGCGCAGAGCTTCCTGATTTTTTTATACTAACTAAAAATTTGAAGCTGTGATCCCCGCACCTTCTTGATTCTCCATATCCTGAAAAATCCCCAATATCCTAAAAATACAGCATTAGAAGACTTTGATACTCTACCTTCATGCATTTATGGGAAAGGAAATGACTTACTCTGAAACCTTTAAGTGCTACCTCATTTCTATTCTGTGAAATGACGAGGGTGTGGCTGGAGTGCGGGGGGTGGGGTGGGGGAGGCTCCTGTTCCTGCACCCTCTCCCCCGTCCCAGCAGCATTTGACAGGACAGTGATGGGGCTCTCCTCTCCAGGCTCCATGTCCTCACCATTTCCAGTTTCCTTTCTCACAGCTGAGAAACCCTATGAGGGTGTTGACTCCATGGCATATTTCTCTGAAAACCTCATTGCCTTTATCTTCGTTTTCACTGACCGTGTCAAAAATCTTCAATTCAGATATCTGAAGAGCAGTCAACAGTTCCCTTTGGCCACTGGAAAGCTTGAGGCTGACTCATGTCGCATCTGCAAAGTGCTGGGGGTGCATCCTGGGAAAATTTCCATGATGCACTTAGTTTCTTGTACACAGTAAACAGCCAAGAAAAGTTTGCTTCATTGAGCTGTAATTTAAATAGAAGTATTTTATAAAGTGCTTACATTGAACCTGTCTTTCCATCTAGCCTCACGTCTTGCTAAGTCCCTTTTGGAGCCTTTGTTCCAGTGAAGATGAAGTATGTGCAGTTCCTTAAAGTCCCAGTGCTGTTTTATGCCTGTTCCTTGGCCTGAAGTAGCCTGGACTATTCTCAGTGTTTAAGACTTCGTGTAGGGTCACTTCTCCTGTGATGACCTCGTTCCTCATCTCCTCAGGTAGAGTGGGCTTTGTGGCCTCACTGTGCTCTGAGTAGAATCTATTCCTTATTCCCACGTCTTCCTCTACTACTCCGTCAAGACAGGAAACAGCAGATTGACTTTACATCTGCAGTGCCCGGCACACCATTGGCACCTAGAGACCCCTCTAGGGAACAAATACACTACAGTCGTGTAGAGAACTGGTGGGATCAAGAGTACTTATTGCCATAATTTAGTTCTGATTTCATTCTCTTTTTTCCAGTTGAGGTTTCATGTTACTTCAATCTGTTTTATAAATAATCATGCTATCAAGAGTGAATAAATAAAGTTTTCATTTTCTCAGTTTTCACAAGGCCATTCCTGCCAGTGCTTTTATAACTTCGCTGGAAAGATGGGCCATAGGAAAGACAATAGTCTGATACAACCTTCAGGCAGCCCAAACTAGTCTCCTGCAGGAAGAAAGAGACTGGGACCTTTCTTTGAAATATTGCTGGGTATATTTTCTCTTTGCCTTATTGCCTCTAAGCTCTTTTTTAGTTCCAGTTTAATGTCTCTCTGATCTATAAGTGACTGTAGATGCACAGGAGGCACAGGCAACAAAACGTAATCACCTCAGAGGGAGGCTCCGAAACCCCCCAGTGTGAGGGGAGATGGATCAGTTCTCAGGTGAGTATCTCACCATTTGATTCTTGAAGGCCACGCCATAGCTGCCTCTTTCAAACTGCTGCTGTAGCATATTCAGGAAACATGGATGTCTCTGAGGAAGCTGGGAATTTCAGCATCATTTGTAGACCTCAGGTGCTATGCCCAGCTCCCATTCAATATTTTTTTTTTCTGTGAAGGCCAGGAGTTTAGAAGCTATGCATCAGCCACTGTTATCGCTTAATTCCCTGGAAAATTCAATTTCTTTGGAGGCAGGTTATACAAAAAGGCTCTTGTTTTGTATAATGTCAATGTTTTTCATTTTCTTCATTTTTCTCCAGTGAAAAATAATTTTACTTTCCATTCTTGAAAGAATAGTAGCGATTTAGCTCCATAGGAGTTGGCCCCCTGTTCTCAACATTCTGTTTGCTCTTAGTCATTCTGGCTCAACTGCATTGACCCTCTCAGTCAGTGTTTCTGGAATATCAACGTAGGCATTATCAGGAAGAAACTGCTGCCTTGTACTAAACACTGCCCAAGCTCCAGAGCTCAGCGGTTTTCTTAAAGAATAAGACACCTAGAATGATGTGGAGGAAGTCCTAGGAATAAGATGGTAGAACTTCGGAATGTCTGCCTGAAAATTCAAAGGGCATCACACTGGTGAGACAGCCAAGCTTCACTGAGGATGGGGGTGGAGGCAATTGCTTGAGTGTGTCAAGTTCCAGGTATGTTATGTTTAAAAATACATGTCCTCCACTCCTAGTGGAGTGAAACACTCTCATGTTGCACTTGGTCCCTGGTTGTCTGGTGGGAGCAAAGTGGCAGAACAGCAGAGTCAAGAAAAGACCACACATCCGATGAGAAAGCCAGAGGGGATTACATTCCTCCTGGGACTGTAGGATTATGTATCCAATGGTAGATCCCACAAATAGAAAACAGCACTTCTTCCCACTTCCCCCAAGCCCCAGGAAAAGCAAAGATGTCCATCATGGAAAAAATTTATACATATACCCAGATTTTTCCTTCTATTTACAAAGCAGTAAACCAAATCCCTGTGTGAATACATACATCCAATATAATACTGTGTATGCCATTTCTTCCCTCAAATACGACTTTAAGTTTGGCCATCTTTTCTGACTAAAGCCAAAAATTAGTTTCATCTTTATGAATATGTAAAGATAAGACACCTGTTTATTACTTTAAAACATTTTCCTCACTTGAAGGAAATGGAGAAATGGTGAGTAATAAAACCTATTCCAAAATTCTTATCCTCATTCACAGCATGTCTCAAAGGTCCAGTGCCTGAGCCAGTCCTTACAGTAAACTTGGGTTGTTCTGGAAACATCTCCACTTATGTATATGGATGATACACTTCAAGTTCAACCCAAGTGTCCTGAAGGAAACTGATGTCACTCAAAGAGCTGAACTTGAGAACAAGGAGTAGCTGAGGTTTCGGCATGTTCCTCCTGGAGCTCCCGAAAGCTTCTGGCACTGTGGGATGTCTGTGCACTGACCTTAACCACTGACAAGAAAGCCCAGGCAGGAGCCACAGCAGCCTCGAGGGAGAGGAAAGGCTTTCCTGACTTAGGAGGGTCTCAGGAACAGCCAGGGGTAAAAAGATTTGCCTCTTTCACATGTGTTTGCACAAACCATGGTATCTATTTTCTGAGCTAAATTTCCAAAGGCTTTTCTGAAAATCACTCTTGTGGACTCTTTTAAAATAATTTGCTCTTTCTATATTTGAACAATAGATACTGGTGTGCCTTTTCTCTACAGATCTGTCTCTCTCACACTGTTGCACACATACAAGGACACACACCAAGTCTGTGTGGTGGGCCAGTCATACCAAAAATAAATACTCTCACTTCTCTAAATTATTTATAGAACTAATCTTATTTTTTAAATATGTTAATAAATAATCTAAAGGGGGGAGGGAATTGAAGTATTTTTCTTTTTTTTTTTTTACTTATGTTGATGAATAGCCACAAAGCATAATCATCTTATTTACAAAAAAACCCTCCAAACCCCTAAACCTAAAAAAGCCCCTAAAATCAAACATCCTCTGTAAATATAGTTTTTAGCTGATGAGTAAGGTTCTGTCCCCTGGGCGCCTGTTTGGTTATGTACATCATGTTAGTCACTTAACAGTAGCCAGCCCATGAATTCCTCATGGGTAGTGCAACCAGTTAAAAAGTGTATAAAACATTATACATATAAAAACTCTCACATCCTTTGGATGTTTGCAGTTCATCATAACTTTGTGGTTACCTTTCCGCAACATAAATTAAAAAAAAAAAAAAAAAAAAGACACACACCCACACACACACGCACACAGACCCATATACAGAAACTCATCCACCCTGTCCTACACCATCCACAGAGTCTAGTGCATGGGACTGAATTCCATGAGGCACGAAGGGGTGGTCCCATCCTCAAGGCAGTCCATCATCTTCAATGCTTAATGCCACTCGCTGGGGAGACAGATGAAAGAAATCATTATTAGACCCATGAGAGCTCCTATTTATTATCAGCAAAGTCTTAGACGTACTGCTGCGTTACAGGTATTGGCTCACATCATCTTCAAGCTATTGCAAGAAACAAGATTATCATTTTTACTTTACAGATGCGAAAACTGAGACTCAGTGAACTTAAGTAATGCTTGTTCTGAATCACACAGCAAGAGGCTAAACTAAATTTCAGTGTGAATCCAGAACTGTAGCTTTTTTCATCATTGTCCTCTGTCACACTTTGTAAAAGAGAGATCTAAACATTCTCTCTCTCTCTCTTTTTTTAAATGTGTAGGAAAGATACGGCTCTTCTCTGGTTGGCAGATATTCTTTTTCTTCTACTTTTGAATTGGATTTTTAAACATTCTGAATCCTCCCTTCTATAACTTTGGATTTGGTCAACTTCAGTGGGTTGGCTTTGGCAAGTGTTAAATACCTGTCTTCAGCATGCTAATCACAATTAGGAGGTGATAGACTGCTCCACTTTCAGTGATGACACAGAACTGGAAGGCCTTGCAGGTCAATGGAGTCTGATCCCTCTCTCGCTCAGCTCTGCTTCCCAGTGATTAGCCACTAGGTTCCCCTTGGACCACTAGGTGATGAGCACCCTAACGCCTGAGCCCGTCTATTCCATTTTGGACAGTGGACTTAAGTTCTTTCTTGTATTGATGTGGAATCTGTTTCTATCTTCTGATGTTTCCTGAATCCTCTCTCTCAGACTCAGAGTTCCCTCCACAGGACAACCCTGCAAATTTACAGGCGGTGTTTGAATTCCTGTCCCTTCATTTGTAGCCCTTTCTTCCTCCAGGACACACATACAGCTTTCCTTGTTTGCCACACATCCATTCCCTCCCTGGACTGAACCTCATTTCAGTATCTTTCTTATAGCTATGTAGATCTGGACTAGTCACTTCACCTATCTGAACCTTTGTTTCATCATCTGTCAAATGGGAATAATAATAGGACTTACCTTATAGGGTTGTTGGGGGAATCAAATGAGATGATGTTTAATATAGTACCTAACATGTATGGGGTCCACAGTATTCTACACCAACCTAATCAGTATAAAATAGAACCAGGCCAATGTGCTTCATTTCTGAAGAGTCTACATATGAGAAAGTCTACATATGCACTGCGGTTTTCCATGGATGCAGTGGCTGTGCCTCACTAGCATAGATGTTTGGGACTGTGGTATTCTAGTGCAGCATTGCAGCTGCCCTCCCACTGTCTCCAAGACAGATCCCTAGGTCAAAGCCAGGCCCCAGCAGTGATGACAGAGCTAAGAAAGGGACAGAAGAGAGAACAGATGGTTGAGAATACCAGTTTCCAGAGCTTCACAGCTATTTACTCCAGGACAGAATGGAAAGAACATGGGCTTCTGTGTACATGCAGACTTGAGTTTGAATCCTGGTTCTACCACTTCCTGACTATGGTCTCGGACAAGTTATTCAATTCCTATGAGTCTCAGTTTCCTCATCTGCAAAGTGGGGCTAAAAATATCAACTTTAAAAGGTTACTGTGAGGATTAAATGAGAAAATGTAGTAAACCACTGAGATCAGTCTCTAACACATAGTAGGTGGCATCTAACTAAAGATCAGCATCCTTATTCTACTACTCTTTCTCTGCAGATGGTAGGAAATTATTATTTGGGCCTTAAATTCATCAGGAATAACTCCTCGAGTCATTTTCTTCTCTGGGAACAATGCTACTTTACATGTGCAGAGTGCTTTGTAATTCATAAAGCATTCTCACATGTGCTATATTTATTGCCTTGGACTTTTTGAAACCCAGAGGCCAACAGAATTATTATTCTCATTTTACAAATAAAATGGACAGAGAGAAGTGACTAAGATCACAGGGCTTTGACATGTGGAACTGGGATTCATCTTACTCCAAGTTCAATGCTCCTTCCACTGTGTCCCCTCTAATTAAAATTGGTTAAGCAGCCGATTGCTTGCATCAGCCAAGATTAAACATTGTCTCAGCCCTCTGCTCACCCTTTACTTGCTCGATTCACTTCCCGTGTCCCCCTTCATAAACAGTTTGCTTCAATAGCAGGTCTACATGCCCTGCCCCATACTTGGTCACTTTCTTAACACATGCCAGTTCCTGGGTCTGCGACTAACCCATGTTTCCTCTTTTCCCCCAACACCCAGCTTAGAATTTGCAGCCTTCTAAAACCAGAAAGCCTTCCAGGATTGACTGCACCTGCCTGAGTCCATGCCCTCACTCACCAGCCCCTCAGACTCAGAGTGGCACTGCCCTACCTTGCACTTGACGACAGGCAGCTCGGAAAGAGGGTTCTTCGGGAGTTGGTGCAGCTGTGACCTTGGTTCCCCAGGCAAGACAAAAAGCTCCTTGAGGGCAGGGGCTGATTCTTCCAGTTCTCTGGTCTCCCCAAGACAGGGCTCTGCCCACAGTGGGCGATCAAAGCTGCTGATTGCCTGACAGGGGGATGGACTGGATGACCCCTGTGGTCACACTCAGCCCCCTGGCTCTGCTATGCAACAATGACTTCATGGCCCTTGCTCCCCCAACAAGTCATGGTCTGTGACGCCTCTAAGTCTTCGCCCACGCTTCTGTCTAGAGTGCCATTTCCCTCCTTCTCGGCCTGGAAAACTGCTATTAATCTTTCAAAAGCTCGTTCATCCGTTATCCTCTCTGTAGTTCTTGACTGATTCCCCAAACAGAATTAACAGTTCCCCTTGTGATGTTTCCTTAGCGTTTGTTCAATAAATATTTGTTGGAAACTAGCTATGCTGTGCCAGGCACCAAGAAAACATTATTCCACCTTCAAGGATCTCACGGTCTAATGGGAAGATCTCTAGGAAAAGATAAGTGAATGACCATGTGACAAGTGCTGTGATGGAGAAAGCCCAAGGGATTGTGGGAGAGAGAAGCAAGCCAGGGAAAGCTCCCTAGGATAGAGGACTCCTGAGCTTCCGTCAGGGTACTTGGCACACAGTTGTGCAACTGTGTGAATATCTCAAACTTCCCACCAGGGCCTTGGGAGCAGGTACCTTCCTTATTTATTCTGGATGCTTGATAGCTAATATGATATTTGGCATACGTTTGAGTTAAATGGCCACAGTTACTCTTCCTGGCCAAAGGTTCTGAAAACTTAGCAGAAAGATAATTGGCCAGGAAGAGCTGTTAGGTACAAGGTGGTCCTGACACCTGTTCTACCCCAACCACTTGCCCTAGCACGTCTGTGTTCCCCAGAGCCTGGTACATGGTAGGTTCTTGATAAATGAGGAGAGGAGGAAGGGAGGAAGGGAGGGAAGATGGAGGGAAGTAGGGAAGAAGGAAGGATAGATGGATGGTCAGGCAGATGGAAGGCAGGGCAGATGTGAATTCTCCAACAAGGACTACTTACTGCAGGATAGACATGGCCGATCTGAGCAGTCCTCCCTATGTGGAGTTCATCATCGTCTTCTTCTTCCGTTGTTTTCCTGTACACCGGGTTGTCAAAGTTCATGCTCTTGGTGTTCTTCCGCTTCCAGTTTCTCCAGATCAGGTAGCCACTTATGCACAGCAGGGCCACGACCACTGAGGAGGGGACATGTTGCACTGAAACTCTGCAGGCTCCAGCCCACTGCCCAGACATTGCCACCTCCCCAGTTTTAGTCCCCCTTGCCCCTCTCAGGCTCTGGGTCTGTGTGTTCTTTTCTCTGCCCCTTTCCCATTTCTCCTTTTCTTCAATAACTACTAATCTTTCTTCTTCTTTTTTAAAGATTGTTTTATTTATTTGAAAGACAGAGTTACAGGGAGAAACAGACACACAGAGAGGTCTTCCATCTGCTGGTTCACTCCCCAGATGGCCGCAATGGCTGGAGCTAAGCTGATCCAAAGCCAGGAGCCAGGAGCTTCTTCCAGGTCTCCTACATGGGTGCAGAGGTCCAAGGACTTGGGCCATCTTCTACTGCTTTCACAAGCCATTGCAGAGAGCTGGATCGGAAGAGGAGCAGACGGGACTCAAACCGGCACTGATATGGGATGCACAGTGCTGGCCCCATATAACTACTAATCTTTCAAGATCCAGCTCAAATATGAAGTCTTTCCCACCTGCCCTGGGCAGTCAGTTGCTCCCTTAGGTGTGCTCCCAGATCACAGTGTCTTACTCAGTATAGCTGTAGCCACACCCAGGCCAAGCCCTTTGAGGACAGACTACCTTACTTATGTCTCTAAGCCCAGTGCCTGGCATGTCTTGAACCAATGAATGGATTTCTTGACCACACCTCTGCCCTCCTTACTGCTTCCCTGGATCTCTAAGAAAACCACTCTATCCCAGAATTGGAGGGAGGAGCATTGCTTTCCATAGTGGTGGCTCCATCAGAATCAATAGCTTTCTTTTTATTTGTTAAAGATGTATTTATTGGAGCAGCACTGTGGCATAGTAGGCTAACTTCTGCCTGCAGTGCTGGCATCCCATATAGGCACTGGTTTGTGTCCCAGCTGCTCCTCTTCCGATCCAGCTCTCTGCTTATAGCCTGGGAAAGCAGTGGAAGATGGCCCAAGTGCTTGGGCCCCTGCACCCACGTGGGAGACCTTTAGGAGGCTCCTGGCTCCAGATCAGCCTAGTTCCTGCTGTTGTAGCCATTTGGGGAATGAACCAGTGGATGGAAGATTTTTCTGTCTCTACCTTTCTCTGTAGCTCTGCTTCAAATAAATAAATAAATAAATTTTTTTTTTTAAAGGATGTACTTATTAGAAAGAGAGAGAGAGAGAATCTTCCATCTGCTGGTTCACTCCCCAAACGCCTGCAATAGCCAGGTCTGGGCCAGGATGAACCAGGAGCCAGGAACTCCATCCTGGTCACCCACGTGGGTGGCAGGGGACTAAGTAACTTCTGCCTTCACAGGCTCATTAATGGGAAGCTGGATCTGAAGCAAAGCAGCTGGGACTTGAAACCGACACTGTGATATGGGATGCTGGCATTACAAATGGTGCTTAACCCACTGCACCACACCAGCCCTAATAGCTTTCTTTTTAACCAACAATAACCAGTTAGAAAATGTAATGGAGTAGGAATACATTCACAACAGCCCAACAAAAAAATCTAAAAATACCTGGGATAACCTAACAAGAAATGTGTAAATCCTATGAGTTATAAAATTCTCTGGAGAACATAAAAGACTGAAATGGAAAGATGCGTCATGTTCCTGGATGGCAAGCTTCAATATTGTAAAAATGTAAATGCTCCCACAGAGTTTATATATGCAAAGCAATTTCAATGAAAACTGCATCACATTTTTTATAGATTTGGCATGATTATTCTAAAGAGACACAATAAAACAATAGCTGGGAAGATGTGAACATGACATAGCACAAAGTTGTGCTACTAATGTATAGGAACAGGCAAAGAATTGGCGGAGGACAGTAACCAGCCTGGAAGCAGACTAAAGTAGGTATGGGCAGGTACTTTATGGTAAAGATGGCAACTCATGTCAGAGGAAAGGATGGACCACTCCGTAATGGTTTTGGGGAAACTAGACAAATATGTGGGAAAAAACCTGCTAAGTCTCTACCTCATCCCACACTCTAAAATAAATCCCAATGAATTAATATCTGAACCCTAAAATGAGTTTACAGCAGAAGAAAACAGCAGGAGATAATTCAGAGTGAAGCAGGCCTTCCTAAGCAAGATACAGAATCCAGAAATGGTAAAACCAAAGGTTGACAAAGCTGGTATTGAAAATTTTTAGATTTATGCATGACCAATGACATCCTAAACAAATTTTAAAATCAAATGTCAGGCTAGGAGAAACTGTAACATATGTTATAAAGGTTTAATATTCATTATGTGTAACTATTTTCACAAACAAAAACAACTAATAGTAAATAAGAAAAGACTGAAGAGGCAATTCATAAAGGATGAAATGTAAACAAAGGTTAATAAGCTTATGAAAGATACTATGCCTCACAGGGAAATAAATAATTCTCATCTATCATCCCTTAGATTAGCAGAAACTAAAAGCATTAATTCTATCAGCAAACAGAATGCACAGGGCTCTTCGAGCAGCACAGGAGACGGCAGCAAGTTTGATGTCTTCCTCACTGTTCCTTTCTAGTGTTTTCTCCCCCGTGACGTGGGACCATACTCACCTATGGGCACGATGATCCCAATGACAGCAGCAGTGACTGGTGAGCCCATCTTGCCACCTTCATTCCCATCTACAAAGCACAGACATTTGTAGAATGACGCTCGACGTGCGTCTCAGCCCTCACCCACCTCAAGCACTAACTACCCAAGTGTTTCAGTCCTCGGGCTGGAATGATGATCCTGGTGAGTGCTTAACAATGCACTCGTTCCTGATCCCATAGAACTGTTGTGGGGCAAGCAGGACAGATCGGGAAATGGAGTCTTACTAAAGGGTTTAAGGACTCACTGGTAAGTGCAGAGCTGGGACTTGAGCCCAGGACTTATTACTGTGTAGGGCACTGTGAGCTGTGCGCACTGGTCTTTATGCTGCTGACTGGGTCTGCTGCCTTTTTCAGTCAGTGTCTATTGCACTGTCTCTGTTGCTGTTTTTGGTGTTCTGTCTGCATTATTGGTTTATTTTTTCTAAGTGATTAAAATGGAATATAGTATAGTGTAGTGAGATCAAGAGCGTAGGTTTCGGGGTCAGACTTCTTGGGTTCAATGTGCCAGCTCTACTACTCACTGTTGTGTGATCTTGGGCAAGTTACTATCTAGTATAAATATAACATGTTACATGCTACCTCTTTAAGATGGAGATAATGTCGTCACCTACCTTCTAGGACATAGTAAGACTTAAAAGTAATAATTCATAGGAAATGCTTTAGCCCAAGGCCTGGCACAGCCTTACTTAATTGAGAGAGCTGAGAGTGGGGTGGGGGTGGCTGTGTAAACAGAAAATGAATGGGAAAGCACTATGTGGGACGTGTGCTGCATCTGGGCCATCTTTCTCACTCCTGTAGCCATCCTCACCGCAACATCTGGCCAGTACTTTGTAGTCTACACGGGGTTTTTCCCCATGATCCTCGCGCCAGCCTTCCGAGGTGTGGAGAGGAGCTGTCATCTACATCTGCTCCCAGTGAGGACGGCTCCTGGCCATGGCCCAGAGCCCTTCCTCCCAGCGTGTCCAGTTCTCTGAGTGACCCCAAGGGAACCTAACTGTGGAGAAGAGAACTGGCCAGCTTCCAAAGGTAACCGTGGAAATTCTGCTGTCCTCCTGCTCAGGGCCGAGGCCAACACCCGACAGTGGTTGGAAGCCGGGACCGGGGCAGGCTTGGGCGGCGGGCCTGGGCAGAGGAGCTGGCACTCACAGGTGCTCCGCTGCCTCTGGACACGTCAGGGTCAGCTGATGCTCCGCTCTGAAGTCGGTTTCCGCAGGCCCAGTGAGAAAGACGCTGCGGAGCTGCCTGGTTTCCAGGCTACCCACGTAAGGGAAAAAGACGTCTAAAGAGAGTTCATCCTTTGAAATGAACTCCCCCTGGCAGGTAACTCAATTAGAAAGGTATTTGCCGGCTAACGAGGTAGAACATTTCTACCAGTGACAATTACTGCTCCTGATGATTTAATAACTGTGGAACTTAATTGTTTCATCCCAGGGTTTGGAAAAGAGGCACGGGCAGACCACAGTTACGGGTATTGCTGCCTTGGGACCTTACCGACGCTGCTGGGGACTGAGATCAGTTTTTTTACAAACCTGGGGACACCCTCCCCCACCCCGCCATACCAGTAACTCGTGAAACATGGGCACACCCCTGCCCAAGGACACACCCCTGCCACGTGCCCAAGCACTTCTGGTCACACTGCTGCTTCCTTTGTCTCCAGGCAACTTTGCAAAGCACATAGGGGTTTCTCCTTGGTTGGAGAAAAAGCAGAGGCTCAGAGGTAGGAGGTCGTTTCCCTCCTGCCCCTCCATAAGTTAGGGGAGCTGAAGACTCCTAGGTCGCAAGCTGGCACTCTGCCTCCCTCTGCTTCCTCCCCAGAGACAGACACACAGGATTCAGTCCTGCTTTGGTCATCTTGTCCCAGTCCTGCCCACCACCTGGATCCTGGCTTCCCTAGGACCTCTCCCACGCCATGAGAGAATGCAGAAGACGTTTCCTTACAGTGCTGGGAGTGGTTGCTGGTTGCAGGGCTGGGGGTTGACGGGCTGATGCCGGGAGCGCCAGGAACACTAACAGAGCTTGGGACCGCAGCTGCCAGGCTTGGTGTCTCTGTGCTGTGGTTCTGGTAGGTGGGGCTGTGGACAGTGGTCCCAGGGGCTCTTGTGGTGGCGGCGGCTGTGCTTGTCGTGGTGGAGGCTAATGTCGTAGTGGAGGTAGATGGAGGTGCTAGAGGGGAACACCATGGAGGTCACTTGGACAGAAACAGTGTTGCTTCAGGGCCCAAGTTGTTGCCCGAGTTATACTTAGGAGAGCTCCTCCTCATGGCTTAGCTCCAAGGCCCCATCTGGGAAGCCTTCCCTAATCCTGAAGGGGCTATGATCTCCTATCTGAATCCTAAACACTGCACTTTAGTGCATTAAACAATGTGGCAGAATTAGGTGCGATGAGAGGACTGTAAAGGCTGGGAGGAGGGGAAGCCATATAAACCCGGAAGGATTTCACCCTCATCATTTATACCATCAGGTTTAAATTCTTACTCCACTTTTAACAATGGAAACTAAAATCATAAACTATGCAACAGCCTTATCCTCAGACAGAAGGCTCTGGCTATACATTACAGTTGGGAAATGAACATAATTTGTGTAGTTGAAGTATTAACTGACCACCAGTGCCCATCATACTGCAACAGAGCTTCTACCCACATGTAGGGGTTGCATTCTAGGTAAGAGACAGGCAAACACACAGTCATCTGCATACAAACAGGAACTGAAGCCATGGAGGGCCAGGATTCCTGGGCTTTTCAAGGGTCTCCAGAAACTCCCTGAGATGGAATTTAAAATGTTTGATGTGATCTTTTCTTGGGAGAAGAGAAAGCTTTGGCGTGTCTCTTAAGATGTGAGTGTTCAAGGAAGGGAGAAGAGAGGTGCTTGCGAACACAAAGGCAGTAAGCAGCCGGAGAAGGAGACGCAAGAAAACCAGGAGCTTCCTGCGTCCCGAGGCCGAGGGAGGAGCTCAGCAGGAGGGCTCTGGCGCTGCGGGGGCCACCCTTCCTGGGAGCTCTGCTTACCTCGGTAGCACCTCTTCATGTCTGGGCCCAACCACATGGTGTCAGGACAGGCACAGGTGTACTGGGGAGAGTGGCTGGAGAGCTGGGGAGCAGGAAGGCACAGGTACTCACAGCCTCCGTTGGGCTGGGCGCTCAGCTCACAGGCATCTGCAGCTAAGGGCAGAGAGAGCAACAGCTGGGGCACCGACAGGACGTGCCAGGTCCTCCTGCCTCCTCAGGACGACGGCCTCCCCACTTGGCCACTTCCTACTATCGCCTACTTCTATTGGGCACCTTTCAGCACCATGCCTTGTGATTTATCCTACACCCTCCCTGAGCCCTTACAACAGTTCTGAGAGGTAGGTGCTATGCCCCAGAGTGACAGATAAGGACACTTAGGCTCAAAGAGGACACACTTGTCAAAGTTATAGCTTTAAGGATTTTGGAGGCAGAATTAAAATTGAAGTGTGCTGGGCTCCAAAGCCCATATTTTTTCTCTCTCTATGCTGCATGCTATGTCTCTTTTGCTTAACTGTACAGATCTAGAATCAGGTACAGCCTTATCTCCTTATGGTCTTGCGTTCTCACCTTCCTCCTGGCGGCCCGCACCTCAGCTGAAGCTGGAATTACTATCTTCTAGTGATGGAGGAGCAGGTAACCCAGAAGTGGGATTCCTGGGCTCTGTCCCCAACCAACAAGATGACTCACTCTATAGCCCAAGGGTATGTTACAAGGGTATTGTACACTGGATACAAACAGCAAACAAGATACAGTGTGCAGTAGTAGAATGAGCTTTGAAATAAGAGGGGTCTGAGTTTAGGTCTTCGTCCTGTCACCTGCTAACACTATTTTACCTCTTGCAGCCATAGTTTCCTCAACTGTTAAATGAGAAGAGTAATAGCCACACTCTGGAGGGCTGGCAAAAACTGGGCATTTATATACCTATTTATACCCAGTTTTATTTCACAAAAAGCTTGAGGCAGAAGGAGACAAGATATGTGACGGCAGTGTACTCCAGTAATGATGGGGGTTGTTGTTACTATTCCTGAGGATGCTGAGTTGTGACATGAATGTGAACACAGCTTCCTTGGTGGATGGCGAGGATACAGAAAGGGGACCTGAAGGGCGGGCATTTGGTGCAGCTACTTGGGATGACTGTGTCCCAGATCGGAGTGCCTGGGTTCAAGTCCCAGCTCCGCTTCTAATTCTAGCACCCTGGGAGGCAACAGGAGATGGCTGAAGTATCTGGGTCCCGGCTACTCACATGGGAGACCTGGATTGAGTTCCAGGCTCCGGGCTTCAGCCTGGCCCAGCCCTGGCTGTTGTGAACATTTGGGGAGTGAACAGCAGATGGGGTATCTCTGTCTGTGACTCTCTGCCTTTCAAATGAATGAATAAATAAATAAGATTTAAAAAAAAAAAAGGGACCTGGCACTAGAGGGGCTGGGGAAGACTGACCTCTTGGCTGCTTCAGTTCATGGAAGATGACAATGTCGTGTGGGTTATTGAGGTTCTCAGCCAGGAAGGAGATTTCCAGGCCATTGAGACGATTTGCACTGAGAATGGCCTCATTCTCTAAGTCTGTCCAGAACACCTTGTCCTGTGGGGGCAGAGATGCAGGACAATGCGTCAGAGTCTAAACCCATGACCTCCATTCCAGGGCCCAGTCCCAAACCGTATCACAAGAATTGCCCTGACATCTCCCTGAGCTCCCCTGTCCACACACTGGACTCTCTGCCTGTGATCTGTAATGGATGCTGGCCTGGGTCCCTCCCATCTCAGAAGATCATTTGGTGATCCTGTGCCTTAGAATGAGGCACCAGCTCACTGGTACCACGCTGGGCCTGCTCCCTGCAGCCCAGCAGAAGCCCAAGCTGGGTCTCAAGAGATGCACTATCCCTGGGGCCTGGGACTGAGATAAGAATGGAAGGGGCATGTAAGCTACTGAGAGCTATGCCCTGTAGGGCCTCCTGCAGCCTCTGGACACACACACACACACACACATACACACACACACCCAGACATACATCTTACAGGCACAACCATGCCTCCTCACAACCAGATCTAGACACATACCCACATGCTCATCTTCACACAGATAAGCATACATGTGCCTGAATAAGCACCTACCTAAATACTGGTGCAAATATTTATCTGATAGGCACCAGCATACCTGTACTCTGATGCATTTATGGATACACGTGCATACAACACACACACACACACACACACACACGTTTGAACCGACCTGTCTTTTGAAGCAAGGGCTGTACTTAGAGGAGAGCTGAGTGATGCAGTCCAAGCAAATGCTGCCAATGACCACCTCAGATCACTGCCCCTGCTTTCCCTCCCCTTGGTGGCAGACTTGGTTTTGGGGTAGAGGTGGGATGTAAGACTGTCATTGCTTGTGGCTTCCTCATTGCATGAGGAAGATGGTTGTTAGGGCTGGAGCCCAGGAGGGTCTTGACTCTTCCCCTTCCTGGATGCTGATTGACTTCTATGACCCCAGGGTCACAGAGATCAATAAAACTGTGCTGAAGTGGGGCGAGTGTCTGGCACAGCAGATAAGACGCTGCATCCTGGATCACAGCACCTGAATCCAAGTTCTTTTTTTTTTTTTGGACAGGCAGAGTGGACAGTGAGAGAGAGAGACAGAGAGAAAGGTCTTCCTTTGCCGTTGGTTCACCCTCCAATGGCCGCCACAGCTGGCGCGCTGCGGCCGGCGCACCGCACTGATCCGAAGGCAGGAGCCAGGTGCTTATGCTGGTCTCCCATGCGGGTGCAGGGCCCAAGCACTTGGGCCATCCTCCACTGCACTCCCGGGCCACAGCAGAGAGCTGGCCTGGAAGAGGGGCAACCGGGACAGAATCTGGTGCCCCAACCGGGACTAGAACCCAGTGTGCCGGTGCCGCAAGGTGGAGGAATAGCCTAGTGAGCCGCAGCGCCAGCCCTGAATCCAAGTTCTAACTCTGCTTCTGATTCCAGCTTCCTGCTAACGCACACCCTGGGAGGCAGCAGGTGATGGCTCAAGCACTTGGGGCCTGCTACCCATGTGCGAGATCTGGATGGGATTCCCAGCTCCAAGCTTCAGCCAGGCCCAGCCCCAGCTGTTTTAGGCATCTGGGGAGTAAACCAGCAAATGGGAGTACTCTCTCTGTCTCTGCCTCTCAAATCACTAGCATCTCTCAGGCCATTTCCTACAGTGCATGATCTGTGTATCCCTTCTTCCCTTCCCCTTCATGGCACCCTTCTGGACATGTGGTGCAGTGCTGGGTGCTGAGGGTACAGGAGGAAACACGCGTGTCCAGCACCTCCCCCATGCTGGCAGACAAGGACTACGAAAACCTCATTCTGCAGGCAGCTCAGAAACTACAGACAAACAAGTCGACTGGCTTCTCTATTTCTTTGTCTGCATTTGGACAAGCCTCAGGGAGTCATCCTATTCGAACTAACCTTTGCTAGGCATCAGCATCTTGGTGGGGCCAGGCCTCCTCCTGTGGGACTCACCTCAAACACAGCTATTCCAAAAGGGTGGCTCAGGAAGTCGGGGGAGGAAATCAGCATCTTCCTGTTGCCGCCGCTGAAGTCAATGCTGGACAACTGGTGCAGCTTGGAGTCCACCCAGTATAGGCGCTGGTTCAGCAAATCTGGAGAAAGAAGGGGCGGGGGATCAGGTCCTGGGCCAGGAACCAGCCCTCTGCTCCTCTGCATCCCTCATTGCCCACATTTCCAGGTCCCAGACTGAAGCCAGCCCAGGCCAACCACCCATCAGGGAACAGAGGCACTGGTACTATGGGGAATCCAGAAACAAGACCCACGGTGCTGCACAGACGGTGGTAGGAATCAGGTGCCAGGGAAGGCAGGGCTCACCCAGGGTGATTCCGTTGGGCCATTCTATATTGTCTGACACCAGTGTCTGTCGGTCCGCACCATTGAGCCCGGACTTCTCGATCTTGGCCTGGAACCCCCAGTCAGACCAATACATGAACCTAAAAGACAGAAGAACCCATCCTAGTTTCTTGCAGGCGACCTGGCTGGAGTGGTCTGAGTCACAGGGCGCAATGACCTAGCAAGCAGCTGAGGCCCGTGTTGGTGGGGACTGGGAAGGCCTCTGAAACCCCTTGGGACATCCTATTGGCCAGCAGGCACTTGAGTCTTCACTTCATTTGAGACACCAGGAAAGGCAGCTCCAGGTGGAGCCCTAGAGCGTCAGCTGGGAGGAGCCCTTGTAAACCCCCACTCCGGATTTACAGGGGAGAAAGGCGGTGGATGACCTTCTCACCCCAGGAGCCTCTACTAGGCAATCTCTAGAACCTGCTCTGCTTGGGAGACTCCAATCCTGTGACACAAGTGAGCCACAGCATCCGGGCAAACACCAGCAACCAGTGACCCAAGAACCTCTGGGAGATTAAGAGGATGAGGGGTACACGTGGACTTTCTCATGGCCCAGAGCCTCCTGGAGCCCTCAAAATAGCTCTTGTGTCAGATCCATGAGAACTGAGTGCCCCCGGTGGGAGAATGGGAAACTTGGGGCGGGGATACTCACCCTCGCAGGGGGTCAACAGCGATGGCCCGGGGCTCACTAAGGTCACGGCTGAACAGAGTGCAACGGCGGCCACCATCAACTGTGGCCACCGAGATGGTCTTATTGCCCGAGTCGGTCCAGTACATGTGCTTGTGGACCCAGTCCACCGCCAGGCCCTCTGGAGAGTGCAGCTGCTCGTCGATGAGGACCTCCTGCTCTGCCGGGTCGCTGGCCTTGTCCATGTAGGCACTTAGGAGAAACCAGAGCTGGCCATGGGCAGGTGTTCCACCCAGGGGCCCATCCGGAGCTGCCCATGCACCCTTCCTGTGTCTCCTCCCCCGGGGCCGTTAACAGTGGCTCTTAGAGGAGTTTGGCCAGTTTCCATTCAACCCATTCCCTGGGCCACTGGGGTAGGGATACGGGCTCGAGTCAGCCCCATTCTGTGGTCTGGAGGAGCTCAGCTTAGTGGGCACAGAAGCTTGCCGGTAGAAATAACAGGATGTGATTACAGGGAGCAACAGAGGCTCATGGCAGCGGAGAATGGAGACGGAACCCTCCCAGAGAGTGGAAGAAGGCTTGATGGTTGAGTCCTAGAGGAGCCGCTCACCAGGAGCATGAAGCACAGAATGCCACTCAGGCAAAGGGCACAGCGTGTGTGAATGCCCAGAGGGTATGCTCGGGAGAGCTGGGAGTGCGGGCTGTGAGGTCAGAAGTAGGCGCAGGCAGGGGCCACGTCCTGACAGCCCCCGAGTGCCGGGCCCAGGAACCAGGCTTTTACCCAGGACAGGAGGTCGGAGGACATGGCTAGAGAAGCACACGCGATCCCTGGGAAATGGACTGGTTGGGAGGGAAGGGAACAAAGGCAAGAACATTGGCCAGGAGGCTGTCACAGCGTCCAGGTGACAGACGAAGTCTGAGGAAGGCTGTACCTGTGAGGCTGGGGACAGAGGCTGAAAATGCAGCAGCCACTCAGGGGAAGCTTTAGCTGGACTTCCCGTTTCCCAGGGGTTTCTTCTCGCCACACCCTCTGTCCAGGTGATTAGCTTCAGGCTCAGTGCCATCCCTGACTCTCCTCCCCAGTCCCGCCGGCTCTCTTAACGCCCAGACTGCAAAGCCAGCCTGCTCTCTGTGCACACCCCACAGGGCACTGGAACCCAGACTGCTCTTCCCCATTCCCCTCCCCTCGGCCCAATAGGCAGACAGCCCACCCCTCACCCCTGCTCCTCCTCGGTGCCTCTCATCTCAAACAACAGCACTACTGTTCTCGAAACCACCCAGCCGGAGACCCAACACTCCCGGTTAGCCTGGGAGTTACTTTTGACTCTCCCTCCTTCAGCCTCCCATCCGGTCTGTCATCAGACCCTGCCTCTCTGTCCCAGCTTCGGACTGGGCCTGCTCTAGCTCTGTCCTTGGGTGTGCAGGTGGCAGCTGTGTGCGTCTGTGTGTTGGGGAGGTAGGGATCCAGTCAGCAGGGAGAAGCATGCAGTATCTTTACTTCCATCTATCCCATCATTCTTTCAACAGCGACTCAGCATCTACCAGGGCCTGGTCACTGGCAGTCCTGCTGAGTGGCCCTCAGGACACAGAAAGGACATGACTGCCCCAAGGGTGGGCAGGCGGGCTGGAGGCACATCTGAGAAAGGTCTTGGAGAGAGCCTTGGGCGTGGGGGGTGTTCCCAGGGCTAAACTTTCCTGCCTGCGGCACCCTGGACCCCGCAAAGGGCTGGCCTGGGACAGTGCCATCCAGAGACACTTCCCAGACCCCCACATGTGGCAGCAGCCTCTCTACGCTCCCTCGTGATCACAGTGGCTGGCACCATGTCAGGAGTGGTATCCTCTGACGGGCCCGGTCTGAGTCAGCGCTGAGCGCCCAGGGTTGGATGCACTGCTGTGCGAGCTGCTCTGACAGTCCCCTCTTGACCAGGGACATCTTCCTTTCTGCCTGGGCGCTTCTCGTGCCCTGCACTTCCTCCTCGGGCCAGCAGAGGTCAGACAAAGCCCAGGCAAGTGATGCTCAACGCTACTTTTCCGGAAGAGCCACCCAGAGGCGATGTCCTGGTGGTTCCACCTCCACTGTGACCCTGCACTGCTTCCCAAACCCCACCTCGCTCCCAGGGAACCCTGGAGGCAGAGGCCACCCCTCAAGACCTGGCTGCAGGGGACATGGCACTGCCACTCACCTGTAGATCTTGCGGTAGGACAGGTCACACCAATAGATGCGATTGGTAGCAACTTCCACATCGAGCGCCACGACGTTCTTGAGCATGGGGATGAGGCGCGAGTGCTCCCGCCTCACCAGGTCTATCTTGCGCACCTCGTGCCGGTTGGTGAAAATCAGGGACGGGCTCTTGCCGGCTGCCATGCAGGGAGAGGGGGAGAGGGGTCAGTGCCAGAGGTGGGGAGTCTGGAGACCAAGATGGGTGATGCCTCATTTTCCTGTAAACTAGGGCGCTAATCCCTACTTTAAAGGTTAGAGGAGCTGATGAAGTAATGAGTGCAAACGGCGTAAGATGCAAAGCACCATGTGTAAGGTTTCAATTATTTTTATTAGAGACAGGCTCCCCAAACTCTTTCACAACTCCCCATTACCCCCTAAGGCCTGCACTAGCGGCCTTCTGCAGTGTGACTCCCAGGCTCCCTGTCCAGCCCCATCCCCCGCCCTTCTAACATACCTGACTCTACTACTGGACTACCTGTCATTACCTGGCCGGGCAGGGCTCTGCTGCCTCAGGGCCTTTGCACAAGTTCTCCCCTCCACAACTACCACCTTCGCTGCGGGGAGCCCCACTGCCACTCTTCCAGCAGAGGCCGCCTGAGCAAGCAGGCCTCTGAGAAGGAATGGCATGGAGGGCCGACATCAGGGCAGGGCTCAAGGGAAAGACCCTCAGAGGCTGGGGGAGTCTGGTTCATCGGACCGGAGGGCGGGGCACGGTGACAGATGAAGCTGCGGAGAGCGGCCTGAGCCAGACAGCAAAGGGTGCTGGCAGCTGGGTGAAGAGTTTCCTTCTTTCTTTCTTTTTTTTTTTTTTTTTTCAAGATTTATTCTACTTATATGAAAGGCAGAGTTTACAGATAGCGGGAGAGACAGAGAGAGGTCTTCCATCCACTGGTTCACTCCCCAGATGGCTGCAATGGCCAGGGCTGGGCCAGACCAAAGCCAGGAGCCAGGAGCTTCTTCTGCATCTCCCACGTGGGCAGCAGGAGTTCAAGCACTTGGGCCATCCTCTGCTGCTTTCCTAGGCACATTAGCAGGAAGCTGGATCGGAAGGGGAGCAGTTAGGACTCTAATTGATGCCATATGGGATGCTGGTGTCACAGGCAGCGGCTTTACCTCCTATGCCACAATGTCAGCCCCTCAAAAGAATTTGCCCTCTGTCCTGAGCCAGGCGCAGAGATGGGACACGTGAGATACAGGACACAGGCTGCACACACTGCACAGCCCAGCACATGGGCAGTTGTACAGACACACAACTGCCCATGTAGATGCAAAGCTGTTTTAGGCTTAGATTTTTAGAAGATCAGTGACCTAGAAGTTCCTGGCAACTCCACATGAAAGGTCACTGTCCCACAGGCCTAGAGGGGGCTAGCTCCAGCTCCCATAGGAGGGGCTAGCTCCAGCTCCCACAGGCAGTTTCAAGATCTGTCTGGCCACTCTGAGGCACCAACACTGTTTGACTGACAGCTCCTAGCTGCACCCATCCCTGGAACTGCCGGTGCCTTCCCCCTCTCTCGTTTTCCAGTTGATGCTTCTCAGGGTCACCTGGTCCTTGTCATTGTGCATCTGTGCCAGGCTAATGTGTTCTCCTGGGGCAGGGTGGGACCAGCACAGAGCCAGGTAAGGCCCGTGGCCATGTGTGCAGTGATGGAGACCGTGGCACAGCAGGTTGGGGGTGAGAGGGAGGGAGTGACACAATTAGAGCATGAGACAGGGCTCAGAGTGCGGGAGGGGCAGTGAGGAGGGCTGGGTTCTGGGCCCAGTGGTGCGATGTCCCCCCTCCCCAGCGGAGGGCAAGGACACTGGCCTCCCTGTAGGCAGAGCTACTGAGCATCCTGACGTGCCTTCTCCTGGGATCTGTGACTGAGACATGGGCCTGTGTATTCAGGATTTGAGTTCATAGAAATTGGAATTAAAAGGTAAGTTATTTATTTACAACAAAAATGAAATTCATGTCTATTTTTTTCTATGATTTTTTGAAGACTCTTCTTATGCATGGACTTCAAAAATTTTTGCACCAAAATAAACTCATCTTTTAATTCCGTCTATCATGAACTTTTAAAAATATCCTTGTGGTGTCAGTGTTGTGGCATAGCAGGTAAAGCCAGCACCCGCAGTGCCAGCATCCCATGTGGGCACCACTCCATGTTCCTGCTGCTCCACTTCCAATCCGGCTTCCTACTAATGGCCTGGGAAAGCAGCGGAAGATATCCCAAGTGTTTAGGTCCCTGACACTCACATGAGAGACCCAGATAAAGTTCCTGGCTCCTGGCTTCAGCCTGACAAAGCCCTAGCTGTTGCAGCCATTTGGGGGAGTGAACCAGCAGATGGAAGACCTCTTTCTTTCTGACTATCCCTCTCTCTCTGAAATTCTTTCAAATAAATGGTTTTTAAAAATGTAAAAATATTCTCATATAGGAGCATTTTGTGTATGCATGGTCAGTAGTGTGCTGTCTCCACTGTACATATGTAACCTGTGTCATATATCACACACATTCTATGTGGGGTAGGAACAGGTTACGGGTTACATGTTTTGTGCCAGTGTATGTGTTGCATGTTGTTTGGGTGGTATGATTTTGGGGTTTGTGGGCTACATACTAAGTATTGTGTTTGCTGTGTTATAGTCTGTGTTGTGTATTGCATGTATGTGAACTTTAGACTATACATACATCCTACTGCCTACTCAGTACCTCCACTTGAACTCTCAACAGTTTCCTTAAACTTAACACGCCCAAAACAGTCTAATATTCCCCTACACCTGCTTCTCTCACTATTTTTCCCAAACTCAATAGAGGCAATCCTATTTCTCAGTTGCATGGCCTGAAACTTTTGGAGTCATCTTTGCCTCTCACCCCACATCTGGTCCCTAAGCAAACCTGTTGGTTGACCTTCAAGATATAGCCACAGGGTCAGGGTCCGCTTCTCACTATGCCCACTGCAGCCACCTGGTGCACGCCACCATCATCCCCTCCTGTGTGACTGCGACGACCCCTTCTGTGGGGTCGCGGCCTCACCCCTTGCCCTCTACAGTCTGTGTGCCGCGTTGGAGCCCCGACGTCCCGCCCTGGACTTAGCACGAAAGGCAGTGTGTTAGGGCCTCTGGGCCCAGCTCATCTCTCTGACTTCATCTCCTCCTGATCTCCCGGCTCCGACTGCACAGACGCCCTTGGCTTCCATGCTGCTCTTCCAGCATGCCCCCCTGCCTCAGTGGGCCTCAGCCCCTCACCTCCTTCCAGTCTTTGCTTAAATGTCCCTGTCTCAGAGAGGGACTCCCTGGCCACTGTGCTTAAAATGGGGACCCACTGCCCTCCTGCCCTTCCCTAATCTACTTCTCCTTAGCCCTCACTGCCATCTGCCATGCACTGTATGGTATTCATTTATCTTACTTCTTGTCTGTCTCACCCATCAGAATCTAGGTCCCATGAAGGCAGACAGGGATTTGGGTCTGTTTTGCTAACTGCTGATCCCCAGTGCCTGCAGCAACGTTAGATATTTAGTATAAAGAACTGGCTAACACGGCTTCATGCACTTGGCTGAGCTGATCAATGTGCGGGTCTGCACACGTAGTGCTGAGCGCTGTGAGGCTGGTTGTGTAGTCTGAGTCCAGGTCCGTATGCTGTGTTGTGTGACTGTGTTCTCTGTGGGCTGCGTTAGTGGCTCCAGGCGGTGTGCGTGTACAGCACATTGTGTGTGTGTGTGATGCATATATATTTTCACTTCGAGTACGGTGTGTGCGTGTGCCCGTCCTCACCTCACATACATTAGTACACTGCTCCCTGTCCCCTGGGGATGTGCATACCAGCAGCCTTGCAGTTCTTGCTCAGTGTGTCCATCTCATAGCCGGGGTGGCACTCGCACTTGAAGTAGCCCTTGTAATTGACGCAGATCTGGCTGCAGGCATCTGGGTCCTCACACTCGTCAATGTCTGTGGGGGAAGAGCAGGGGTCACAACTGGCCCAGGAGCCGCCTCTGCGTGGGGGATGCTGGGAGCAGCTCTCACCGCCGCAAGTCTTCTGGTCCAGGAGCCGGAACCCGGCGGGGCACGAGCACTCAAAGCCAATCCTGCGGTCGGTGCAGATGTGGGAACAGCCGCCGTTGTTGTGCTGGCACTCATTCAGCCCTGCAGAGGGACGCAGGTTCCTGAGGGGCCAGGAGACCAGGAGGGGGTAGGGCAGCGGGGGGCGGGGCCTGGTGCGGAAGCAGAGCCTCAGGGCGGTGGGACTCCCACAGAGCCAGGAGGACTTGGAGACCTCATTGAGCCTCAGCCTCAGTAACCAGGTGTCTGGGCAAGAGGAGGTTCGGAGAGGGCAAGTCCTCACTCAAGGTCCAGTGGGGTCAGAGTGGAACCAGAACTCAGGTCCTCGGACTCCTGGCTGGGGCTCTCTGTCCACATGAGGCTGGAGACAGCCAGGCCTTCTCTGGTGGCCTAAGGTCTTTCCTTTCACAAACACGTTTCCTAAGCTCTTCCTTGCCGTGGCCTCCGAGTGTCACATCCCACCCTCCCCAAGACGCCCTTCTGGAAGGCCCCACTTCCGGGCTGGGCAGCCGGCTCCACCTAGGAACCGCGCTGCCCTTGTGCCGGTCTCCCTGCACGGCCGCCTCTGGAGCTCCGGCTCCAGCTCCCGCTCCCAGCCCTGCTGTGGGGGGCTGGCCAGGAGGCAGAGGCCCCTGAGACCCCCGAGAATCCTGGAACTCTGGTTTCTGACACCCTCCTCTGGACACATCCCCTCTGTCCGCGTCCCCGTCTCTGGACGGGGCCCAGCTAGCCGGTCACCCAGGAGTCTGAACACGCAGGCCGCCCCTCCGCTCTGTTGGTGCTCTCCCACCATGAACTACACGATGGAGTCTTTTCAGCTCCTGTCCCTGTCCTCTGCCTGGTCCCATGCCTGCCCTCAGGATTACCAACTACTGCAAGGGATGAGGATCGCCAGGAGGCCATCTGTTCTCGTGCCCCCTCCTCCGCTCCCTCACCACCTTCTGGCCAGGGAGTCCAGGGCCCAGGGCTCACCAAGTCCTCACAGCATCTCCTGAGCTTCGGAATCACAGAAGGTTAATCCCGCGAGCCAAGGGAAGGTGCCACGCCCCTTACCCGCCAAGTGCATGCACCACCACCCTGCCACGCCACGCCACGCCACGCCACGCCAAGCAGAGCTGAGCTGAGCTGCCCGCCCCAGGCCATGCACAGCCGAGGGGTGCCCCCACCTCCAGCCTGAGCCAAGCTTAGGGAAAGTCCCCTTTACCCCTGGGCCTCCTTCTGTTTCCCCGGAATGTTGGTGCAACTGAAAAAACAAGACCACAGCAAGCCCGTGACTGGGGGGCCTGGGAGTGTCACAGCCAGGTCCTGCCCTGGGAATGGTGTCGCGCAGGAGCGTTCCTGGCACTCCGAGCCCTCCCTGTAGCTCTCCCGTCCGCTCCCATTCACTCGCAGCCGCATTCACGCACCCACTCGCTCCCTTCCGCCCCTCAGCGGCTGTGTTTGCTGAGCCCTGGACACAGTGGCATGTGTCGTGAGCTCTGGAGGGGGCCAGGGGAGAGCGCCAAGTGACTCTGGGGGCAGAGTCCCCCAGGGCTGAGGGGAAGGCGGGAAGGCAAAGGACAGCAGGTGTGGGCCTGTCTCCCATCGCTCCCCGGGAAGGCCTGGAGGAGCTCGGGTCCTTCCCCATTCCGTCGAGCCTGGAGATGACTCTGCTCCCTGGGGATCCACGCGGGGGTGGGGGGAGCGTGGTCCTGGGAGGCCTGAGCAGCGCGGGGTCACTTTCCCCAGCACGTGCACACACCTGCATGCACACACGGCCGCAGACGTGCGGACACACACAGGGAAGGGTGACTGCAGCTCCCCAACCTGAGGCAGAGCAGGAGACACGGACAGTGGCTCTCACCAACAGAGACAGCAGGGACACGCACAGACAAACACATGCGTACATACTTCTCTTTGGTGTGTCATGCAAAAGACGGGAGAGAAGAGAGAGTTTAGTAGGTTAGCAGTCCCTTGCTAGCCGCAGACCTGGGGGTGGGGGTGGGGGCCCTGGGCTCAGCTGCTCCGGCTTCGCTGGCCCCTCTCGGGACCTCCCTGCTTGGCAGGGCCTGGGATGTCTGTCTTCCGGAAGCTCCGTGGGTGGCTGAGTGACCTTCCCAGCAACCCTCCCCTTCAGGGCCAGCCTCCCTTCTGCCCTCACAAAGGGAGGGCAGACGCTGCTCCCGGGGAGGTCAGTGAATGAAGAGTCCAGGACGGGGGTGTGGGAAGCAGACAGGGAGGGGCTGGCCTGGGCACTGTGCTGCCAAGGTTCTCTGTCCAAATCTCCCTCAACCCCTGACCTGCTGAGATGGCAGAGAAAGGATTCATGGAGCTTCCTGGGGTCCACACCGGTTTCCAGCATGTTCCCTGGGATCCCCACCCCCACTTCAGTCCAGACCCTCTGTGCTTTCTAGGCTGGATCGCACCCACCCTGATAGCTCTGGCCTCAGGACGGCGGCCTCGTCCGTGGCTCACTGTGGAGCAGGTGCAGAGATGGAGGCTTGAGCCTCTCAGGGCTGTAGACGGGGCCACCTCCTGCTGCTGGGGCTGTCCTGCTCCCCCCCTCCGCCCAGGCCAGGCCTGGGCAGCCGCCCTGCGATGGGCCTGCACGGGCTGCCTGCCTGCCTGCCGTTCCCCTGGGGGACTTCCTCAGGCGGCTGGGAGGCCTCGGCGGCCGGGGCCCTCACTAGATCAGCGAGGCGGGAATCCTGTGGCAGCGAGACTGGAGTGCACACACTCAGAGGCCCGAAGGCGGAAGGAACGAGGAAAGGCTAGGTTTGTGAGAGGAAGCAGAATTTGGAGCATGTGCTCTAGAAAGGAGGCTTGGAGCTCTGCAGATACAGGACAGGAGGCCCCGGGGCAAAGAGCCCCTTCCAAGGCCACAGGACAGCGCGTGAGTCCAGAGAGAGGGAGAGCAGAAAGGGCGCACCAGGGCCTCGAGCCCAGAGGCCCGGAGGGGCGTGGCAGGAGGGCTGGTGGCCAGGACAGGTACCGTACCACACTCTTTCAGAAGCTCATCCGACCAGTCCCGGCAGTCCCTCTGAGCATCACACACTTTCCCGCTGTCCACGCACTCGCCACTCGTACACTGAAAGCTGCGGGGACCCTCGCAAGTTGACTCTGTTGGGCCAGACAAGAGGGTGGACAGTGCCCGTGAGATCCGGGGCAGGGAGGGCTGGCCAGCTCCAGCCCCCACAGGTCTCCAGTGGGTGACCCCACACAGGAAGCCACGTCCAGGGCCTGCGATGGCTGTGCTCCCAGCAGGCCGAGCGGCACACAGCGAGGCAGACCCCGGGGCAGTGCTGGCCCAGGGTGGGTCTGTGCAGAGCTCTAGAGACCTTAGAGACAAAGGAAGGGGAGCCTCTGCCCCAGGGACCTGATCAGGGAGCAGGGAGCACCTCACTGCCCAACCAGGTACCCATTCCCCCGGAAGACGGAAGACGTCGGGTTATATCCCTGGTCCTGCAGGGCGGGGGATAACCAGGTCCTCTGAAAATCCAGGGGCCTCCCCAGGGAGCAGGATTCGGCTTCTGCTGTCTGGAAACCCGGGAGCGAAGCATTCGCAGGGTTGGAGGTGGACAAAGGGTGGGGGCTGGACTTCCCGTGCTGTTCCCAGGTCTCTCTCAGCTTTTGCAGTCCTTAAAAATCCAGTTCTGGTGCCGCCAGGGCCCCACGGGAAGGGAGTCAGGAGCGAGTGGTGCTCTGAGGGGCCTGCCTCTCCGGGACCGGGGAGGCCGCAGCCCCTCTGCCTGACGGCACGCACCCTGCAGGCAGCCGGCCTCATCACTCCCGTCCCGACAGTCCTGTTCCTGGTCACAGCGCTTGGTGGCAAGGACGCAGGTGCCGTCTCCACACCGGAACTCATCCCCACGGCAGGTGCCCGGCGCTGCTGAGAGAGGGCAAAGGCAGAGGGTCGGCGGGCCGGGCGCTAGGACAGGCCCCTGCCCGGCCCTCCCCATGCTGTGTTGACCCCTGGCAAGGACAGGCCCAGTGGCTGAGCTCAGCAGTCCTCACAGGACACCCGGCCAAGGCACCTCAAGTGTACGGGCGGGAGACTGAAGCTCAGAGTGGGGAAGGGCTTGCCCAGGGCCACAGCACTCCGGCTGGCAGAGCCAGGACTGCCGCCCAGGTCTCCTGTCCCCTCAGCCACCACCTCTCCCCAGGGCCGGTCCTCCGGCACGGACGCAAAGCCTTCTTCTGAGTCTTGGTGCTCATTATCAATGACCTCATCCACTTGCAAACCTTTCCTGAGCCAGGTGATGTGCAGGGGGCAGATGGGGAGCCCAGAGCCAACCAGAGCCTCCCCATTTTTCAGGAGTTCAGGGTGCAGGGGGGCCGCACAGGTCAGGCCATCACAGCATGACATGGGCTGCAAGGTGCGGAGGGGGGAAGGGTCAGGGTTGGTGGCTCAGGGACCCAGCTCGGCTGGGACGGTCAGATCAGTGCAGCCGGGGCCAGGCCTTGAAGGATGAGCCAGTGTGGCAGACCCTGACAGTCCAAGGTCACCGGCAGTGGAGCCCCCGGGGCACCCCGGGAACGGGGCAGGGAGGGGCTGAGACTCGGGTCCTGTGAGGATGCTTGGTCTCTGGAGTTAGACCCGACTCCACAGGTAGCCACAGGCTCCAGCAAGTCACCCCTCCCACCCGGTCCTCCTCCACAGCGACCGACCGGGGTAATCCACTCGGGTGAGGGAGGGCAGGGAGCTTGGCGGGCGGGGCGGGCAGAGCGGCCGGGCCTTGGGGGGCTTACGGCAGTCGGCCTCGTCCGACTTGTCCTTGCAGTCGTGGTCGCCGTCGCAGCGCCAGCCCAGGTGCACGCATTCGCCGCTGCGGCAGGCGAACTGGACGGCGGGGGCGCAGGCACTGGGCGCGGCCGTGGCCCCCGGGCCCGCGTGGCCACACAGGTCGGCAGCCTCGTCCGAGCCGTCCTCGCAGTCCAATTGCCGGTCGCAGACCCAGCGCTCTGGGATGCAGGTGCCGCCGCCGCCGCCGCAGCGGAACTCCAAGGGCCCGCAGGCCGGGTCGGCACAACCGCGCTCGTCGCTGCCGTCCCCGCAGTCGTCGTCGCCGTCGCACACGAACACGGCGGCCAGGCACGAGCGGTTGCCGCATCGGAACTCGTGCGGAGCGCACACTGCGCGGGACAGAGAGCCTGTCGGCCCGACGGACCCCACCCGAGCCGGCCGGGGGCCCTGCGCGTCCTGCCCTAGGGCTCTGACCCTCATCTGCGGGCCGGAGCGAGTCCCGCGAAGGGCTGGACCCGTGGGCGTTGGGTAAGGCACAGCGAAGCGGGGCTTCCCTTCCGCTGCGCCCGGGACCCTGGGCAGCATCACTTGGCCTCCCGGACCCCTGGGTAAAAGAATGCGAATCGCAGCCCGGTAGGCTGTGCGCGCCGTCTCCGAGGACAGCACCGGCTCCCTCCACATGGGGGCGCCCGGAGCCTGCGTTTCTACCTTTGCTCAGCCAACTGTCAATTGTCATTGTTATTGAAAAGAAAATAGAGTCGTGTCTGCAGCTTCGCGAGGTGGGCAGCTCATGCCATGCGTTTCTGACAGCTCTACCAAGTGCTGGCAGGGGCAGTTTTTTCTGGGCTTCGGGGCTGGGGGGACAGGTGGGGGTGTGGGAGCACTGGCCCCTTGGTGCCATTCCCCCAAGATGATGCTGATGGCCAGCCCTGCTCTCCTCCTGCTGGGGTAGGGCTTGTGGATGCGGGGGTAGGGTGGGCTCACTGCCCTCTGGGAGTTCCGATGGGAACCCCTTCTTAGCTCTGGGCTCTCCCTAGGCCCAGGGAGCTCACCTCCCGGCACTCACAGAGCTTGAGCTGGAGAAGGGCAGGGTTCTTTCTCTGCCCAGCGGCTGGGAGCCATGGCAGAGGAGGCCTGAGACCTTCTGCCATCCTGCCTTCTATAATTAGCAGGTACTGCTCCTGTCCCAACATGGCCTCCTTGGAAACCCTCCCAGCGCCTGGGGGCCTTTCCATGGAGGGAATCCTCCAGCTGTGGTGGGGGGTGGGGGGGCAAGATCCTCACTGGCCCGTGAATCCCAACAGAACTGTCACAGCTGAAGACAGGAGCCACTTGGAAGCTTCTGGAGGGGGTGGCATTTCCCGGACCAGGAGGGACACAGAGGACACAAAGAGGCTGGAGGAGGGCAGGGGGGTGTGGGGCAGTGCCAAATGACCGCCCTGTCTCCACTAGGGCTCGCGGTGGCCCCGGGAACCGTGTGCTCCCTGAGAGGGGCCTGTGCACGCAGTAGGCGCCCATGGCATTCCGTGCAGGGAGGCCTGGCCGCGCTCCCCACCGCGCCGAGCCCCGTCGCCGGCCCCCTCGCCGGGAAGGGCATAATCCTGTGTTTGAAGCTCAGCGATGTGGAACCGTCCCAGTGACCACTTCCATCTGTCCCTGCTGGGGCCGCGGGCAGCGTCTTCCCGCTCCGGAATCTGCCTGCGCCCCTCCCCCTGCCCCCAGCCCTGGTTCCCGCCCTTGCTCGGGGAGCAGCAGACTCGTGGAATGGATGGCAGATGTCAGGCGTGGTGGGACGCTCGTGGGCTCTGCTGTCCGACTGGAGCCGGGCGGCCACTCAGCCCCGCGCACTGCTCCTCCCTTGTCTGAGCCTCAGTCTCCTCGCCCATAACAGGGATGACGATGGCAGCTCATGAGGTGGTTGTGAGGATGAAAGGAGGCAATGTGTCCGCAGCGCCCCCCACAGCCAGGGTCCTGCCCCGCGGCCCGGCCTCTCCGTCCGCCTGCCCGGCCCCCTCCTCGCACACCCTGGGGTCTGAGCCCCGACTCACAGGGCGCACAGCCGGCCTCGTCCGCTCCGCTCTCGCAGTCCTTCTCCCCATCGCAGCGCCATGAGGCGGGCACACACTTGTGGCTGGTGGGGCCACAGCTCAGCTTCTCGGCGGGGCACTCCTGCTTGGCTGCGGAGACACAGCCACGTGTGGCTTAGGCAACGGGGACACCGGGCAGAGCACCCACCAGCCCTGCCCACCCAGCCCAGCCACCTGGCCCAGGCCCCAGGAGTCCATTAGGGTTTCTTCATGTGAGAGGAGGCCCCTGCCTGCCCCAGGGCCTTGCCACATCCTTAACCTTTTTCTTATTTTAAAGGTTAATTTTATTTGTTTGAAAAGCAGAGTGACACAGAGAGAGAGGGAGAGAGAGAGAGAGAGCTTCCATTTGCTGGTTCACTCCCCAGCTGGCGACAATGGCCAGGGCTGGGCCAGGCTGAAGCCTGGAGCCCGGAGCTCCATCCGGGTCCTGCACCTGGGTCTGGAGTTGGCACCTACCACCTCGTCTGGTGTGCAGCAGTGCTCAGCCAATCGGGGCTCACCTGTTAGTGTGGACAAATCGAGTGGGTGACATTTACTGAGCCCTGGGCTGGGGGTTCTTCTGGATGCTACACAGACCTTCTCTTAGGCATGGAAATCTTGTAGACAGGGGATGGAGTTGTGGTGTGTGGGTGAAGCCATTGCCTGTGATGCCGGCATCCCACTCCGCAGCACCAGTTCAAGTCCTGGCTGCTCCACCTCCTATCTAGCTCCCTGCTAATGCGCCTGGGAAAGCAGTGGAAGACAGCCCAAATCCTTGGGCTCCTGCCACCCACAGGGGAGACCTGGGTGGAGTTCTTGGCTCTTGACTTCAGCCTGGATTGGTCTCTTCCATTGAGGCCATTTACAGAGTGAACCCTTGGATGGAAGCGCTCGCTCTCTCTTTCTCTCTCTGTCTTTCAAATAAATAAACCAACAAGTCTTTAAAACAATAAATCCTATAGACAGGTAATAGCAGTATCTCCATTCTTCCAGCCCAGAGATAAGGATTGCTCAGCCAGGGCACACAGCGAGTGAGTGACCGAGCTAGGACCGAAACCCCCGCAGCCAGGCTCCGGGGCCCATGTCTCTGTGCTGGAGGCCAGGATGTAATCCTCACCCTGCCCAGTTATTATCAAACCAATGGAAGCATCCAGCACCATGCCGGGCACATCCCAAGGGCCATAGAGATCCAGCCTCCTGCACTCCCTGGAAGGCAGCTGGGAGCTGACCATGGAGGTCTGGGGTGCACCTGCCGCCTGAGCCTGTCACGTGCACCCAGGAGCCGCCCCCAGCCCTGACTGGGTTTCTCATTCTTTCTTCCAATGTGAGAATCCAGCCTGGGGCTCACGGCCCCTGATTGAGTGAGCCTCTGATTGCAGCTGCAGTAATTATAGCTGCGCAGTCCCGCTGGGCCCTGCTGTACGGTGGCTGCTCTCAGCAGCGGGCTCAGCACTCACTGGGGGAGGAGGCTGGGGAGGGGGTGCTTGGAGCAGTTGAGGCCTTGGGGAGCCCTCTAAATCCATGGGTTCAGATGCTGGCCTCATTGATCTGGAAGATCAGCCGAGGCCCAGTTGGGGTGCACCGCTCGCAGGCACAGATGGGAGGTGGCAGGAAAGAGTGCAGGGTGTGGGGGCTCCATGTTGCTGGAGCTTAAGAGGCAGCTTGGAGGGGCGGGAGGTGTGGCCAGTGGGCAGGCAGGTGTCAGCCAACAGAGAGGGACTTGAGTGCCCGGGAGCAGGCGGCTGTGTCAGGACAGTGGAGGGGCCGGGGTTGTGGTGCGGCGGGTTAAGCCACCACCTGTGGCTCCAGCGTCCCATAACCGAGTGTTGGTTCAAGTCCAAACCTACTGGCGCTGAATCCTCCCAGCCTCCAGCACCGTGAGCAAAACTATGTTTCTAAAGTGCCCAGTCTCAGGTATTTTTCTGTAGCTGCTAGAACCGGCCAAGGGTGCACCCCGACCCTGACCCTGACGGGTAAGCAGGCCCTGCAGACTGTGAGCACAAAGCCGGGGGGTGCCATTCACCCCGTCAGAGGTGCCCCCAGAGCAGCCTTCTGCAGCAGGCTGCAGGTAAAGCCCTGCATTGGAGAGAGGAGGAACCGGAGGCTTGGGGAGACCAGGCACAGGCCCAAAGACACACAGCAGGGGAGAGGCAGTGCCTGGGTTCCTCTGACTAGAGCCTGACCCTTGGCATCAAATCCACAGGCTCCAGAAGCAGCTGCAAACCCTGCTCCCCAAAGCCTAGGTGACTGAAGGAACCCGGGCCATATGCACCAGCCCCAGGGGTCTGGGCTGCAGACCCCGTGCACCTTTAATGAATATTTATACAGTTAATTGCATAACCTTTCAGCAAGGACAATGATTAAACAGTCCGTCTGCTTCCTTTCTTTATAATTAATAAGACATTTGCTGCGTCCCTAAATAGACAGCTCTAGTCCCAGGCTCTCAAGGATGCAGCAGTGCCTGATGCCAGCTCCCCCCGCCCCCGCCCCCGAAGGCACGGCCTTTGCCGTTGCAGGGCAAGGACACCTGTGAGACCACCATGCCGAGGGACTCCTGGAGTGGCAGGAGACTGAGGCCCTGCGAGGGAAAGGGACCTGCCTGCACCTTCACTGTCTCTCTTGTGATGCAGCTCTTCCCCACGGCCAGGACTGGAACCTGGCTCCAAGCCTGGCCAGGTGGCCTGTGCAGCCTCTCCCTGCGGGCCACGTACTCTCGAGACCCCGGCTTACAGAGGAGGCGGGCAAAGCACAGAGAGGCTGAGTCCTGTGCTGGGTGGCAGAGCTGGGCTCACTCCCTCCCCAGGTCCAAGCACCCCACCTAACTTACTGCCATGAGAACGCAGGCCCCGTGCGGGGTCTCCCCAGCTCCCCTGGGCTGGAGGCGTCTCACGCAGAGGCGGGAAGCTCTCTGAGCCTTTGCTCGGGCAGGTCCTACAAGATGTGCTGTCGTGCAGCGGGTAAAGCTTTCACCTGGGAAAGCAGCAGCAGACGACCCAAGTGCTTGGGCCCCTGCCACCCACGAGGCAGACCCGGAAGCTCCTGGCTTTGGCCTAGCCCAGCCCTGGCTGTTGTGGCCAATAGGGAAGGAACTGGTAGATGGATGGAAGACCTCTCTCTCTGTCTCTCCTTCTCTCTCTCTAACTCTGACTTTCGAGTAAATACATAAATAAAGACGGGCATCTGATGCCCAGCCTTGGGACAACTGAAGCCAAAGGCCCCAGGCAGCACACTGTGGGGAAACAGCGGAGGTCTGGGCGGCAGCCTTGCCTGCAAATCCCACTTACTAACCCTGAGGTCCTCGGGCAGCCACTTCGCCTCTGTGAGCACCTACAAGTGGGGCTGCACGAGCTCCGAGGGCGGTGCGTGGCTGAAATGAAGACACGGGGGAGCTGAGAGCAAGCCTGGCGCTCAGCAGACGCTGCCCCTGAGTTGGTCCATGAAATGCAAGTGCAAATGGCCTTTACCCCTGGGGATGCACATTACAAGGTCCCAGGGACTCGTCCCTTGTGACTGACGCCTCTGAGGGAGGCCCTCAGCCTGCTGGCCCAGTACCCCAGGTTCTATGGGGCAGGCAAAGTCCACAGAGGACCTTGAAACTCCAGCCTGGAAGGCTGGAAGCTTCTGTTAATTCCCAGAGAATCCTGCCCCAGAAATCCAAATCCATTGGTACATTCTCTAATTCATAAGTTTGCAAATTAACAAAGAGGGAAATGACTGTTGGAAAACAAGAATGAAAGTTTGGGGCGGCAGCTCATTGATGGAACGTGTCTATGAGGTCAGCCCCGGAATGCGGACCAGAGAGTCAAGCGGTGGGGACTGCAGTACCACTCGATCCGACTCCTGCCCTGGTGTGTGTGGGGGGGGACGACTGCGCCACACGGGGCCCAGGCTGGGGCTGCTGGCAGGGCCATCTCAGCAAGTCTCAGGTCTCTGTTGCCTGCTCTGCCCTCTGCAGGGGAGCCTGGTGAGTCCCTGAGGTCCCCTCGCAGGTGGAGAGGTTCTGGGCTGCAGGAAAAAAGCTCCGGATTCAGCCGGGAGCAGCCCGCAGTGTAGCCCTCACCTTGAAACCTCCCGCACCCCCGTGGACACCTTGGACGTGGGTCAGAAGCCGGCCCCAATCAAGCGAGCTATAATTAGAGCTGAAATGCTATTTTTCATTAGGCAAATGTTCTTGGCTTTTCCACGGTGGCTCCTGGGAGAAAACTCCGGCCAGGCAGGGGAAGACAACGGGGGGGGGGGGGGGGGGCAGCATGAGAACTGGGACCTGCTCCTGTACCCCCCTCCCTCTCAGTGCAACCCTGCCTCACTTTGCTATTCCAACCTTGGAACACCCCACTATCTTAAGGTTCTAATCAGCTGTGGCATCCCGGGGCAGAGGGGAATAAAACCCACACCGCCATGTACTCCAGCACTGGCTGACACCTGCATTTCTCATCTGATCCTCACAACTCCAGCCACCCAGGTACCAGCGCCCCATGTTACAGATGAACAAATGGAGGCTCCAACGTCTCCCGGGTTACAGGACCTGAACCTGACTACACCGGATACCAAACTCACAGCACTTTCCTATCTGTATCATCTCTGTGGGGGCAGGCAGAGGGGGACTGTCCTGGGAGCTGGCACAGCCCCAGAAACCTGGCAGGCCATGGAAGTTGCTATGGCAACACCAATTAAATGGACAGCGGGTTGGCTGCCCGGTTCTCATTCAGTTGGGAAGCTGTGAGCGAAGCCCGCTACCAGGTCCTCCTGCCCCAAATTCCGCCTGACCCTCCAGGGCTCCCGCTGGACAGCCTGCTCTGGGCAGCCCTCCCCGCCAGGGGCCTTGCCTGGCCCTGACCAACGTAACTTCCTAGGCAGGGGGCGTCCTGGGCCTCGCACCCCCGCCGGACCATAGGGGAGGGAGAAAGGAGCTCTCAGGACACTAGGGTTTAGGAACCTTGGAATTGTGGAAGTCTTTGGAATTCTGGATGCTAGAGACTGGCCCCAGGGTGGGTGGGCAGGTGAGCAGGGCCTGGCAGCAGGTGGCCAGGCAGCCTATAGGAGAACAGGGCTTCTGGCTTCCAGGTGCGGCCTGGCTGCCCCAGCAACCCCCCGAGAGGAGCCCTCCTCCGCCAGGGAAGACCTGTGTGCCTCTGAAGCAAGTCTAGCAGCTTCTCTGGGCCTCCAGCTGCTCCTCAGCTGTCAAGTGGAAGCGATCGAGTATGGGTGGCCAGAGGGCCCTGTACAGCGGGGGTGGGGGGCGGCAGGGCTTGCAAGAGTTGGGCTGGGGCGGGGGGCAGCAGTACTCAGGGCAGCCCAGGACAGGGCAGCGGGGAAGGAGAAGGTGACAGGGACGATGGCGAGATGGGACATGCAGAGGGGGGAGGCAACCCAGGGGAGTAGGGAAGGGTGGGGCCCGAGGGGGGGTGCGAAGACCACGACCCAAGGGCACAGAGACGTGGGAGAAGGGGGAACACAGCCCCCACTAACAGCCCGGCAAGGCGGCTCTCCCCCCTCTCTCTGCCCCCAGCATTCCAGGCAGCCGTTGGGATGGGCGATGGCGGAAAAGCCCCCTGTGGCCACAGCCCCCTCCCAAACACACACTCCAGGCTGCACGTGACTCTGCCCCTTGGAGCGGGGCAGTCTGGGGCGAGGAGGATGGACGTTTTGAGTGGGCGTGGTGAGGCTTTGTTTCTTCCCCAGCTGAGCACAAAGCGCCCCCAGAACTGCATGGGGCTAGGCTATTCTGCTCTGTGGGGTGGGTAAGGAAAGGTGGGGCCTGTGGCGTGAGTGGTGAGGGCAGGGCCCACCGAGCAAGGGTGGAGGGGCCCCGGTGAGGGGTGGGGGTCCCGCGCCCCCTCCCCGCCTCTCGCTCCCTTCTGCTCGCCTGCTCGCTCGGGAGAGACTGGCAGCGCTGTTGCTAGGAGACAAGGAAACCCAGTTATCACCAGCCGCAGCCCTGGTGGAACTTGGGCCTCTATTGTCCCTGCCTCTGTCTCTGGGGTGACTATGACCCCTAAAGAGGGGCTCCTGGCCCTGCCAGCCCCACATCCTCCTTGTGCCCCCACCCCTCCCCGCCAGGCCTTTTGTCTCAGGCCCCAGCCTTGCAGCTCTGCCTGCATCCTGGGCCCCTCCCCACCCCCTGCTCATCTCCTTTTTAATTTAACAAATGTCACAGCACGACCTGGCGGGCAGAAGTTTGCTTTGAGGATTATGGCATGGGAAGGAAATTACAGAGCCGCAAAGCCAGGGGCTTCGCTCTCGGGCGGGTGCTGCACCTCTTCCCCCCTCTCCAACCTCTGTGCCTCTGTCCCCACCAGGTAGGCTCAGCCCACCCAGGGGGCTGCCACGTCCTGGCTGGGTGGCCTTGGGCAAAACGCTCGACCTTTCTGAGCCTCAGTACCTTCTTGGACAAAATGGAGAAAGGGAGAGCACCTGCCTTTCGAGGCTGTGCATGGAAGGCAAGCACCGGCAGAGCTGAGCACAGCGCCCGGCACGCGGCAAATGCGTGGTGACACAGGCCGCCAGCAGCACGACTGAGGCCCAGAGAGGGTGCGCCACGCCTACCGCTGCACTGGAGGGTTCGGGGACCCGTTTCTAGCTCCCAGAGCAGCAGGTTCCCACCTGCGAGAGAGCGGCCAATAAAGGGTAGAAACGGCACCTAGGGATCAGCACCTAGGCCCGCTGGCCGGCTGGCGGGAGCCACCCAAGTGCACAACACAAAGTGCTCAATGGACCACCTCGCTTGAGCTGCCTTCCCTCCCCTCACTGAAAAGCAAAAGCGAGGCCCACCCTCCCCCAGCCAGAAGCAAGACTCACTGCAGGCGGCCTTGGACTCGTCGGAGCCATCCGGACACTCCTCCTCGCCGTCACACTTCCACCGCTCGGGGATGCAGTGGCCGTTGTCGCAGGTGAAGTCGCTGTCCGCACAGGTCTTCTTGGCTGCAGGGCGAGGGGACGAGCATGAGGACTCCGGGGGTTTCTGGGATACACTGTCCAGGCCAGGCTTCAGCCTGGTGGCTAAGATGCCGGTTAAGGAGCCCAGGCCCCAGTCAGAGAGCCTGGGTTGGATTCCAGGCCCCAGCTCCCGCCTGCAGCTTCCTGCTAATGCAGACCCTGGGGGGCAGCAGTGAGGACCCAAGCAACTGAGTCCCTGCTACCCACATAGGAGGCCTGGGCTCGGTTCCCCACTCCCAGCTTCAGCCTGGCTTAGCCTTGACTGTCACAGGCATTTAGGGAATGAACCAGTGGGCAGGAGAGCTCGCTCTCTCTCTCTCTCTCTCTCTCTCTCTCTCTCTCGGTGAAAACAGAAACACAGGTGGCTCCTGGGTGACCAGAACGTGCTTAGTCTAAGAGCTGGACCACATGACCTCCCATGGCCCCTCGACTTACTAAGGGCCATGTGGAGACAGGTGGCCTCCTGGGCCTGCAGTCCAAGACCAAGAGTTTGAGTCCAGGAAGGGAGACAAGATTCATCACAATCCTGTGACAACCCCCCCTCTTCCCTCAATTCCAGTTCCACGGACACCACCTCCAGGAAGCCTTCTCTGATCCCCTGCGGCAGCTGCTTTAGTCCCTTCAGCCAGTTCTCAGCCCCTTTACCTGCCAGTCCCACCCTCCCCAACCAGACAGGAAGTCGAGGTCCCTCGTGCAAGCACCCAGGAGCTCTCAATCATGAATCCAAAAAGTAGCTGACTGCTGTGTGGCAGGAATAGTCAGAGGTTCTGTGTTCAGAGTGGAGGAGAGGCCACCCACAACCCAACTCACAGCCTGCCCGGGAGGCACTTGCAACCTGCACCAGGGATTGCAGTCCTGACTCTGCCTCCTTCCTCCCCTGTGACCTGGGGGATGTTGGTTACCCCCGGGCCTCGGTTTTCTTGTCTGTATAATGGGGAGAAGGAAACGATGCACAGCCCAGACTTCTACATCCTCCCTTTGAATGCCCTCGGGGCTCAGGGGCCACCAGGACCCCGCCTCTCCCCAGGAGCCCCAGCCTTGGCCCCACTCCCCACCCTCCCATCCTGGTCTCCACTGCTGGGCAGGCCCCTGCCTTGTTCACGTGGACCCTCGGCTGCAATGCACCATGGGTGCAGATAGCCCCTCCTCCGAGACCCCTCCCCATCACCTTTCCTCCCGAATGTCCCTCCAGAGTCGTCGTCAGCAAACTTGCTCTGTGACATCCGTCCAGAAGGCAGCCACGAGGCAGACAAGAGGCAGACGAGCGAGCACGGCTGGGTTTCAATAAAACTTTATTCACAGAAGCTGGTGGCAGGCTGGGTACAGCCTCGGCCGGCAGGTTGATGGCCCCTGCTCCAGACCATCACGGAGCCCCTGGGTCAAGCACAGTTTATTTTCCTCTCTGTCCCTCCATCAAAAGGGCCAGGTCAGGCTCGCCCGGGACCCAACAGAGCTGAGGGGCACTGGACCACACAGACACATGGCCAGAGCTGGCCTCCCCTGTGTTTAATCCTCCTCTGGGGTGTGACTGCTCCCCGTGCCCCAGCAGCCCAAAAGCGTCCCCTGAGTCAGTCCTGCCTCTGCCTCGCTCTTCCTCCCCATGTCCTCTGCACGTGCAAGGCCACAGCAAACCAAGGAAACAGAGGCCACTACGCACAGGGGGCCAGGGCTCAGCAAGGCGGGGATGGGGAGTGGCCCTCCGGCCTCTCAGCCCCCAGCCCCAGAGACCCTCCCTGGGCCCAGGGTATAGAGGTCACAGCAGTGTTGGGTAGCATTGCTACCCCCTGGTGAATGACAGCCCATGACCGTCTTAAAGCAAGCGCCGCGATGAACCACGGCGGCTGGGGACGCCCAGGACCGAGCAGTGGAGGGTTTGCCTTCCCCCAACCAGAAGCTCAGCATTGGGCTGGTGCTACGGAACAGGGAGTCTGCCAGGGCCTGTGACGCCGCCACCCCATACTGGAGCATGGTTTGAGCCCAGGCTCCGCTGCCTACGCAGCTCCCTGTTAATGCACTTGGAAAAGCAGCAGAAGATGGCCCAAGTGCTTGGGCCCCTGCCATTCATGTGGGAGACCCAGGGTGGGTTCCAGGCTCCTGGCTGTTGTGGTCATTTGGGGAATGGACCATCGGAAGATCTCTCTCTCTTTCTCTCTCCCTCTCTGTCACTCTGTCTTTCAAATGAATAAAACAAATCTTTAAAAAAAAAAAAGCACTCAGCATCCAAAGGCAGAAACACAAACCCCAGCTTTTTCTCCTCTCCGTTGGAAAGTTCATCAAGGGCTTGTGCGTGCCGGTGTCCGTGCTGGGTGCTCGCTTGACAGATGGGAAGCCACACCTGGGTGGCAGCAGCGCCACGGTCTGACCCCGCAGCCAGAAGCCTGCTCTTCCCCACCCTGGCTCCCCACACAAACGGACATGGAGGAAAAGCCCCAAGTAAAGCCCCTTGGAAGCCTCAGCCCAGAGTTTGACGAGCGCTGTGCCTGTTCCAGGCCCTGCTGAGAACACAGGGAGGTTCAGGCCTGCCTGGGCCCCAGGAGCCCAGAGTCCGCGGGCAAGCCTGGCACGGTGCACGTGGGCAGTGCCCACAAGGGCAAGACGGGCATAAAGCAGACGGAGGGGAACGGCTCCGCCACTGGGCACAGGACCCTTCCTCCAGGCCCCCGGAAGCCCAGGTGTGAGTGTGGCCCCCTCTCCCATGGATGCCAAGTCCCAGCAGGCACTGGGCAAAGAGGTGAGAGCAGTCACAAGCACCATGGCCTGTAGGCCAGCTTTGAGGGCAGCCAGGCCCAGGAGGTGGCAGCTGCATGGACGGGTGTCCCACGGTGGTGTCTCAGAGAACTGCTCTGCTTACTATCCAGGCCCCTTGGGCATTTCCGACCCTGGTTCTGGCCTGGGGTCTTTCATCCAATATCCCAGGACCTCCTCACAGCTATGCTGGTAGCGCCTGGGAATCCACTGTACAGAAGAGGCGAGGCTGGCAGGAGGCGGCAGAAGTCCACGTGGCAACTGCCAATGTTTGGGCTCAACAAGGAGCCCAAGGAGGCATATGCGGTGAGCCGCTTCTTGGGTCCCAGGCGCCAGAGGACCGACGTGGGGCAGGCCAGCTACTCAGCACAGAGGTGCCTGCGTGTGGCAGTGCCTGGAATGTGCAGAACAGACCTGGGCTGTGACACCTTGTGCATTGCTAATGGTCTGCACGACCACTAACAAATATTTACTTACTTGAAATGCAGAGAGAGAGACGGACAGAGACATCTCCCATCCACTGGTTCATTCCGCAAATGCCTGCAACAGCTGGGGCTGGGCCAGGCTGAAGCCAGGAGCCTGGTACTCACCCTGGGTCTCCCATATGGGTGGCAGGAACCCAGCTACTTGAGCCGTCACTTGCTGCCTCCCAGGGTGTGTATCACCAGGAAGCTGGAGCTGAGACTGGAGCCCAGACCCTGATACGGGATGCACACCTGATGCACACCCTCCACACGGTCACTTTTGGGTTGAGGACTCAACCATTTTGGAGGGCCCTCCTGGAAGTGTTAACCACAAGGAAGGATTTGCAAATCAAAGCTGAGCCTAGATCCTGCACTGGGTGACCGTGGGCAAACAGGGTTGAGGTTTCCCCTGTGGCACGGCTGTAACGACAAAAGGGAAAAGGGCTGGTGTGGGGGGTCTCAGGGAAACACCCCACCATCGGCCCATCCTGGTCCTGAGCCCAACAGCATGTGAGTCCCGCCGAGGGGCTGCTCCAAGACTACAGAACAGGCCAGGGCAGACCCCCGTTCTCCTGGCCTGCGCTCCGCTTCCCAGGGCAATTCCCGGCTGGGCTCAAGGATTTATGTCCCTCCATGCCAGTCTGCCCCTTGGACAATGCCCACCTCTGTGAGTCCCTGTACTCCACAGCCCGGCAGTGACACCCCGGGCCTGCAACATCATAATCTGGTGCCATGGCAACAGATGGGCCGCCACAAAGGACTGGGGACTCCAGAGGGTGGTGAGGAGGGGCCGGCCCTGGGGAGGGTGGGAAATCTGGGACAAAGGGAGTGAGGCGGAGGAAAGTGCCACGGGCGCCCTGCTCTGCCACCTGCGGGCTGTGTGAGCTTCTGCAAGTTACACACCTGCTCTGAGCCTCATGCACACAGGGATGCTGTGAGGAGCGGACGTGCTAAGCCGGCCCAGGACAGCCCCCGGCTCCAGGGACTGAGAGCAGACTGGCGCAAGGCTGAGGAGGGTGGGCTCACAGCCCCATGCTGTGTGTGAGACGAACACAAGTTCACGTCGAGGCTCCCCATGCACGCTCACCCCCAGCCCCAGAGCAGAGAGGGGCTTCAAAACCAGGACGGCTCAGGGCTGCCCACAGAGCCGCGCCGTGTGCCCGCCTCCTGCCACTGGAGCCGCCTGCCGCGTCAAAGCCCAGGATCCAAACGCTGATACAGTACTCTCGTTTTACCTGCCTGAAAGCCAAGGCCCAGAGAAGGGACTGCTCAAGGTCACAGACATCTGCAGGAGGGCTGCACTTGAACCCATGTACTGACATCCAGTCCCACTGTGTGGCCAGGAAGCTGGCGGTGGCTGGGGGAGGGGGGGCACCCAACCCTGCCTAGAGGTCAGGGAAGGCTTCCTGGAGGAAGCAGGGAGCCAGCCAAGTGGTCAGAGTTGGGGAGAGCCAGGAAGGGGAGCAACAGGGCCTCGGGTGTGGGGGAGCCAGCAAGCTGGTTGTCAGGGGCCGGGGGAGGCAAGTGGCAAGGGACCCGGGAACTCCGCCAGACCCAGGGCCAAATCGCCCTGCCTGGCACCAAGCTGCCTGTCGGAGGTGCACAGCCTCCTGCTGAGCACAGGGACGCCAACAGAACCAGCAGCTCCAGGTGGCCAGGGAGCGTCCGCTGGGCTTTGGTGAGGCTGTGGCACAGGACGGGCAAGGCAGAGGGCAGGGCAGCAAGCGGTGGTGCCGGTCCAGCCAGGTGTTGGGCTGGACGCTCTTCCCCCTGGGA